TATTAAAATAATCAAAAATATCTTTTACAATATTCAAAATATTTAAATTTTATTTCAATTAAATGAATATTTTATCTAATTCATCTCTTAATAAGATTATGTTGAATGAATTTTAATAAATTATAACTTTAAATGAAATAAATTATATTAAAATAGTATTTTATACTTTGTTGTAAATTTAAAAATAAAATTTATGAATTAATAATTAATTTAAATATTTTAAATTATCAAATATCAGTGAATTTTATTCACAATTTTTAAATTTTATTTGAATTAAAATAAATATTTTATTAAAATTAAATATTTATATAATTTATTTAAAGTTTATTTATTTTTTCTTAAAATTAAATTGAATGAGTAATATTTAGTTATAACTTTAAAATAAATAAACTTTAAATAAATTAGATTAATATTTAAATATATTTTACACTTTGTTGTAAATTTCAAAATAAAATTTATGAATAAACAAAAAATTTAATATTTTAAATTATCAAATATCTCTAAATTTAATAGCAATTTTTAAATATTATCTCAATTAATGTACACATTTTATTAAAATTATGAATAGTTGTTTCTTTTATTTATTTATTAACAAGATTGAATTGAATTAATATTATTTATTTATAACATCAAATGAAATTAAAAAAAATCAAAATAAAATTTATGAAAAAAAAAATTTTTTTAATTAAAATATTAAATATCTTAGAATTTTATTCACAATTTTTATTTTTCAAATTAATATTTTATTAAATTTATTTTATTTTATAGTTTATTTCTTCTAAAAATATGAAATAAATTCCAAAAATATCATATATAACTCTAAAAATAATATAACATTCTGAATTAAATTTTAAAATAAAATTAAGAAAAAGTAAAAAAAATAAATGAAACATACATTTTTTATTAATTAATAAATGTTATTATTAAATTTAAATAAGTGAATTATATTATTAATTAATGAAGAATAAAATAAATAATTTTTCACTATTAATTAATATAAATAATTAAGTTTTGTTTAAAGAAAATGTGTTTAAACAGAAAAATTAGAAGAATAAAATTTTTTTTAATATTATAAAATTTCTTTAAATATTTTACTTTTTTGATAACAAAAATTAAAGCTTGCTTCTAATCTGTGAAAAGGTGAAAAAAGTATGGTTTTAATAATTAAAAAATAATTTAAATTTATTGATTTTGCACAATTAATTAACGAAAAAATTATTTTTTTTAAATCAAAATATTTTATCATATATTAATTTTAGAAATATTAGAGCTGAGAATTTAATTAGATTAAATTTTTTCATTTAATAATTATCTTCAGTTTACAAAAATAGCTTTTACTATTTTTAGAAACACTTTTTGTTATAATAAACTTTTTAAAAAATAGATAATAAGAAGAATCCATTAATAATTAAAAAAATACATTAAACAATAATTAATTTTTTTTTTCAACAGCTCCCAATTTTGATTGATGCAGATTTACTTTTAATTAATAATAAATTAATCAAGCTCACAAAAAAATTGTACTTATTCTTTAATTTTTGTAAAAGTATCTGTAAGTTTTTTTTAAGAATTAGTATTTCAACTAATTTAGCAAAAAATGTACAAAAATTAAAAATATTTATTTTTTATTTTTAAGCTAAAATTGTAAAATTTAAGTATAATACTAATTCATGATGTAAGCTAAATTTATAATTTTTTTTTAATCAAATAGAAATAAAATTTGATAATTTTGGTTGCACTTATAAAATGAAAATTGAGGTAAATTTAAGTTTGTTTTTAAATAATCTAAGTAATTTAAATTGCATCTAAAGTCCATTTAAATAATTTTTAGTGATTTCTTATTTACCTATTTAATGTTAAGAGTATTTATAATCCTTTATTTGATGTTTAAATATTCTTTTCTTTATCTCCAAAAAGCAACTGCAGATTTGCGTAGTACATTATAAGTTTCTTAACCCATTTCTGAAAGATAAAAATTCATTTTAGCAAAATTAAAATTAATATAAAAAAATATAGGTTCTTGTAAAAAAGATCAAGCATTAAATATATTTTCAAAGTAAAATTTAAGAATTTAAATACAAAATCTATGATAAAATTCATTCTACTAAATTTAAAATAAATGTTAATATACTTTTAAGGTAAATATTAAGTTATTTAAATGTTTTATTTGGCCAAAATTACTAAATAACCCAAAAATATTGGTTTTATTTGGCATTTTTTAAATGATTATTAAACATGATTTGAACTTTACATTAAAACTCATTTTTTATATGCTTACACTCTAATTGGAGCTTTTAAATTTGTAATAAATTCATTTTATTCTTTTTTTACCTTAACTAAGATAATGTTAGATCTACTTTTTAAGTTAAATTTACAATTATAAAACAACTTTTTTTATTTGTTTGTTTTGTTGTTTAAATATCCCGAATGAATTTTATTTTTAATTATAAACAAATTTAAATAAGAATTCTCACTTTCAAAAAAATTGCGATTATTTATTTTGCCTTAAAGCATCTAAACAAATAAATAATTAAAATTCATTTTCACATCAAATAAAGAGTTGCTAGTCAAAATATTCCAATAATATTAAAAAAATTTAATAAATGAATATGCAATCTACATAATAAAAAACAAGGCCAAACAAAGTTATGACAAGTCTCCACCCTGCTCAGAATATTTTAAGTACTTAAAATCCTATATATCTACCAGAAAATAAAATAGAATTTAAATCTAGATATTCTCTTCCGCATCTTCATCACCATAATATCAACTAAAGAAATTAATTAAACCAAAACTTTCATTCATTAGAAGTAACAGCAAACGAGAGACCTTTTTCTTTTTACAATTACTTAAACACCCCTGATGGACTACCTACAACACAAAACTATTACTTACATGTTAATTGTAATGAAAAAGATCCTTAATTTTAATATATAAATAATGTTTTATAAATCAATAACGATCAATCTTCTTCAATAATAATCGCTGATAAACAACATTATCAACTGATAAATCCATCTTAATTATTTCCCAATTAACATATGATTCATATAAATCCTTTACAAAAATCTTTATATCCCAATTACTCGCACATGGTTTAGCCTTAATAGTCAACTTACTACTAAGGCTTTCCTGGATAAGTTCCAATTAATACTTATGAATATTGCTATTCAAACAGTATTTCATAAAATAACAGTTAACAACCTGATTAAATCATTCCTAAAAAATAGGTACATAATATTGCTTTAGATGAGGAACCTAGTAATCTAGTGATTAATAATCAAATTCAAGAAACTAAAGACAATTAGAAAGTGAGCTTTTATAATTCTAAGCGAAAAACTTTAGAAGTATATAAAAATAAACAAAATGACTGTTAAGATTCCTCAAGCTCCAAAGATACTTTAGGATAACAAAATGGGGTTAGATAAGAAAACAGTTTGCAAAAGCAGAATGACAAAAACGAGAATAATAATTGGGTACATATTTTAAATACTATTATTAAAAATGAATATGATTCAGAAAAAAAAGCTAAAAAAATAAATATAAACTATGAACAAAATTAAAAAAACGAAGAATTAAAAGTGCACACTTAGCTTAAATAGTAGCAAATTTAGCTTTTTAACTAGCTCGATAATTAATGCTAATAAAATGATAATAGCAATAATTAATAGTCAGAATAAAAAGTACTAAAATAGTAACAATAAAACTCAAACAACCCAACTATATAAGAAGATTAGGGAGAATTTAAAAATCAATCTAAGCTTTATTCATTATAATACTTTAAAAAATAGACTTGTGGTTTTAGAAAAAAATCTAAAAATGATACTGAAATTGAAGTAGAATCAACAATTAACTAGTTTATTCAATTTAAAGATAATTATTTAAAAATTGAAAATAATTTCTAAAAAGATCATGATTGCGATGAGTAGAAAATGTAAAGTTCTTAATAAACTCTTCAAAATCAAACACTCTTTAAATTAGATAAAGGCTTGCTTAAAAAGAGAAAATTATATTAAAAGTCTGATGAAGATTTAATTAATAAATTAAGTTATACAGTAAAGGTAGAGAGTAATCATGAGTCACTCCTAAGTTAGAATTCTAACTTGAAAAAAAAGCATACAATAAAAATTTAATAAGAATTAAAATAAAACCTGAATTCACCTAAAACATCAGTAATTAAATAGTAACAAAAATTGCAAGAAAATGTATAAGTAGACTGCAACTAAGATAATCAAAATGAATCAATTACCAATGAGCATAGCTAGATTGCTTCTACTTTTAGTGATGAATTCCTTATAGATTTGAAAAAATAACAATTATTGAATTTTCGTAGCTAAAAGGCTTCATTAAAGAATAAAAAGGGGGAAAAGTCTGACTAAAAATAAAAAAATAGATGTGATATTTTAAAATAAATAGAAAATGAGGATAAATTTTTTGATGAATACGAAAATTAGGAAGAATGGGAGGATTCTTTCTTCCATCAAATGAAATAAAATTCAAGGAGTGGTGGAAAATCGTTTTTCTTAGTTTCTAACTATAAGAAAAGGCTCTTTAAATAACTAGAAGAAAATGATCAATCTGTGATACTATCAATGAAAAAGTCTAAGAAATTCAACTTCTCTAAAAATGTTATCAAACAGTTTTTAAAAGTGATGAATTCTTAAATTAATTATATTTATATTCTTGATGAAAATTCAAATAATAAAAGTGATTAATAAACATAAATTGCTCATAATGAAAAATTTTGTCATAAAATATAATATAATGCAGAAAATGTTTAGAAATTGACTCAAGAAAATGAGTCTCATAATTTTGATCAAGAAATTTAATTTAAACAATCTAATTTAAACAACAATAAAAAGTAAAAAAACAATCAATTTGATTAACAAAGTGCAAAAAAAGAAGATAATTTTGATAGGTCTAAGTACATTTAAATTTAAAATCCTTCCCAATCCTTATTAAATGAACTCCGTCAAAAACTAAAAAAATTTTTAATATCCACTTCCTATACTCATTTTTCTTTGAAAAAAATTATTTCTCATAAATACTACTCTTTGTATTTTTAAGACTTTCTTCAAAATTATAGCGATGAGTGGATTTAATCTGGAAAAACTAAATATAAAAACGAACAAAAAATTATGATACATTTTTTAAAACTTTGTTTTTGTAACAGGAAGTTACTTATATTTTTGAGTTAGCACGACCCACTAAAAAACAAAGACAGTAATGAAAATGAAGAATGAATGTATGAATAGATATAGAAATAAACAAATTAATAAATAAATGAGTGAATATTTATTATTTTGATTATGATTAATATATATAGAGACTTTTATAAATTTGTTTTTATTATATAAATTTAAATCTTATTTTATCAAAATTTATAATCACCGAATTTTAGTTTATTGAAAATTAACTTGAGAAAATATCTTTTTTTTATGTAAAATTGTGTACTTGATGTTTCTTTAACTTTCAGATTTTTAAAAATAGTTAATTTTTTTAATTTGTTATTAAAAAACTTAACTTGTATTCACATAAAATTGGAGATATAAACTCATTATCTATATAAACAAAGAAATTTTAATCAATATAAATTGTTAAAGTAAATAAAAAGATGTAAGAAAGGACATTAGCCAATTATCTAATTTTTTCTAGATATAATTGAAAAAAAAATAATGAGTTAATTTAAATACCGGATTTTATGTTTCTCTAATTTTTTAATAATCAATTTAAATCAATTTATATCAGATTTGAATAAAATTTTATCGTTTGATTATTAAAAGTTTAAATCGACTGTTTAACAAATAAAAAAAATAAATGCAAATTTATAAACAAAATACTTAATTTTTTGAAGATCTCATAAAATATAAAGATTTATATAAATATATCAAAAAAAAAATCAGCTTATTCCCAGTTCTCTTTGAAAAAATCAAAAATATTCTTTAATAATTTATAATAATACAATCAACATAGTTTTTCATTAATTCTGGATAAAATTTAAAAGTTGCATTCAAAATTTATATAATTTGATTTCTTTACAAAACAAGTTTTTCAAAAAATTAAATAAGTAAACAAAAACAAATAAGTTATTAAATTATAATTTCTAATAATATAAATGATATTATTTAAGTCAGATTTTATTAAATCCAAAATTAATAATTATAAATAAATATTTAGATTTCAAAATAAAACATTTGATTTTTATTTATATTTCTATTATACGAATTTTTTCACATAATGTATTAAAAGAAATATTTTATATTGAATTTTTAAAAAATTAATTTAGACGTTTTTTAATTATCCTGTATTGAGGTTTCAACTGCCCATTTGTTTTTAGTTTTGTTTTGTTAAAAAATATCTCTTCATCAAAAATAAATATCATAATTTAGCAAGATTTTAATCATTTAATTATAAAGCATAGAAAAAAAAAATGTATAATAGCTAGAATAACTCAAAAGGATAAATAGATTTATTAGATGATTTATGTACAAAGCCTGATTAAAAGTCAAATTAAATTTCCTCTAACTCGCTGAAGAGTATCCAAAATTTAATTATTATATCCATTTTTTATTACAATCTTTATTATTATAATAAAGCATATAAAGATGAACAAAGCAATAAAGAAAATACGAAGTAATCTGATTCATTTTAAAAAGAAAATGAATTTGTGAGCAATAATATTAGCGATTCCTAATAGAAGCTATAATTTGCTAAATAGAATAAAAAGCTTGGAGCTACCAACCCTTCATTGCTTGAATTTTTTAGAAGCAAAGAAAAAAATATAAAGCCAATATTAGATTTGTGGAAGAAAATGGATGAAAATATAAATAGCTAGCAAGATGATATGAAAGCTAAATTTATTGAATTAAGCACATATCCAAAAGCATTTGTAGCTCTTAAAAACTTTCATCTTAAACTTGCTCAATCAGATTAAATGTTTGCTTAAACATATTATGTAATTAAATTACATCTTTTGAAGTGATAAATTATTACAAAATGAATAATAGGAAAAAGAAGCGTAGGAAAATGATAAGCACTCATAAGTAATTCATAAGGCTTGCTAAGATGGTGCAGGAGAATAATAAATAGCATTATTAGTTAACTCTCACTTATAAAAGTAAGAATAAATGGAAAATGAATTTAAAAATAGATTTGATGATTAAGGATTAGTGTTTTTAAGCGAATATGAATAACTTGTTAATTAATTATATGAATAAAGACAAGAATTCTTGAGTTTAAAACTTTAAGATCTATCAGAAAATGCATAACAAAGTAATATATATGAAGAGTTTCTTACAGAAATATAGAATTTAGATACATCAACAAATGTAGGGGGAAGTATAAATAATGGGTCAAGTTAATCTGCTTATTCATAAATAACATCCGGTATTCAAAATTTAATTTAAGGAAACAATAAAAAAAATGAAGGAAACAAACATAAAATTTAACTCTGCTTGGGCATGTAAAAAAAGAGGATATTCCAAATTCAAATAAGTAGTAAACCAATTTAAAGTGTTCTTTCAAATTTGAACTATTTAAAAAAGGTTAATTTTGATAATAACACTTATAAAAATTTTATTTACGGTTAGAATTAAAAAAATGCAATTCTAAATATAATGACTAGCGTTTCAAAATTCAATCATCACCTTAAAAGGTACTTTAAGTTTAGAACAGACATACACTTTCCTTCTTTCTACTAATAATATTAGGATGCAATTTAAAGTAATAAAATATTTTTATTAATTAACTAGTTGAAAAAATAAAAATCAAAACGAAAATTAATTTTTATTAAAAAACAGAAAAAAATATTTAAGTAGAAGGAGATGTAGTAGTTACTCGCCATTCATGTAGTGGAAATGTGCATTATATGTTTACAATAACAAGAAAAGAAGATAATAAAAAATTAGACTTTTCTTTTTTAAAATACATAATTAAAATATCGAATGAATTTCAGATTAAAAAAATTATCATACCCATTCAGCTTATTATCATGTAATAAAAAGATTTAAAAACAAATACTGAATTTATAAAAGAATTTTGCACAAGTCTTAAACGTGAATTATAAATACTTTCCTATGATTACACCTACACCTAACAATTTCTCTAAAAAATTGAAATAATCCTCCCATTAGAAAACAACAGAATGAAGGAAATGTATGAAAAAATCAAAGATGTTCTTCTTTAAGTTTTAGAGTGAATTTAAATTAAATTCCTATTTTATTAATTTATTTATATAAACCAATTATTTATATTATTTTATTATTAGTGTATTAATTATAAAAATGGTTTTACCAACTCTGCATAAATATTTAAATTTATATAACATTTTAATTTATTTTGTCTGAAATATTTATATCTTAAACAATTCTCTCTATAGTAAAATAGTAAATCTGTGAAAGTCTATTTGCAGTATTCTAAAATATTTCAAAATGGCTAGAATTAGATGAAAAGCAAAATTTTTACATTTAAGAAATAAAATATAATTTTATTTATAACTTCAAGCATAAATTAGTTTTATTTTTCAAGAATTTTTATTTTTTTATATTGAATTATTTTATATAATTAATATATCTCTTATTAATAATAAATTTCCAAAATTTATTTAAATATAAATAAAATTAATTAATGAAGAATATTTATTCATAATGAATTCCGATAATTATTTAAAATTCAATTTAAGTTCAAATACTAAAATAAATAAATTAAATAAATGAAAAAATAAATCTTCTAATAAATAATTAAAAAGAGTTTTGATAATTTATTTGTTTTAAAGAAATTCAACTTACATAAATACATTCAATAAAATAAATATAAGATATAAGGTAAAATAATTGTTTAATATAAGTTAAATTAAATTCTAAAAACAAAGCTATTTAATTAAGTTACATTTTATACATTAAATAGTAAAAATTAATTAATTATTAAATAAAGTTTTAAATTAATATGTTTTGAGTATATCATTATTTCTGCTTATTTTATGCAATTAATTAAAGAATTTTAAATTTTTAGTGATGGATTTAAAATAATAGTGACTAATTCTACCAAGAATATGCTGATTTTAATATAAATTATATAGTATATTTATAAATAGTATAAGTAGATTAATAACTTATTAATTATTAAAAAGTTTAAAATTTTTAAATTAAGATTTATTTGTTTGTTTGTTTGTTATGTTTATTTATTTATTTTACTGTAAATGTTTGATTTTTCTATTTAAATAAACTTAGGTATCAATCAATCTAAAACGTTTTATTAGAAAAAGCTAAGAAAGCGGTTTGAATATGTTTGTGGATCGACTGTAGATTATTATCCACCTAAAATTGAATTTTTAATTGCTGCAATTATTTTTTTTGAAGCAGTATATTCTGTAAAAATGTTTATTATCCCCAAAAAGAAAACTTATTTTCTATCTATTGATTATATTTTACTAAGGGTTGACTCCGAAGCTGTTTAATTATTTTACTCGTTTTAGTTTTAGTTAGTTTACATTTATGATGAATAATTTGAGTTATACAAATCATATTGATTGGCATCTTCATATTTTTCAAAGCTATGAACACCAATTAAAGCACAATAATTGAATATTTTATTATCTGAAAGGAATTAGCTATCGCTTTACAATTGGTCTAGGATTTATTATTTTAGCTTCAAATCTACTCTGATTTTAATATTTGAATTAATCCAATCTTTATCTTTTCTTGGTAGAGTTTAATCAGGTCTTGGAGTATTTTTTTTTTCAGCTTTACGACCTTTTGTACTACCTTTTATTTCAAATCTATGATTTATTGATAGATTGGTATTAAAAATATTTTAACAAACTATAAAATATACATCTTCCAACTGTTCTTACTTCTAATTTTTTACATTTTGTTAATCAGCAAAGCTACTAGAATTCCTTTTGTTGCTTGTATTATCTTTTCTTGTTTACAGCTTGTATAATCCATAAATACGCATCAAGAGAGAATTTGGTTAAGATGTGATATACTGGTGGTACTGTGGTAGTACTTTTAAAAAGTTTTTAGCACTTTATTCTTGAATAATTTTTACTATAAAAGAACCACATTCACTGTAATACTAAAATTTTTTATAAGGCTTATTCGAAGACCTGCAGAGCTCTGAAATTTATGACATTCTCCCCATAATCAAATTGCCAATTAGGTTTTCAGGTCCTAAAGAGCGAAGAAATTTTTCATGGGAGATATTCGAGGACCTTCTAATACTCTCAAAAACAAGAGGACAATAATCAATATATTCCAAATTAGCAAATTAATAATTATTATTTGAGATAGTATTAAAAAGCAATTACTAATTGTTTGTCATAAAATCTTTGGGCTTTAGTTCTAAATTTAAATTTACTGCAGCCATAGAATTCCCATAAATTGCTGATAAGTTGGGGAAATTCGAAAATGTTTTTTTGTCTGGGAACACAGAGCTTTAATTTTCAAGGTAGGAGAATGTAGACTGGAGAGGAAGAACTTAAAGATTATTGTTATTAATATTATTGCTTTTTTATTAATTTAGAGGAATATACTGCGAATTCTAATGAAACAAGTTAATCTAATTATTTTAATAATAGCTGCTCTAATTTTAAAGAGCAGTATTTCCATTTAATTAGCTAACATTTTAATTACCTTCTGTGAACATACTGGAGTTGTTAGTGCCTTGCTATCCGTGGTTCTAGAAGGCAGGATGATTAATTTATTTTAATGATTTAATAGCACTTCTTATAACAAGCATCATTTCTAAGACTAAATTCCAGTTTTAATGTCCAATATAGAGCTAAAGATTTCTTTTTCTATCTAGATTTTACTTTTTTTGTTTATCGCTTAAAACTGCTGGCATATTTTTAATGGTACTCTTTCTTAAATTATTTTAGTTAATGCTCTCAAAAGAATTTTCAATAGCAATACTTTTATGTCTTACCAATCCAGCATTGGAAGTAAAGTTAGAAATTTGTGGTATGCAAGTACTGAATCTTACAGGATGAGGAACTAAATTGTGATTGTTATTCTGCACTTTAGATTCTGGTTATAAAAAATTCGTAATAGAATTAAGTTAATTATATTTAGTTTGAGGTTTATCTTTTTAATTTTAAATAAATTAGTATGACTCTAATGAATTCTAAAAGGACTCTTCTCTTATCGCAGATTAACTTAATTCTTATATTTTTTTATTGCCATTCTTATTGACATACTTTACAATTTTATTTGTATTCATTTTTTCCTCTAATTCAGCTAACTATTTTTGATAATCAGCTATTAATTCAATATATCCTTGTATTTGCTTTTCTATTTTTTTGTATTCTTCTGCAATATACTCAACAGCTGACATATTTTATAAGTTATTTTCTATGTTCGATTTAAATTCGCTTTCTTGATCTAGGTAAGCCTCCGAATACTATGAATAGTCATTTAACGGTTGCTTCAGGTTTTCAGGCTAGCTGTTAAATTCTGAATAGCTATTTTCGAGATATAATTTAGGGTTTCTTAAATAAGGAGATTAGAGACTGCTATTTGTTTAGTTATTTCTTTTAATTAAATTTTATATTACATCGCTTTAGCTGCTTATACCAGATATAGGAGACTGTTTTGTGTCAAATATATTCGCATCTCTTTTAGGTGAATTGTTGCTTATAATGCTATTTTAGTGCTCAAGTACTTGAAATTTTGCTTCCTAGAATGGCCTATTGTTTCTGTAGTCAGTTTCATCTTCGCTTAAAGGATCTGTATCTCCTAAATTCTAATCAGTTGGTAGCTCGATTTTGAGTGGTCCATTAAATATAGGGATTTAATTATTTAAGTCTTCAGTTATATCATTTAATTCTTTTTAGGAATTTTGGTAAATTTTGGCATAGTTATCTTATTTATTTAAGTTTTAGTTATGTTGAGGAACAGCAGAATTTAAATTAATTTTAATATTTTATTGCTGATTTTCTAATTATTTATTGTTATTATTTGAGGGAGTTTGTTAATTTAAAAACGAATTATTTATAGATTTATCAAAATTTTGAGTTTAATTTTAATTATTCACAATTTTATTATTTTAGGTTTAATTTTGAAATTAATTATTGAAGACTTTATTGTTTTATGCCTCTTCTTTTGTGATATTAGAGTTATTGCTGACGATTACAGCAGAAGTATTAAATATTTTTTCTTTATTGTTAACTTGCCTAAGTTATTGTTAGCCTTGTTGATCATTAAAGCTTAGAAAGTTAAGAGCTAGTTCTTAGCTTCTTTGAGGTGCGATTTAATCAAAAATCTTGTGCTTTCTCCTAGTTCTTGTGGTGGAAGATTCGTCTCTGTTAGTCTTTTACTCAACAACAGCTTCTAAACTTTTCGTTTCTGCCACATCTTTTAACCCACCGCAAGAAAGAATTGAAAAAGAGCAAGAATTAGATTGCTCTTATTTTTGTTTTTATGCAGCCTTAAAATTATTTAATTCATAATAAGCTGATTAATCAAAAATAGCACCACTATTTCTTTAGGAATAATTTTGTGTAACAGATTAATTAGTGATGATATTTTAATTCCTATAACTTGGTAAATTAGAGCTATTTTTGATATTGCTTTATTCTAGATTATTATGTACTGGTTAAACGACGCTTTGTTTTGCCTTAATCTAATCGAGTGAGACATTGTTTTAGTTAAAAATAGAAATTCTCCCATTAGAATGAGGCTACTGTAATTTCATATTGGCAAGTAAGTTCAAGGTCATTGTTGACGATGTTGAAAAGTCAATAGACGGATGAAACTTTTTAAGTAAATTCACATCATTAATTTGTTGCTAGTTTTAATTAAATTTTTTACTATTTATTAATATTGAAGAAGTTGATGAATTGCTTTAGAATTCCACTGTATTTTCTCCGTTTTTTTATATTGAATTTCTCTTTTCTTATGGAGAGGATTGAGTTTAGATATTGCTTGACCGCTTACTTTAGTTAAAAGTTTATCCTTAATTTACTACGTGTTCAAAAACATTTTTTTTATTCTTCTCAAGATTATTTAAATCTTTCTTTTTTTCTTGTAAATTATTTGATTAGTATTAATCTTAACTTTGATCAATCTTCTATCTCCTTGTTGCAGAACCTAAATCTATCTAATTACTGGACTTATTAAGTTAGATATAGTTAGCATTTTATTATTGTTGTTACTACTAAACTTATCTTGAAGTTGATTAGTTCGATTGTTACTTTTACTAAACTTGTTATAGTTTGATAAGAGGAACTTACTTCTATTTTAATTTAGTAACTGTATTCTTATGCTCTTTCTATAAAAGTTCCTTAAATTTACTTGATACTTTATTAAGCTGGACAGTCAACTAAACTATTTCTTATTCTATATTTTTAAGATTTGCCTCTATTTGAAGCTTCAAGAGCTAATCTTTCTATTTTACTATCTCTTCGTTTTCAATTTTTGCAATTTTATTTTCTGTTAACTCATCTTGATTAAAGAATTCAAACCACTAAAAGTAACAATCCTGGTTGTAATACATCTTTTAAAAATCACTTAGACGCACTTCTCCAGTATTCTTTGGATCCAAAGCCCTAAATATTTCATCTATGTGTTAGCGCTAAGGTACAACTATCTATCCTGTTAATTCTTTCCAAAAAAGAGCTACTTTTTGTATTAGGTACTGAATATCCTCATAAAGAATTCTGCCCTTATTTTCACGATCAATAAACTAAAAACTCATCTATGCTTTTTTAATGTCATCCCTATTCATAATGACATCTAAGTATTTCAGGAAATCCATAAAACTAATCCACTCATTTTTGTCACTATCAATTAAATCAAATATTCTATCAGCCAAAAAACAAGCATTATCCATGCCAAGTATTCCCAATGAGCTTCTAAAAATTTTTCTATTCATTAAATCCTCTTTGTATGCATGTTTTATGTATGTTTTTCTGATTGTTTTTACCTCATCTAAGTTAAATTTTGTTTATTATAAAAATTCATCATCCTAGTATGTGCGAGGTTGAATGCCAAAAGATAAATCATCCAATTTCTTTGTGTTTTGAGAAATAAATGATTTTTGTTATTAAATATCTGCCTTACTACTCATAAAATTTATGCTTCTACCTTTGATTGTTACTCGTTTTATTGGTATTTATCTTCAAACTAATTTATCAAAGAGGTCAATACTAGTAATATAGAAGTATAGCTTTCAATTTCTAACAAAAATGTTTGCAGTCCTTATTATTAGTTTGGTATAAATTATGGACTATCTATATATACTAAGTTTGTTATTTCTTTATTTCTTTATTGGTTCCTTAGTATTTAACTAATAAATTAGAAAAAATAATCTTCAATTAAAAACTATAAAAAAAGCTTATATCTTAATAATAATTTATCGCTAAAGTAAATCCAAGTCTTCACTTCCATATAATTCTAAAAATAATCCTATTTGAGAATATCGATTATGATCATAAATATATTTTTTAATACTTTGTCTTTATTCAAATAGGCATTTATATTATTTCATCTAAATCCATAATTTCTCAATTTTAAATTTTCATCTACCAATCTATTTATTTTTCTAACTCAATCGAAAATATTAATTAATAATTTTATTCATATAATTACTTTCATACATACTTATCAATATCAAATTATTACCATTCAACAATTTTTAAGTTTATGGTCTTGGTTGATTTTGTCAATTATACTTTCTAAACAGTATTTTTACTTGATTAGAACTAGTTCATTTTTTAATTTTTACTATTTCATACTTTAAATATTATTTGGTAGTGTATGTCTTATTTTAATTTAAATTATTTACAAACATTTTTCTAAATAATTTTAAATAATTGCTTAAATACTTTATTCAAAGTATACTTAGGGTTTTTATTATTATTATTATTATCCATCAATTAAAGCAGTCAAATTAAAAAATGAAAATTTTACCATTGGCGTTTTTGAATTTTAATAAGATTTATTATTTGGAAATAAATAAACAATTTTTGATTAGATTTTTAAATTAAAAATTATTTTGAGAATAAAAACATCTTAACTTTTTTTCTTGCATTTTGTAAATTTAACAATTGATAAATAATAAACCAATTAAATAACAATTTGATTAATTTTTCATTTAATTAATTATAAATTTTATTATAATTTGTTATTATGAAATATTTCAAGAATGAAAATAATTTAATTAATTTCTGTATGATTTTTAATTTTAATTAAGAAACTAATTTGTTCTAAAATATTTTAATTGCTAAAATTCTTATAATAAAGTAAAAAAATTTCTAAAAATTTTATATATTCGTTAAAGTTTAACATGGCTTGTTAATGTTAATCATTGCTAAATGTGGATCAAAAATAAATGATTTATTGTGCAAGAAAATAAAATTAATAGTACAAATTAATGAAAGTGAATATTAGAAGCAAAAATAAACAAAACTAAAAATAAAAATAAATAAAAATGAATGCAAAATAACAAAGACATAATGGCATTGATTTGTGTCTTTTATTGATAAAAATAAAAAATAACTAGAATTAATAAGGGTTTTATAAGACTTGATTAAACACATACAAAAATTAAAGCAAAACTCATTGTTTGATATTGTAAACAAACAAAAAAAAATCAAAAATAAGAAAAGAAGAAGAGTGAATAAATTAAGATAATTAAATATCTATCTTTTAAAATTAACTTATATAATAAATCCTTAAAATAAATAAATTAAGAATCAAGAAAATTAAACATGAAGGAATCATTAAGTAGAGAAGATCATATTGCTCGTGCAAAGCAATCAAATTTAGATTTTTCAAAAAAGCTTAAGTAAGCTGCCTTTGCTCACATAGACTCTTTCAACTTCATTTACGATGAAGGATTAAAAAAAATCACTTAGTACTTGTAGCCAGTTGAAATTATTAAAGAATAAAGATCTGAAGAATACAAGTAGAGTTACTTGCCCTTTAAATCTATGAAGGTTTGGATTGAAAACCTCGAAATAGCGTAATTAATTATGATTTATTCGTTTAATTACCTTTCATCTGCAAACCAAAAAGTGGTATTTTTTGAAGATTTGGTTTTCAAATCTTAAACAAGACTAATTTATTTATAAGTCCCATCAATGTTTTTTAAAAGAAATCTTCTACTTTAAAGAAAAGTACATTTTTTAATTTACTTTACAAACAGGACAGCATACCACAAAAACTAATAGAATAGAATCATTTTTATTTCAAATATGATAAAATTTACTTTCGATTTTGACTTTTTTTTAAAGGAATTATAAAATAACAAATTGTCTAAGCAATACTTTATATTTAGTAGCTAATTTAACCATCTTCAAAAATAATTTATTTTCCAAGGTTTATAATTCCATTAAGATAGAATGATTTATTTGATACTTTTATATTTGATAATAATGATGATGGTGGATGATAAGGTTAATAATAGATAAATAAATTTAATGATATTTCAAAAACAATTTCTTATAGTTGTAATGTTTTTAAACTTTTTTAATAATTATATTCTAGCACTCCTATCAGAGCCGATTCAGGTGTAGCTGAAGACAATAAATTAATGCCCGAAGAATGTAGAATAGGAAGAAAGACTTATGGAGCTCCTCTTTTCGCAAAGGTAGCTCGTAGTATTGATGGAGGAAAGCCTGAAAGCATAAATATTAGATTAGGCGACATTCCTATCATCGTTAGAAGTGATCATTGCCATTTAGCAAAAATGACTCCTAAGGAATTAGTGAAAGCTCACGAAGATTGCAATGAATTTGGTGGATATTTTATTGTCAATGGTAATGAAAAGATAGTCAGAATGCTTATCCTTCAAAAAAGAAATTATCCTATTGCTTTTATCAGAGCAGGTTATGTTAATAGAGGTCCTAATTACACACCTTTTGCAGTTTAAATGAAGTGTGTGAGAGAAGATTTATACTCAAAAACAATTACTCTCCACTATGTTTCTGATGGTTCTGTTTTCTTGCGTATTCTTCACAGAAAGCAAGAATTCTTGATTCCAGCTATCGTTATCCTTAAAGCTTTAGCTGATATTTCTGACCTTCAAATTTACAATAAAGTAAATTTTTATTTAATGATAAATTTATTAAGTATTATAGTTTAATGAATGATTTTTACATAAAAAAATAATTAAAATGAATGTAATATAATAGGAGTTATTAAATTTTAAACAATATTAATTAAATAGTTAGTTAAAGGTTAAAGCAGCAAGAGTGCTATTAGTGATAGAGTTGAAGTACTTATTAGGGGTAGTAAAGCAATGAGTTTAAATACTAAGGAAGAATGTTTGGCTCACTTAGGTAAAAATTTCAGAGTCGTACTCAACATCACTAACCCAGAAATTACTGATAAGCAAGTTGGTGAAATTTTCATGAATGAAAACATTTGCGTTCACTTAAATAATAACATCGATAAGCTCAACACTATTTGTGTTATGATTAGCAAATTATATGCCTTAGTCAGTGATGAAATTTGTCCTGATAACTTAGATTCTTTGCAAAATTAGGAAGTCCTCTTACCTGGTCATCTCTATATGATGATTTTAAGAGAAAAGTTAGAAGAAATGCTTTTAGGTATCCGTGCTAAAGTTTTTAAGGATGGTTCTAGACCCGAAGAAGCTATTAGAATTCCTCATATCGCTTACTTAAAAAAAGCCATTGAATTTTAAGGCTCTATTGGAAATAAAATTGAATATTTCCTCTCTACTGGTAATTTAAAATCCCAAACTGGTTTAGATCTCATGCAAGTAATATTTAAATTCATTTCTAAAAAAATTTATATTGATTAAAAACTATCATAATAAAGGCTAAAGGTTTCACAATTATAGCTGATAAGTTAAATAATATGCGTTTCTTGAGTCACTTTAGAAGTGTCCATAGAGGTGCTTATTTTACAGAAATGAAAACAACAACAGTTAGAAAATTATTACCTGAAAATTGGGGTTTCATTTGCCCTGTGCACACTCCTGATGGTGGTCCTTGCGGTTTGTTAAATCACATTTCTTAATCATGCAAACCCCTTACCAGACCTGGGTATGATGGTAATATTCACTTCAATTTAGTAACTCTCTGCACTGAGATAGGTATGAATCCTATTGTAAACGATTTGTCTATCGTATTCCCTCCTACTTCTGTTACTATTATGCTTGATGGTAGAGTTATTGGTTATATTGAATCTAAAAATGCATAAACATTCTGCCAATCATTAAAATATTTAAAAATTATGCAAGATCCTACTCGTTTAATCCCTGCTGATTTGGAAATCGGTTATGTTCCTAAACTTAATCTTGAAAAACAAAATATTTTCCCAGGTATCTTTTTACACACTAATGAAGCTCGTTTTGTTCGTCCTGTTAAGCACTTGAAATTAAATGCCTTAGAATGGATTACTCCTTTCGAATAAGTCCATCTTTCTATTGCTTGCATTGAAGAAGATATTAGAAACGATACTGAATACTAAGAACTCTCACCTTCATACATTCTTTCAATTTTACCTTCTTAAATTCCTTTCCTCAATTATAACTAATCCCCTAGAAATATGTATCAGTGCTAGATGGCTAAGCAAACTATGGGTACTTCTATGCACAATTTCCCTTATCGCTTTGATAACAGAATATATAGATTATTAAATGGTTAAATTCCTATGGTTAAAGGTATGGATCCTGAAAGTTATGGTCTTTCTGATTATCCTTCTGGAACAAATGCTATCGTTGCAGTTATCAGTTATACTGGTTATGATATGGAAGACGCTATGATTCTGAATAAATCATCATACGAAAGAGGATTCGGACATGGTTGTGTCTATAAAAACTACTCATACGATGTTGCTGAATTAAATAAAGAAAAAAATTCTAAATTTAAGATGTTGAATGAAGTTAAAAATATTGACAGTAAATTATCTTAATCTTTTTTTTAATTAAAATTTATATTTTCTATTTGAAAATTATTTAGAGAGTTAAATCGCTGAAGGTTTAGAAGGTGATGGTATTCCAGCTATTGGATCAGTAATTAAAAAAGGCACTGCTGTCTTCTAAATATATGATACTTAAAAAAATGCTATGAAAACTTTCTACCACAAGGACTCAGAATTAGGTAGATTAGATGGTATAGCTTTAGTCCATGATGAAAAAACTAAAGAACCAAGAGTTGAATATAGAATTAGAATTCCCAGAAATCCTATTATTGGTGATAAATTCTCATCTCGTCACGGTCAAAAAGGTGTTCTTTCTGTCCTTTGGCCTCATATCGATATGCCCTTCACTGAAAGTGGTATTACTCCTGATGTTATCATTAACCCTCACGCTTTCCCCTCCAGAATGACAATTGGTAAATTTACTCTTTATTCAAGAAGATTAACTAATTAATTAAATTTTAATAAAAAAGGTATGTTAATCGAAAGTATGGCAGGTAAATCTGGAGCTCTTAATGGAAATATATTAGAAACTTAACCTTTCTAAAATTATTAAGATGATGATATTGTTAATTATTTCGGTAAATAACTTTAATCTCATGGTTATAATTATTACGGTAACGAAGTTATGTATAGCGGTACATATGGTTGCATGATGAAAGTTGATATCTATATGGGTATTGTATACTATCAAAGATTACGTCACATGGTATTTAAAATTTTTGTTAAAGATTGTTAATTAATTGTTATTTCTAATAATATATTAAAGGTTTCAGATAAAGCTTAAGCAAGATCTACTGGTCCCGTTGATATGCTTACTTAACAACCTATTAAAGGTAATTATTAAAAAAATATGTCTTCTAGCTTACTTAATTATATACAAAAAAATAAAAAAATAGGTAGAAAGAGAGGTGGTGGTATTAGAATGGGTGAAATGGAAAGAGATGCTCTTCTTTCTCACGGTATCTCCTTCTGTATGCATGATAGATTCTTAAACTGCTCAGATTATTCTGAAGGTTATGTTTGTAATAGTTGTGGTTCATTGGTCTCAACATACCTACATACTAATTTAATGAGTGGTGAGGCTATTGATAGTTTCTATAATTACAATAAGGGTGTTTAAAAGTCAAAACCTAAATGCAGAAAGTGCCAAAATGCTGAGTGTTCTAAAGTAGTAATTCCTTTTGTATTAAGATACTTGACTAACGAGCTTGCTGCTATGAATATCAAGCTTGCCTTTAAGCTTGAATGAGTAGATTGATTCCAGTTCACTAAAAAATAAAAAGTTTTTAATAACAATTAAATGACAGAATATAATAATTAAAGATTAACTTTGTACAAATTTCAAACTAATCTAATCTAATCCAAAAATCAATAAAATATTAATGAAAAACTAAAAAATAAATTAGATATCTCTAAATACAAATTTAAATAAATACTTAAAATAATATAATATTCTCAATAAAAAAAAAATAATAATATACCTTAATCTTATTAGTTATAATCTATATCATGCAAGTGAAAATACCTTTTATTTTTTCATTCAGTTTACTTTAAGCAAGTGTTTTCTTTTTATTTTGTAATTAATTAACTAACTTAAGAAAGTGTTAAATTAAATTAAAATATCAAACATAATTTATAATAAAGAAAATTTGGTAAATATTAAATAAAACATTTTTAAATTTCAATTTATAAATATCATTAAAAAAATTTCACTATCTCTTCAAAATAAATTCCTTTGATTAGTTCAAGGTTTGTCTTAAGTAGAAATAATATTCTTTTAATGAAAATTTAAATTTAGATAGATTTTTACTCATGAAATTAATTTTTTAATATTGATGTATTTTTTGTTAACTCTTTTATTAATTTAATTTTTAAATTCCATTTATTAAAATAAGTACTTCTCTTTCTTTTTGAAAAGTAAAAACATATTTTGATATTTTTAATTTATAAAATCAGTATTAGGATAATTTAAAATATAATTAAAAAAAAATCAATTATAAATTATTCAAATTAAAATATTGACTATAAAACATACATATTTTTTAGCAAGATAAAGTAAAATTTCTTAATAATAGATTTAAAAAAATAAAAAGGTAAATTTATAAAAAATCAGAATTAGATAAATTTTAATTTAGGAAAACAATACAAAATATAAATTAATACTTAAAAGAATATTAAAAAAACATTTCCTAAACATTTTTAAAAGATTAAAATATGATTCTATATTTTCACTCTAATTTTGCACAATAAGGTTATCTTTCAAATTGTCTAAAGCTATAATCTATTTTAGAATATAATTCATCAACAGATTTATTTCTTTCAAATAATTTATCATAATTTATCTCTTGAAAGTTATTTTCTTTAAATTAAAATAATTAAAATTCATCTTTTGTATTCTAAATGTATTCTTTTAGTATTTCCTCTCTTTTTAAAAGCATATCATATATTTAATTCAAGTGACTGTAACCTACTATTGCTAAAAAAATTTTTAAATTAGATTTTATTTGATTGATTTATAGTAGATAAATAGATTGATATATCTTTACTAAATATTTTCTAGCCCTGTGATTAGTTGCAAGTGTAATTTAAAATGTTGTATTCTCTCTCATAATAAACAACGTTTGTAATGCAATGTCTAGATTCTGAACTTAAAAATTATTCCATCTTCTATACTTAATCATTTACTTCTATTTTGTAACCAAACATTCTCTTGACTATATACGGTATTAAGCCAAAGAAAAAATACGAAAGAACTTATTTCATCTTTTTTTAAATTTAAAAACTAATAAAAATCTTTTAATATTCTTGAACTTATTTATTTGTTTACAGGACTGTTCTTATCTCTAAACTGCCTAACATTGCATGTGCACTAGGCTCTTAAGTATTTTGTTCTATTTTAAATATAGTATAAATCTAAATCTGCTGGTATAATTTAACAGCCTTTTTTTGATCTTTAAGCTGCTTCATAAGCAACTTAAAATTCACTAGATTTAAGAAGAAAAGATAAATTTTCTGGATCTTTTTCTAAATCATTATATACTCTATGTGGCTAAGTCTTTGTATTACCACTAGAATCATTTAGAGAATAAAATCTATTTTAACATAATTCTAAAACCACACTATCAGGATCAAACTTCTTAAAAAGATTCATAACTTCTACTGAGCATTCTTAAAGAGAGTGATATGTTCCAACTATTTATTCAAGATAAATAAATAAAATAATGCTTACCATCTATAGTTATTTTAAAGATAAAATAAGCTTTTAAAACTAAGAAACTTACTAATCAAATATTCTCTGCCATCTACACTCTTTAAGTATTTCGTTATAAAACTTTATTCATGCTAATATGATATATTTTTATCATCTGATAAATCGCTTTCAGAAGTTGAATTTTAAAAATGTGAATATCTAGCCAAGTTTTTTAATTGCATTTCAGATTTTCTATAAATTTTAGATAATATCTGCTTTTTTTAAGCAGCTATACCAGCTTTCTACTCCTCTTAATATTGCAATAAATCAGAAGGATAATCTGAAAATGGATCCAATGCAGATTGTTTGTTTTTGTTTTAAAAACCACATAAATCTACCTCATGGTAAAACTACTTATCTAAATCAAAAGTTCCACATCTGAGTAAGTTTTGTGAATATTTTTAAATCCACTTGTTAAAGTTCATTATTATTTACTGATAAATCCACAAATTATAATTAAATAAAATACTTAGGTAGATATTAAATTATTGATTAATTTCAATAAGATATATTTTTCGAGAACAAAAAGATTTTTTAAAATTTAATATCTTAACTAAAATTTTGGAAAGTTATCAAAAATCTCATTAATGTAAAACATAAAAAATAATCCAAGATCAATCAAATTTTTATCAACCAGGACAGTATTCCTTACAAAATAAAATCTATCAAAATTTTCATATACCAAAAATGATTTGAATTCTATCACATAAAGTTAAATATTTGATAAGATTTTAATTGATTACCTTTATTAAATTAATAAATAAATAAATTTCTTTTTTCAATAAATGAATAATATTATATTTTTTTATCAAATTATTAATTATGATTTTTTATCATATCTTTATTGTTTAAATTTTTAATCAATTAATTAATAAAGTGATTAAATTTTTTTAATTTGCGATATAAAAAAATATTTGATAAGAAGAGTGGATGGATAATTTGGATTCAGCAAATACATCTACTTATGCTTTACTATCTAATGTAAATAGCCAAAGTGTTTTTGAGAAGTTTAAAAGAGAAGATGAAGCTATCTAAAAATATTACGAATCTGAAAGTTTAAAAAAAATATCATATTTAGATCCAAATTAATACTATTAACAACTTTACAATTAGATTGAATAAACAGAAAATATCATTAAGTATTTAAACTATGTTCTAATCGAGTAGCCATAACTCGCTGTTTAAGAAAAAATATAATCAGTAAAATAAAATATGTAGAGATCTGGAAAGAATATTCCTTCTCACTTAGACATTTACATTAGAGAAAAGTTGGAGAGAGATAAAAAAATTGGTAAATTATTTTACACTCCAAAATTATGATTTAATTTTTTAAATTAGAATGTGTTTCATATAATCTATTTATTATAAAAAGATATTAGAAATAATATACATGGATATAAAAGAACTTATTTATAGAGTAGATATTTAAAGAATAAAAAAGATGCTAAAACAAATGAATAGAGAGTTTAAAAAGTTGAATAATTTTTGTAGGAATAAGAATAATTGAGTTACTTTTTAAGTAAAAAGTCTATCTATGATGATAATATTAAAATACCCTTCAATTTAATGTAGAATAGTTCTAAAAGATCTCAAATTTTTAAATTTGAAGAATAAGAAATTTTATTTACTGTTAAATCCGTTAAAATTCAACCTTACTAAATGGTAGAAGATTATGAATTATATTAATATTAAGATTATCTAATTGAGCATTTAAAAGAGCCATATTAAATTTGTGTATATCCTCCAGAAGAAGCGTAATCAAGTACCAAATCAATAAAGTTATCTATAAACCTTAATTAGCTAAATTCATAGAATTAAATAGGAAATAAATAAGATGATATTGAATAAAAAATTGAAATACTCACTTCAAGATTGGAATAGTCTTAAGTTACATGCGATATGTTAATTGATTAATATTTAATGAAAATAAATGATACTTCAATTTTAAGTAATCAAACTAATATATTAACTTATGATAATCAAAATATTTTAAAGGATTAAGAATTAAATCAAGACATAAGTGATAAAATTTCAATTTTAAAAAAGAAAAGGGCTAAATAAGAAATAAAAATCAAAGGGAAGCTAGGATGGATCAAAGATGAAAACTAGATACTTTATGCTTATAATATTAAAGATAAAGAAATGGAAGAATATAATTTTAATGTATTTGAAAAGCTGCTAAAATAATATAGCCAAGTAGAATGTGAAATATAATTTTATGAATCAGAATAAAAACAAAAACTTAAAATATTACAATAAAATAATTAAACTAGAAAAAAAGTTTCTGAATTTTTGAAAAAAAAGAAAAATATATTGTATATTTTTTATCATATTATTTTATAAGCATCTCTTGATAATATTTAGTACTTGTTTCCTTTTGCTGAAAACATCTACCCACTCTATAACTGTAACTATGAGACAGATGTTTAATAAAAATTGCTCTCAAATAATTTCTTAATTTAAAAATAACTAATCAATATTCCTCTATACTTACAAAAAATGTCTTCATTAAAAGAACTAAATAAAGGGCAAGAATAAATACCAAAGCTTTTTCAAAATAGCGAAATAATAATAGCAGTTTTAAGAGTATTTAAAAAGCACAATAAAATGAATTAATATAAATAAAATAAAATTATTGTTCCTTAACTAAAAATCGAAAAGAATTTAAATTAAATAAATCAAATAAACAATTTATAATTTCAAAATTCAACTCCAAAAATATATCAATCAAATTTGAAAAATAACTAATTAATAATTTAATAAAATGAGTAAAAATTTTTAAATAGCTAAAATAAAATTGAATTAGAGGAAATAATGTTTGAAAACTTGTAAAAACAATTTTGTGATATTTATTCTGCCCAGTCATCAAGTAGAAGTAAAGCAGTAAGTAAATTGATTTTTCCTAGATAATATTTATAATAAAAATTTATTTTTTTAGGGTAGTCAATAGTCTATTAAATCAGAGCAACAGTTGTAGCAGTAGCATCCAATATAGAAAGAAAAAAATAAAGAAAAAGAATAATAAAACAATATATAATTTTTACCTATTAACTTTAAATACAAAAGTTTGAGTCAGCAAAATTAATTATAAAAAAAAATTTCATAAACATAAATGATAAATACAATTTAAAACGACTATTTGATACAGTAATTGATAGATACTACTCTTATAGCTAATATTCCAATATCCAATTCCAAATAAAAAACTAAAGACAAACCTTAAATTATAGAATAAGTTTAAGAAGATTCAAGGAATCTATATGATGAAGATATTATTAAGGCGGCCTCGGTATTTAAAAAAAGCAGTATGTACAGTTATTTTTTATTTTTCGATTCATAGCATATAATTTAAATTTTTAAGCCTTTTAACAATTGAATAAGTAAAAATTTTAAAAAATATCAAGAGAACAAAGATAAATTCAAGTTTAGATGGCTAGAATTAAAGTAGTTTACATTAATTTGGTATAAAAGTGCTCCTGAATTAAAATTTAACTAAAGCAACGGAAAGGAAAGTATAGTTTAAAAGAAACCAAATGGTTTTGGAGAAATTTAAATTGATTAAGTTGAAGATTTTATTGTAGGTATAATTAATTCTATTTTCTTTAAAAACTTTAATTATTATATTCATTTAATTTTTATAGCAAAAAAGCATGCATTCATTGTAAAACTTCTAAATAGGAATTTAGTTATTGAATATGACAGCACAAGAGTTGGCTTAATGTGGAGTAAAACAATAAGAAACATGGTAGCATTAAAAGCTTACATGCATTATTTGATAAAGATAGGAAACAATGGAAACTTATTTAAATATTTTAATGACCTTGATGTGATTGAATTAAATCTTTCACACTATGCTATTTCAAATAAAGAGTTATCTAAGAAAAATCTTGCAATAGAACAAAAACTATGCATATTAATTTTTGACACAATTACGTCTCATTAGAAGCTACAAATTATTAATCTATAAAATTCTGGATTATCACCTATTTCTATAAAAGAATTATTTAAATACCTTAGTAAACCATTAAAAAAAACTAGAATAAATTTTATAAATTTAAGCTAAAATGAAATGGACCCTGAGGTAAATAATAAAATGATTCTATTCTTTCTTTTTTTTGTTGTTTTTTTTTCTTCAAAATTTATTTTCTTAAAATATTGGTTAGAGTGTGAGATAACTGAATGTATATTTATAAAGTGAGAACTGCTAGTAGCTTTAAAATTTGGTTTTAGATGATTGTAATTTGAAAGATGGACTCTTTTCTTTAATTTTAGATGCAATAAAGGAAAGATACAAATGGTAAATGCATAATTATTACAATCCAGTGAAAGATGAAATTCCAGAAGAGACAACTTGGAGATAAGTTAGTCTTAGGTATAGCAATAAATCAAATTAAAATAGCCCAAGAAAGGAATAGGTGTATTTCTTTTAGAGATTAAGCTTTGCTGGAAACTAAATAACAGACAAAGGTTTACAGAGGTTTATGAAAACTATAGAAGATATATAGAATTAAGCTCAACCATTGATTTAGTAAAAATTTTTATATATATTTAATCAGTTTGTTTTTTACTAATTTATTTTGTAAAATAAAAGAGATTTGGAGGATTTTGAAATGATTGATCTTGATTTATCAAGAAACTAATTTATAAACGAACTCTCAAATTTTGGTGCTTTCATTTCACAAAGATAAATATTTAAAAAACTTTATTTAGATAACCTTAAAAATCCTTTACCAAATTAATTAGCAAGCTTTATATTAAGTTTCTAAGACAATTATAGGACTGAATTACTTTCTTTAAGAGGTAATCCGCTTTCAGTTGAAGCTTATACCAATTTAATTAAAGTACTTGATGAAAATTTTACAATTCAGGAAATAAAAATTGACTTTACTACTTTCAACTAATTTGAAAAAACATATACCGAGCTAGATAAGCAATCTAACAACTTAAGGAGTTAATTTTTTTCGTTTTCATTAATATAAAGCTAATAAAACTGAATATAATTAGCAAAAATAAGTTAACTAATAACCAATATATTTTATCAATAACTTGATTTTTCTTAAATAAAAAATAACCAATAGTTAAATTTTTCATTCATCATATTAATTTTATTTTTGTTTCAAAGCGATTAATGATGTCATATGGCAATATAAAAACTTCAATATGCATTAACTAAAGAATCAATTACATTTCAATCATAATATTTCTAGTGTTTATTTCATTGAATATTTATAGTTATAAATTATTTAAAGTGTAAATTTATTGTTTTTTCATAATTAATTCAAGAATAGATTAAAATTCACTTTTATTATAAATTTATTTAAAAAACTATGTAAATTAAACTAAATATCTTTAGAAAAAAAATTTATAGTTCAATATAATTTTATCTTTATCATTGAGGTACGATATTTTAACTTTACAAAAATTAAAAATATAATAAAAAATTAAATAAAAATATGTAAAATTTAATAGTATTTATTATTTTAATAATTTTAAACCATTTTATTTTAAAGGTAGGTTAATATGATTCACATTATATAGTTTAATTATATAAAATAAGTTTTCACACATTTAATATCTAAACTAATTTAATATTTTATCTTTTCAATTTATTATAGAATTACTATTTCATATCCTTTATTACAGGTGCAGAGAAACTATTATTATTATTATTATTTTAAAATGCAATTAAGATTTTTTTTAAAAATTAAGATTACTCAATTGTTAGATTTAAATAATTTAGTTTTCGCAATTCATTTAATTGATGAATTAAATAATTAATATCACTTTTTTCATATTTTTTATACCTTTTAAGAAATAGATTTTAGTAAATAAAAAAGCTAAATAAAATATTATTTAAACGTATATAAATTTAATAGGTGAGTAAATAAAATAAAATTATTTATTATATAATTAATTGAAGTTAATGAGAAAAATGTTTGTTATCAAAATAAAATTCAACAATTCTTCAAATATTTTTTTTAATAAACATCTATTTTTATAATTAATATATGTATCTATTTACAATTATTTAAATCTATTTTGTTTTTGGAATTGAAAATATTTTTAAATACTTGAATAGTCTTACTCAATAATATTTTTTATTTAATAATTCAAAATGAAAAAAAATACTAAATTATTATTAAATAATTGGAATATTTAAAGAAATAAAAGTTAGTCAAAATATTAGAATTATACTTTGATATCTTTTTCAAATTACTTTTTCTTTTCAACAAATTGTTTCAATATTTTTTATTAATAATTAAAATAAATAAATAAATATCATTACCATGGTTTAAGAGTTAAAGATTAAATAAGCTTAAGATTTGATACTATGGGCACTGAGTCATTAATACTAACAGTTGATAAATTATTGCCACTTTATAAATAATATAAAATTAAATTAGATACAATTTTGTATTAATAATTATATTTTTAAAAGCATTTTGCTACTATTTTTAATTTAGCTTATAAAATAAAGAAAATAAATACCTAGAGAGATCAATAAAAAGATTTTTAAGATTCTTACATTTTTCTAAACAAGAGCCTAAAGTAATAATACCTTTTTAATAAATTAAATTCCCCCTTTTTTTAGTATTTATTTTATTAATAATTCTATTAGAAAAATAATAAAATTATTCTTGTGATGAATAAAATATATGGATTCCAAAAATTATTTAAATTAAAATAAAGAAAATTTTATTCTCTAAATATATATCCTAAGCTCGCTCTTGATAAGATAGGCAGAGGGAATTCTGAGAAATTTTAAAAATATTTATAATATGTTCTGATGATTAAAATATTTAAGAAACCCAGTAACGAATTATTGAGAAAAATAGCTAAAAAAGAAATGAAATAATTTTACCTTAGATCCATTTTTAAATTTTTAAGGTTCATCAATCTTTCAAAACCTAAAGAATCCTTAAAGAACAATTAATTATCCCTTTAAATAATTATTTTAAAATTAAAATATATTCAATAAAGAATAAATTTTATATTTTTTTTAAAAGCTTTGTTCATTTATTATACTAAACAAAAGAAAAATTAATTAAAATAATATTTTTATTCCAAATTCGATTTTTTTTTTTTCACTTTATAAAAGAATTAATAAACTTTTCAGTAAATTTTTATTTCAAGCATTAATTAACTAATTTTTAAAATATATCAATAGGGAAAAAAATTAGGATGTTCATTGTTATTTTTTATAAATCATCTTTTGTTTTGTATAAACAATTCTTTATTCCAAATTAATAATTCTTAATAAGCAGAAGATCAGGTTTTTAAGAGATGGATAAAATATAATTTTAATACTCTTGATGAAAAAAAAAAATAGTTTTAATGTTTTTATTAATACCTAAGTTAAAGCATTAAAGTTGAAAGGTTTGTGCATCTTGAGATCTATGAGATTAAACTTAATAATCCTTGATCTTTTATTTAACAATCCCTTTTAGAATTTTAAAAGTGAATAAATTAGAGGAGGTTACTTATAATCACTAAAGTAAATAATTTTACCAAAGGTCTAAATTTAAAGTAATTAGGTTTTAGCATTTAGATAAACTAAAGCCTAAACTTTGGATACAATTATATGATATAGTATTTTTTCTGTAAAAATATTAATTTTGTTAATATTTTTTATAATCAAGTAAAAAAAATAAAAACATTAACAAAAGTAAAAAAGTTAGAAATAAATATTAAGATTGAAAATTTCAATAGGAAGCTTAATTAAAATATTCAAAGCAATGCTTTTGCAAACAAGAAAAAAGCATTCTTCTATTTTAATTTTTAAATCGTTAACATTATTTTAAATATTATTCTAAAACTTTTCTGCCCATGCGCATTTTGAAAATCAATAAATTAATTTATTCTAAGAGCATAATGAACATAAAATAAAATTTAGTTTTTACGAAAAAAAGAGTTCTAAGGTTATGAGATTTTAACAATTTTATAAAGAAAATGTTATCTACACTATTCCTTATTCATCAATTTTTTTACCCCTTTTTTAAATAATAAATAAATGAATTTTTGGTGAAATTTAATAATTGAAAAAATTTATACCTAATATTTAAGTTAATTTCTTATAGGTGATCTAATTTTGATGAAACAAACTTTTGAAGTTAAAAATAGATTTAAAATATATTAAATTCTGAAGAAATCAAATTATTTTACATTTAACCAATTATTAAAATATTATTTTGAGATTAACATTTATTTTATTTTTTTGTTTTATTTTTAGTTAATTGATTATATTAGTATTTAATAAAATAGTTAATATTACTAAATATACTAATAGATCTATTAATTAAATAAAAAATTGAATATTATATAACCTTAATAGAAACTAACTTTAAATGGTATTTATTTATTTATTTATAAAATTAAATTTATCTTGATTTAATATGGAAATAATTGTTCGTTCGTTTTAAAAATTTGATTTAGTTATTAAATATTATTAATTATTTCTAACTTTTTAATTTTCATTGAATGATTGTTTTCGTAAAGTTAAATAGTAAATTATATAAGATAGAAAAATCAAAACACATTAAAAATAATAAAAATCTTAATAGAAACTAATTCTAAAAGTGATATTATTTAATTTATCTTAATTTAATAAAAAAAATAATTATTTAAAAATGAAATTTTATATTTTTTAAAATTTTTTTAAGTTATAAAATAAACAAATAAACTGACAAGTTTGATATTTTGAAAGATAAAATCTTAATAGAAATTAATTTTAAAAGATACTATATATTATATTAAATTTATCTTAATAGAAATGAATTTTCAAGGATATTATATTTTACATTAAAATTTATCTAAATTTAATAAAAAAATTAAATTTAAAATATAAAATAATTTAAATACTTTTTTTAATGTTTTTCTATTTTTTTTAATTTTAGTTGAATGTTTTTGGTTAAAAATAAAATATTTAATTTTATAATATAGCTGATCCAAAAACTTGGAGTTTTCAATATTTCATAATAAAATGATTTTAAATAATTTTTTAAGATATTTATTTTACACTTTAGTTAAAAAAATTTTAGGAAAAATTTAAAATAATTATAAAATAATATCTAATTTGTTTATAAATTTATTTTTTTTTCTTTCTTTTTAATTTTTATATTTAATTATTTTATCTTTTACTATTAAATTTTTTCTTCAATAAAATTAAATTTTCATCAATAAATACATATAATTTTTAATAAATTTAGAATATTTAGCAAAGTAATTCAATAAAAAAAATCTATTATTTATTTATTTAAAAAAATGGGTTTATTATGACTTATTTAAGTATCTTTTTAAATTAGCATTTATTATTGGGTTTAGTTGAATACTATAATTAAATTTCATTTTATTTTCTAAGCCTTATGTTTGATTTTTACAATATTTTATAGTCTTTATTTTATATTTAATGTATTTTTTGAAAAATTCGAAAGAAATATTTTTAGTAGAATGTAAAAAGATTTGTATAGATAAAAAATAGTGATTTTTTGATACTTTGAATTCAATTTTTAAGTAAATATAAATTTCTACTAACAAATTAATTGTTTCTATACTTTGTATGGTAATTTATTACACTTTTAAATTTTTATATTTTTTCTTAAGCACCCACTTCTAAAAATCCTTTCTAATTTATTGGTAAAATTCTAATATATGAGATATTTGATTAAATTTTTAGAGGAAAAGTAAATTATTACTTTTTTTTCAAAGTAGAAAGTATTAAGAGATTTAGAATAACCACAATTTCTTTTCAAAAAATTTGTTTTTATTTGGATTCTTTTGTAAAATTCATAATAATTAACTTTCTGTTTGTATAATTATGATAAAAAAGTAGAAAAAGAAAAGCAATGAATAGAATAAAGTATATTTGTTTATAACTTATTTTTTTTATAAGATGCTTGAATAGCTAATACGATTGGTAGTTTATATTAACATGCGACTGTACTTTAGCAACAGGCGCTAACTATAATGATTAATGCGCATGGATAACTTAAGGATGTAGTAACTATAATTATAACAACACTGCAAGTTTTTGTTGTGTGGATTAATAATCATGCTATGATGTTACAAATACTTAACATGTTATTGTTAATATTGGAGGCTTCAAAGGAGGGCGGTGCCTTACAAATCAAAATTCTTTCTTTTTATGCAATTAGTTTAGTAAATTAAATTCTATGCTTTAATTGTTAATATAAAATATATTACATAACTAATTTTACATATTTAAAAAAAACAGATTTACTATAGCTTAATTTATAGAATTGGGTGATTACTTTATACTCTGGTAACCTTTCTGATTTTTCAACAAATCCTGTATGCTAATTATAAAGTAAAGATGCTTCAATAACTTGCATAGGTTATAGAGATCTGCCTCAAACTAGTTTAAATGGTTTATCAGGACTTTCTAAAGTTTGCATTTTAGGATTAAATGATAATCTAAATGCAGTTTCTTGTGCAGATAATTACTGTATCAACTAAAAGGAAAATAACAAATGCTAAATATATAATACTTCCTAAATGCAAACCCTTTATACGTAATATGGGATTTTAGGTGTTTCAGGTACATAAAGAAACTGCATAACATAAAGTTAGAAAGTGAATTCCTAAAATGATTGCTCTCATTTATATGTTAGCTCAGTATGTTTTAATCCAGTTGACAACACTTGTTGGGATCTCTCTAAATTAAATATCTTAGATACATCGTAGCCAATTGTAATTTATTAATTTTTTAAAGAAATTATTTGATTAAATTATTGTTAGGGTAAATTTGATATTGATGGGACATGCGTCTTCTTAGGAATCTATTCAAACAAAAAAATAAAATATTGTAATTAGAATATTAATTAAGTTTGCTTAGATAGTACTGCTAATAATTAATAAGGTTGCTTTTAATGGAATACTCAGTAAATCTCATAAAACAATAATCAAATAATAATAGTATAATAATTAATTATTTATATTTATTTTAAGAAAAGTTAAAATTGTTAAATATAAAAATTATTTTATTTAATTTATTTTAATACTAATAATTAATAATATTAGGGAATATTTTCTGATGGAACATGTGCATATAAAGATGTATACGATAGTAAAAAAATCAATAATTGCAACACTTAAAATACTGGTGTGTGTATTTATAATTCTTCTCTCAATAATAATCTATAAGGATGTATTTCATGGAATCTTTCATCTATATAATAAACAACTTAACCAATAGTATTTATTAAGTTTTAACTTTTTATTCTAAAAATTTGCTTTACTTTTTTAAAAAAATATTAATTAATTAATTAAATCAATTAGGGCATATTTAGTGATTTTTCATGCGCCATTTAAAATCAATATACTAAATAAAAAATAATAAACTGCAATTTTAATATCAACACAATTTGTTTAGATAATATTTCTTAAGATAATTAAGCTTGCTTAAATTGGAATATGAGTTCTCTAGATTCTTCAATTTCTAATTAGGCTGTGGTAAAATTTTGATACTTTAAACTTTCAAATGTGGAATAAAATAAAAATTTATAGAAAACTTAGATTTTAAATTTACATATTTTTAATAAAACTAAATAGGGAATATTTACTGACAATAGTTGTGCATTTTTGAATTAATATTAAAATAAAATAATTTTTAATTGTAATTAACAAATCAACGACATATGCTTAGATAATAGAATTTTATAAAATAAGCAAGCATGTATAAATTGGTAGGTTTCAGCTTCAAATGTAACTAATTCGACAAACCAAATTATTGTAAAAAATTATTTTAATAATTTAATTATTATTAATTTTTATTATTTATTTTAATTAAATAAGGGAATCTTCAAAGACTATTCATGCTCTTACTTAAACACTTATGCTAAAAAAGCTATATTATCCTGGAATAGTTAAGTAACTAATGTTTGCTTAGATAATAGAGATAAGGATAATTAAGCTGTTTTTTGGTGGAAAGACTCATCTAATCCAAATCCTATCGTAATTGCAAGTTTTTTCAAATTCCTTTGATATTTCTATTAATTATGATATTTTTCCCAATTTTCACAATTTACTAGATTGATTTAGGTCAAATATAAATTTAATATAGAATTAAATAATATTTTTATTATTTTTGTTAAAGGGGATCTTCTAAGATGGTTCTTGTGCATATCTAAATACTTTTGTTCAAAATTAAATAAAAGATTGTAATACTTCAAACAATGTCTGTAAATATAATTCTACTGTCAATAAAAACCAGCAAGGATGTATTTAATGGAATTCTACATTTTCAGCGCAATATTTATATATATATCCTATTGTAACCATTTTTTATTTTAAATTCTTAAAAGATTTAATTTTAATTTATTATTTTAAGGGTATTTATTAAGACAATACGTGTGCTATTTTAAATATTTATTCTAATAAGCCCATACAACAATGTAATTATAATGTTTATGGGGTCTGTTTAGATAATACTTCTCAAAACAATCAAGCTTGTTTAAATTGGAATATGAGTTCTCTAGATTCTTCAATTTCTAATTAGGCAGTGGTAAGATTTTAATACTTTCAACAATAAAATGTTGAATATAATAAAAATCTATAGATAAATTAAATTTTAAATTCAAATATTTTTAATTAAACTAAATAGGGAATATTTGCTGACAATAGTTGCGCATTTTTGAATTAATATTAAAATAAAACAATTTCAAAATGTAATTAATAAATAAACACCATATGCTTAGATAATAGAAAAAGTAATCAAGCATGTTTAAACTGGTAGCTTGCCGTCTCTAGTGTAACTAACTCACCAGAACAAGTTATTGTAAAGAATTACCTTTGTTAATTTAATAATTGATTGGTTTATATTATTTATTTTCATTAATTAAGGGAATATTCAATGATTATTCGTGCTCTTTCTTAAATACCTATGCCCAAAAATCTATATTATAATGGAATAGTTAAGTAAATAATGTTTGCTTAGAGAATAAAAATTAATTAAATTAAGCTGTTTTTTGGTGGAAAGACTCATCTGATCCAAATCCTATTGTATTTGAAACTTTATTCAAATTCCTTTGATATTTCTTTAAATTATAATATTTTTTACTTACATACACAATATTATTAATTCTTAAAATAATGAATTTTAATTAACTATTTTTAAGGGTATTTACTAAGATAGTACTTGTGCTTTTTTAAATATTTATAATAATAAGCCAATAAAATTATGTAGTTATAATATTACTGGGGTCTGTTTAGATAATACTTCTCCAAATAATCAAACTTGTTTAAATTGGAATATGAGTTCTTTAGACTCTTTAAATTCTAATTAAGCTGTGGTAAAATTTTGATACTTCAAATTATCAAAAGATGAATATAATAAAAATTTATAAATTATTTAGATTTTATATAAACACATTTTTAATAAAATTAAATAGGGAATATTTACTGACAATAGTTGTGCATTTTAGAATAACTATTAAAATAAGATAATTTTAAATTGCAATTAATAAATAAACACCATATGCTTAGATAATAGAAATTAAACTAATCAAGCATGCTTAAACTGGTAGCTTGCAGCCTCAAGCGTGACTAACTCAGTAACTTAAGTTATTGTAAATAATTAAATTTGTTAATTTAATCATTGATTTGTTTGAAATATTTATTTTAATTAAATAAGGGAAAATTCAAAGACCATTCATGCTCTTACTTAAATAGTTATGCTTAAAAAACTATATTATCCTGGAATAGTTAAGTAACTAATGCTTGCTTAGATAACAGGGATAAAAATAATTAAGCTGTTTTTTGGTGGAAAGATTAATCTTATCCTATTGTAATTGCAACTTTATATAAAATCCATTTATATTTCATTTTATTATGATATTTTTTACTAACTTACACAATATTTTACAGATTTAGTTTGGCTAAATATAAATTTCATATAGAATTAAATAATATTATTTTAATTTTTGAAAAGGGGATATTCAAGGATGGCTCTTGTGCGTATCTAAATGTTTTCGTTCAGAATTAAATAAAAGATTGCAATATTTAAAATAATGTCTGCATATATAATTCACCTATCAACAATAACTAGTAAGGATGTTTTTAATGGAATAATTATTCTTCTTCGCCATATCCAGTTGTAAGCATTTTTATATTTTTAATTCTTAAAAGATTTAATTTTAACTATTTAATTTAAGGGTATTTATCAAGACAATACTTGTGCTATTTTAAATATGTATGCTAATAAGCCCATAAATTAATGTAATTATAGTATTTATGGGGTCTGTTTAGATAATACTACTCAAAATAATCAAGCTTGTTTAAATTGGAATATGAGTTCTTTAGACTCTTAAATATCTAATTAGGCTGTGGTAAAATTTTAATTTTTACAACAATAAAAAGTGAAATATAAAAAAAATGAATAATTAACTTATATTTTAAATTCACACATTTTTAATAAAACTAAATAGGGAATATTTACTGACAATAGTTGTGCATTTTAGAATAACTATTAAAATAAGATAATTTTAAAATGCAATAATTAAATAAACACCATATGCTTAGATAATAGTAATTAAACTAATCAAGCATGCTTAAACTGGTAGCTTGCAACCTCAAGCGTAACTAACTCAGTAACTTAAGTTATTGTAAAAAATTAACTTTATTAATTTGATTATTGATTTGTTTCTAATACTTATTTTAATTGAATAAGGGAACATTCAAAGACTTTTCATGTTCTTACTTAAATACTTATGCTTAAAAAGCTATATCATCCTGGAATAGTTAAGTAACTAATGCTTGCTTAGATAACAGGGATTAAAATAATTAAGCTGTTTTTTGGTGGAAAGATTAATCTGATCCATATCCTATTGTATTTGCAATTTTTTTCAAATTCCCTTGATATTTCTTTTAATTATGATATTTTTTCCCACTTTCACTATTTACTAGATTGAGTTAGGTCAAATATAAATTTCAAATAAAATTAAATAATATTTTTATAATTTTTGTTAAAGGGGATTTTCCAAGATGGCTCTTGTGCATATCTAAATACTTTTGTTCAAAATAAAATAAAAGACTGTAATACCCAAAATAATATCTGTAAATATAATTATTCTGGCAATAACAACTACCAAGGATGTATTTAATGGAATTTTAAATCTTCAGCATAATACATATATCCTATTGTAACCATTTTTATATTTTTAATTCTTAAAAAATTTAATTTTAATTAATTAATTTAAGGGAATTTATTAAGACAATGTATGTGCTATTTTAAATAATTATTATAATAAGCCCATACAATAATGTAATTATAATGTTTAAGGGGTCTGTTTAGATAAAACTTCTCAAAACAATCAAGCTTGTTTAAATTGGAATATGAGTTCTCTAGATTCTTTAATTTCTAATTAGGCTGTGGTAAAATTAAAATTAAAATTTTAATAATTTTAACTATAAGTTGTGAAATATAAATAAATGAATAGAAAACTATTCTTTTAAATTCACAAATTTTTAACAAAAATAAATAGGGAATATTTACTGACAACACCTGTGCATTTTAGAATAACTATTAAAATAAAATTATTAAAAATTGTAATTAACAAATAAAGACCATATGCTTAGATAATAGAAATTAAAGTAATCAAGCATGTTTAAACTGGTAACTTGCAGTCTCAAGTGTAATTAACTCACCAGAACAAGTTATTGTAAAGAATTAAATTTCTTAATTTAATAGATTGATTTATAAAATTTATTTTAATTAATTAAGGGAATATTCAAAGACTATTCATGCTCTTTCTTAAATACTTATGCTTAAAAAACTATCTTATTGTGGAATAGTTAAGTAACTAATGTTTGCTTAGATAATAGGGATTAGAGTAATTAAGCTGCTTTTTGGTGGAAAGATTAATCTGATCCATATCCTATTGTATTTACAACTTTATTCAAATTCCTTTGATATTTTTTTACTAACATACACTATTTATTACAGATTTAGTCTGAATTAAATATAAATAGTTTATTATCATTTTTATTAAAGGGGATCTTCAAAGATGGCTCTTGTGCATATCTAAATATTTTCGTTCAAAATTAAATTAAAGATTGCAATATTTAAAATAATGTCTGCATATATAAATCATCTGTCAATAACAACTAATAAGGATGCATTTAATGGAATACTACTCCTTCTCTATAATATATTTATCCTATTGTAAGTATTTTTTATATTTTTAATTCTTAAAAATTTAATTAATTATTAAGGGTATATTCTAAGACAATACATGCGCTATTTTAAATATTTATGATAATAAACCAATATAAAATTGCAATTATAGTGTTTTTGGGGTCTGTATAGATAATACTTCTTAAAATAATCAAGCTTGTTTAAATTGGAATATGAATTCTCTAGATTCTTCAATAACCAAATAGGCTGTGGTAAAAAATTTTTTTCATTATAAATTCATTTCTAAGATATGAATGAAAAATAGGGAATACGAACAGACAATAGTTGTGCCTTTCTTGATGAACGTTCTAATAAAATTATTAAATAATGCAATTAATAAATAAAAAATGTTTGCTTGGATGATACTTAAACCAATTAAGCATGCCTTATCTGGCAACGTCCTACATCAAATGTAATTAACTCACAAACTCAAGTGATTGTAAAATTTAATTTAATTTTTAAATCATTTATTTATTGAAATTTTTTCATTATAAAAAGGGGATATTTTCTGACATGAAATGTGCTTTCTTAAATACTTATGCTTCTAAATAAATTTTATTTTGGAATGAATAAGTAAATAGTGTTTGCATAGATAATAGAAAATTAAAAGATGAAGCTGTTTTCTGGTGGGATATTAATACTTTAAACTAATTAGACTAAACTAAACCTATTGTAATCAAGTTTAAATTTTGTTTTTACTTTTATTAAAATATTGATTTTAATAGGGTAGATATGTTGACGGAAGCTGTGCTTACCTAAATATCTTTGCTTAGAACCAAATAAAATATTGCAATTAATAAATTTAGTTTATCTGTTTAAATAACTTTGATGCTTCTTATTAGGGGTGCTCTGAATGGGATGTTTGGCCTTAGACTATATAATAAAATACAAATCTAATTGTATGAAGAGAAACTTAAAAATGTAGAAATAAATAATATATTTTTTTATAAAATAGGGTAAATATATTGATGGAACATGCGCCTTCGTAGGAGTATATTAAAATAATCAAATAAAAGTTTGCAACTTTTCAGTAAACTTTATCTGTCAAGATACAAGTTCTGCTGTTAGTCAGGCATGTGTGAATTATGAATAATAATTTAACTAGATCGTAGGAGCTGACAATAACAATATCTGTCTTATCGAAAACTAGCTTAAAGCGGTTAAGTAAAACACTCACTAATTTAAACCCTAAAGATAAAATAATTCAAAAATAGTTACCATTTAGAAAGATAATTAAATTATAAAATATTTTTAGTTATTTTATTTAAATTTTATATTTGTTGAATATAATTTTATTAATAAAATAGATGCTCAAAGTCATATTGTATAGATATAAATTAATCATGTAGGATATTATCTAGTGATACAACTTTAAATAGAATAATGACTCAGAAAGGTACATACTAGTGTTTTGGAAATATCGGTAACACAGATACCAGTAAAAATGCTATATGGTGTGCTCCTGGATATTGTAGGAAACAAAGAAGTAATACTGATGTCAGTTTTTACTGTAAGTAATTAGGAGATGACGAAAGTCCTTGTAAAGATGACGGAAACCATGTTTGTATCCGTGAGGGAGGTTCTTCAAGCTAAATGATTGTTGATATGGTTCTAAGCTTTTGCTCTGCATATAAAAACAGTTCATATTTATGTGTAAATTCAGATACAGACTTAGAATATGTAATAAAAGATACTAGGGGTTAATGCTAAAAATTTACAAATTAGTAGTTAAGAATTTGTAAAAATACAGCAAGGTGCTTTTCAAACAGTAAATTTAAATTTTAAAATAAAATATTTTTGCTATAAAAGCTAATTTTAAGCAATTTTTTAAAATTATTATTAAACATAATTCAGTAACGGCTATGTATTGTGGTTGTTATAATAGTTTAAACTCTGTTTATTAATGTACCTTTGGACCTTTATGCCTAAATAGCTAAAATAATTGTGTACATGTTGATTACTCTGAAATTAATGGCTTCCCAGGTAGAAAATAAGGAACATCTACATGCTAACTAAAGGAAGTACCTTAAACTGTTTTATGTTCAAAAAATTATTGTTTACTAAATTAACAATGTGTTTAAATGACTTAAAATTTGTATATCTCTTAAGAGAATAAAACTTATAAATGCTTATTAGCAGAATAAGCAGGATAATATGGTGCTAAATGGTGTGTTTAGGGGTAATAAAATTTATTTATTTAATTTTAAAAAAATAATTGATTAAATTATTAAATATAAAAAATAAACTAGGTTTTGTAAAATAACAAACAATTTACTTAAATTAGAATATTGTATCAGAATGCAAGATTCAAATACTTTTGGTATTTATAAAAAATAATAAATTTTTTTTTAATTAAAATAAATATTCATTTTATTTAGCTTTGGATAAAAATGGTCGCTGCTTGTCGAAATCTTAATCTCAAAATAATTCAGATTTAGTAAATTAGTTAATAAAAAACTTGTTAATTATTTTAAATAAATTTACAGTTATCTTGTTAGATGAACTTATTTTGCTTGGATGATACTCCTAAATGTATACCAATAGATCCATTAAATACATGTGTAGACTATAATAATAAATGTGTTTCTATTAATTCTGGTTAATGTACTTTTTGTCATATAACACAATGCCTATCTGGAGATTCATGCATTCCTATATAAGATGGTTTTTGTTTGGGTTTTAATGGTAATTCATTTTTTAGTGTTCAATAGTAAATTTAAACTTATTATTTTTTAAATTATTTATGAAAATAAAGGGAGATGTGTACAAAATCCTGGCTCAGTATGTAAAGCTTGTAATTAAAACGAGTGCTATAATCCTTTTTATTGTAATCATTAAGATTATTATTTTGATATAAATTTAAATTAAATTATAAATATATTCTAGTCTCTTGCACCCCATTTACTTAAATGAAAGTAAAGTCAGATTAGTGCATAATTTAAGTTTATAACTATATACCATGCGTATACAAGTAATTAAATGATAATTAATATTGTGCTGCATATGATAATTAGTGTAAAGAACTTTCTACTATTCCTTAATGTATAAGATGTCCATCATCATACTTGTGGGTTGGAAATTAAAAATGTTATAGCAGTCTAATGATTGAGCAAATATCAAACTAAAGCTAGAGCTAAGACAACTAAATTTTTACAATATAATTGATTTATAAATAATTAGATATCACCCCTATAAAATAGTAATGTAGCTAAGGGTAATATTTTTTTTAAACAAAATTTATTGATTTTAATATTATTTAAATTATTTTTCTAGAAAAAAGAAATATTAATTAATTTTATCTTATTTTTATAAAATCATTTGTATTAAAAGCAAAAAAAATTAAACAATTTTTATTAATAATTGGTTTTATACAATACATCTATGATTTATAGATACCAGCTTTAAAAAATTAGCAAAGATTTTAAAATCAAATACTTAATTTCAAAAAAAAAAATTTAATGAGTATTATCAAAATTATTATTAAAAGATAAAATGATTGAAATTATGAATTTATATAATTTGAGAATAAATAACTTTTTTTAGTTTTTATAAGAATAAAATAAAAATTATTTGAATTAAAATGTAATGAATATTTATTTTTAAAAGGTGCTAACTTTGTTCATCAGCAAATAATTGCTTATAATGTTCTTTTGAATATTTCTTATATGCAGATACAGTCCTCTAAACGCAGTATTGCATCCTTCTTCCTTCGACATAAATTTTATATCCAGATTATTTATTTGAAGACAAAGAGTTCATATAACAAAATAGTAACCCTTAAATAGCTGGTATATACAATTTATATGATTACTACATAAATGAGTTAAATAGTAATTTGGAATAAGTAAATGCTTATTGCTTAAATTAATGGTATTATTTTTTTATTTTTTAAATTAATTTTCAAATAATTATTTTTTTTTATGTAAAGGTAATTTGTAAAGGTTGGAGACATTCTTTTTTGCGATACTTTTAACATTCAATATTAATATATTTATCAGAAATCATAAATTCCACAATTAACTATTTATTACCAAGTTAAACTAAATCAATTAAATTAGATCGTCCTCGAATAGCTAAGCTCTTTTTGTAATTACTATTTTTACATAAATTCACAAATAAATATTTTATGGATAATAAGGGATAAGTTTTTATAAATAAAGAGATTTTTTCAAGATAAAGTTTATCCAGTTTAAAAGATTTACCTATAAATATATATTTTAAGTTCCTTAATAAATAAATATATGAAAGCTAACACTATCTTAATTTAAATAAATTATTCATTTATTTATTTTAACATAAGTTTCTTTTTAGTTAATTTAAACTTTGAATTAATCTTTATAAAATAAATTATTAATTAGCTAAAAATTTAAAAATATAATTTTTTTAATTATCAAATGTTTAGGTAATATTAAAAACTGTGCAAGCTGTCAAATTTTAAACAATATAAAAGTGTGTCGAACCTGTGAATATAAATATGCATTAAGTTATCTAAATTAATGTGAGCCTTGTCCTGAAAACTGCTTGAGCTGCTTTTATGGTGGTTACTATAATTAATAAAGTGTGAATTGGAGTTAAATTTTAGAAAATGGATAACAAGTGGATATTGATTTTAGTAAATTAAGCATAGCTTAATACAGTATATTGTGCTCTTTATGCTCTTCTTAGTTTGTTGTGACAAAAGATTATTCTGGATGTGAGCCATGTGGCGATAAATGCTTTTCGTGCTATTAAGGTAGGATAATTTATATTTTTTCATTTGATAAATAGTTTTTTTTGTAGGTAATATAAAATATAACTTGACAAGCAATTTTGATATATAACTAAGCTAAAAATATTCTGCATCAATAATTAAGAAATGTTTTTAGTGTTTTGATGGTTTCATGATTAGCCCTAACAGTAAAATTAATTTTTTTTTATTTTTGTTAAAATAAATTATAATTTTAGTGGTTGATTGCATACCTATTTCTTAGGACTGTCTGATTGAATATGTTGGGAAGTCAGATGGCTCTAGATAATCTTTAACAAGCTAAAATTGGTGGGATAGTAGTTTATCTTATGAATCAAAATGCTATGCTTGTTATTAATTTGTAAGTATAAATTAAAGTGGCAGTCCTTATCAATGCAATAATAAAGCAGATCCGAATTATATATCAAACTGCTTAAATACGGTTACGTTCAGCTCTGAAAATCAACCATATTGTCTATAATGTGGATAAAGCTTATCATTTAACATTAATCTTAAAATTTGTTAGATTGATTGCTCAAAATAAGTAAATGATTAAATAGTAAAAATTATTTTAATATTTTAATAAATTTATAAAGATCAATTCATGTGTAGGCTGTTACAGTTATACTGATAATGCTAACAATGAAATATTTTAATGTACTTAATGCCTAAGTTAAAATGATCAAATTGTTTTGTTTCCTACTCTATTTGGATGCAAATAATGTCCAGAAGGGTGTTCTACTTGTTATGAAAGTTAAAAATGTTTTTCTTTTAGAAATATGTAAAAAAATATTTATTTATTTATTTTATAGGTGAAATGGTAAATGATAAAATTCAGTAGATAGAACTAAAAAACAGAACATAATAGATTATATTTGAATAAATACAACCATCTTTATAAGATAGATTAAATATCTAGTCATCTGATAATTATGAGATAATATGTTCTTCTTGCTTAGCAGGCTACTTCTTGTAGAATAAAAGATGCATAAAAAATTTATGTGGACCATCATGTGATTTGTGCTACATGAAAAATTTTAGTCCTATTTGTATTTCTTGCTCTTATGTTAATTTGTAAAAATAAATATCCAATATCTCAGTTTAGATTTTATCATTCTACTAATTAACTGACTTAAATTTTAAGTATATGACTCATTTTAATTCCCTCAAATAAGATTGCTCTTTGTGCCCTTTAGGATGCTTATCTTGTGATTATAATCCTATTACAAACAATCCATTTAGCTTATATAAATCTAAATGTTATTCATGCAAATCAATTCAAGAATTATCAATGTAAAGTGATATGTTGAATTTAAACTTAAAATTAGTAAATGATTATGAGTGGAGATGGGATTAAGATACCAACTCTTGTGTTTTATGTAAGAATAACTAATTAAAATGTGCATATAGAAAGTAAACAACTATATTTGCTAAATGTCTTGGCATATTTGATGAAATAGGGAGTGGAACAGAGCAAATACCTTTAAATTTCCAAAGAGCCAGTGATGCCAATTGGGATAAATTGATAGTAAATGAATCTGAATTTACAAAAGCTCTAGTTTATATGAATGAATTAGGAGTTAGAGAATTGTAAGTAGACGTTCACATTTTAGATACAAAATGTGTTTTATAAAATCATATTTCAATTACAACTTCTTTGCTTTAGTTAATTCCTAACTTGCAAGTATTTCAAATTAATATTATTGGAAATTATACAAAAGATCAAAATAATCCTTAAGTAAGTGAAATAAATATTAAAGAATCAATTTCTATTAATGGGTTCCTAAATGTGTAATTTAAAAATTTAAACTTTTCATAAATTGCAAATCTATAGAATAGCTAGAGCATTATCATAAATAATTAGGATACTTATTCATTTTAGTTTACTAACTGCTCAATAAATGGATTATTTAATTAGTCATATGATGTTTAGTAGATATAATCAAATAATACTAAGCTTTACTAGGGTTTTTTTTCTAATGAAGTTCTCGGCATTCAAAATTTTTTTTTCAACATTAAAATTTTCAATTTGAGATAGACTATCTAGATTACAAATTCTTCTGTTAATAATTTGTTTATATATCAAAGCAGCCTATTTAGTTTCATAAACACTTAAGCAAGCATCTAAGCATAAAATATTTCTCTATAAATAGAAAATTTCAATGTTTCATAAGTAAATTTTTTCTTTTTTAAATTTAAAATGTAAATAATTTATTTACTATTTTTAGGTGTACTTTTAGTAGTCTTCAATCATCAATCTTTCTTATTAAAATTTAACTTTTCAAGCAAATAATCTTAAGCTAAATGATAACTTAATGATATAAAAATCTATAATGTTTTAGATTACACCTTTTGACAAGCTTCCAAATGCAAGTTTGAAAATATCCAATTTTAATTTTTAAAGAAATTAAGTTTATTAAAATTCACAATTACTCATAATAACAAAAATTGTTTATGGCCTTTTTGAAATGATAACTTTTGATAGAAACATTATTAAAAACGATAAAGAATTTAATAGCTTAATAGTAGTAAATCAAATGGTTTGCTTGCAGCTTTCTGTTATAAATAATATTTTAACAAAAAGTTATTTATTCTAAAATTTTGATGACGGAAAATTGGCGAGATAAATTTATATGAAAGATCAATAGTATTTATTCTAGTTTAATTAAGTTTTAATCAGTAATAATACAATTTAGTTAACTCAGTCCTCTATATTTTATTATGTTGGAAACTCTACTGAATTAAATTCTCTGAAATTGTAAGGGATTGTTGTCAATTATAAAAATTAAGAAGATGAAAATTTAAACTCGAATCTATTCTCAATCAGTTTATGCTATAAAGTAGCAATAATAGATGTTAATATTTCACATCCTAACCAGATAAATATATTTTAAATTTCGTAAGCATAGTATTACACTTCAAGAGTTATTAATATTGTAAATAACTGGCAAGGCTAATAGTTAAAAACTGAATTATTCTCTATTAAATAAATCTATAAAAGTATAAAATTCTAATAAATGAATATTTAAAATATAACAACTACTAGCCCGTTAATTTTTATAACAAACGAATTTGCTAGTCATCAGGGATATAACTCAGTAATTAACATCAATTACATAAATGCTAATAATAATCAAATGTTTATCTAATAATCAACCAATATTTTTTCAATATTAGCAATAAAAACTAGTGCTCTTTAAAAAATTTCACTTAGCAACTTGAACTTTTAGAATAATACAGCCCTTTTTGATTAAAATTAAGTAATAATTTATTTTAATTGCTTTTTTAAATTTAATTAAAACATTTTTTTAATATTAACTTAATTAAATTATTCTAACACAAAAAATTTTTTTAAATGATTTTTTAAGAAATTCTCACATATTCTAACCTTCATTTTTCTATTTTATTGATTTTTAACATAAAAGATACTTGTTTTTAAAAAAATTTGTTTTATTTAGAATAAAAAAAATAAAAAATTTAACTTAAAATTGTTAATTATTATTGAAATATGAGTAAGTTATTTTTAATAATAAATTATTTAAAAAAAAATTTTTTAATTATAGGTAGTAAATGATTAATAAAGTGCTTGCTCTTGTATATGCATAGATGCATATTAAAGCTATGTTAATATTATTTTTTCTAAATTTATAAACAATTATAGTACAGCTTCGAGGAATGCTATCTCTATTATTTCTAATCATGCTAATTTAACTGAATGCTATTTTTAAAATCAGATGTAAAGAAATATAAATACCTCAATTACTCTTGGAGGTTTAGTATTCTCTAAGTCTTCTCGACTTTCACTGAATAGCTGTTTATTATAACAAGGATTTGCTCAAAAAGGAGGAGCAATTTATTTTTAAGGATAATAATATTCGTAAATAATTATAACATAAACACAAATTTTACAAAATAGAGCTGCTTTACTGGAATCAAATAGCTTAGGGGGAGGAGTATATGTAGATGCAACAAGTATAAGTAATATAGATATAATATTAGAAAATTCAGAAGTATCTAATAATTTAGCTACAATATAAGGTGGATCATTTTATATAACCCCATTTTAAGGAAATCTCTTTTTTAAAATGAGTGATAGCATTATGCAAAATAATTTTGCTCTGCAGGGAGCATTTTTTTATCTCAATTTTAATGGGATTGGAATTGGAAGAGTTTTTATTATATCATCTTCATTCTATAATGATCCATCTTCTCAATTACAAGATTTATTATAAATTATAGATCAAGCAAAAAGCTAAAGTAATTAATTCAGATCTTTTTCTTTGTTTGATTTCACTCAAGTTACTTAGTTGTATATAGCTGGAAGTATTTTTGAGTCATCTCAAAATTAAATAAATTTGTAAAATTAAAATGAAAAAATCTATCTTTTCCTCTACCCAGCTTTATTTAACATATTATAAAACATACAATACAATGAATATAACAATACTTATTAGAATTTTATTGTTACCTCAAATTTTATGAATATTAATGCTAAAAATGTGTAGATCGTTTAATCTTAATACTACAATATCTAGCACAATAATTTTACAAGTGTTAACAATATTATTTTTTATAATTCTAATTTTGTAGTGATTCAAAATTCCTCGTTTAGTCAGCTTTAATGTAAATTCTGTCAAATTTCACCAATACAAATACTTGTACAACAATTTTAGTTACAGAATTCTTTATTTTAGTAGAATCAAGGAAGCTTAATAGGAGGATTTTTACTAATATAATAAATAAGCTTAATTGAAGCAAAAAGATAACTTTAATATGAAAAAAACTATCAAAATAAAATAGAAAATTGCATATTTTAATAAAATTCTGCTTTTAATGGAGGGTCTTTAACTATTTAGTTTTAATAAGACTTTAGCACAATAGTCTATGGATGTCAATTCATATAAAACAAAGCTTTTAATAAAGGAGGAGTTATTTATTACTAATAATTGCAATAAAATCAATAAATTAATATCAATTTTATCAAAAATACATTTATCAAGAATAGTGCCTACATTGGAGCTATTTTTTATTCTAACATTAATTAGTATATGAGTCTCATTAGTGAATAAAATAAGGTTTTATAAAATTAAGCAAATTATTTTGGTTCTTTGCAAATAACTTCTCCAAGCTAAATGCAAATTACTTACAAACAAACTCTATACTAAAATAACTCTAAAATATTAGTTTAAACAAGCGGTTAGTTGCAGGTAAAATTATTTTTATAGATTTTTTTTTACTCATTTTTTTCTTTAGAATGAGCTTTTAGTGTTTGTTTTAGACGAATAAGGGTAGCAATACAAAGAATTAGAAGGTGATAATTTATATTTAAAGGTAAAGAAAGTATCTTAATCGTTAAATACTTTTATGGAAGAAACAAATATTCCTTTTAAAGATGGAAGTTTCAATTTGACAAATTATTTAAAAATCTATGGAAAAGCGAATGAAATACTGTCAGTATAGTTACTATTTGACAGAATAAAAATTTAACAAGCTGATAATTACAATTTAGTTATAAACTTTGAGTTTGATAAAGACTGTTAAAGCGGCTATTTCAGAGCTAAAATTCTTAATATTTATGATGGTTGTCTTCCATGCAAAAATAATTCGTTTTCACTAATTTAAAATTCCTAAGAATGTAACTTATGCCCTAAAATTGATGGTTTTATTTGCTATTAATAAACATACCTTCTACCAAACGGTTACTGGAGAAGAGATAACTAATCATAAAATACTTTAAAATGCTATAATTAGCTATCTAATTGTATTGGGGATACCTAAAGCTAATCGATATAAAGACATTAATTAAACTAACTTAAAATTGATAAAAGTTCACAAGAAGTTTATTATTGTGCTGAAGGTATTCTATTATTTATTAATTAATTTATTTTATTAAAATTATGCTAATATTATTACAAATTAGGTCATTTAGGAGCTCTTTGCGAAGATTGCGATATTTTAGGATAATATTGGAAATAAAAATATTATAAAATTGATGAATATAAATGCTAAGCGTAAAATATTTAAATAAGCAAAACAAATTGATTTTTTTTTCAAATTTTCTTAGATTTTAATATGTATTTATAAAAATCTAAAATCACAAATATCTAATTAGTTGCTTTAATTTATGAGATCAAAAAAACTCTCAATATTAAAAAATAATATTTTCCTCTTAAATAAATAGAGAATTTTAAATAAAATATTATTAAAGATAAAAAGAATCTCTAAATAAAGAAATTAGCCTTTAGTTAATGAGATAGATACCATTTTAAAATATAATTTTTATTTTAAATAATTTATTTGCTAAATTAGCAAACAAAAATAAATATATGAATTATTTAATTTAATTTTTTAATTATAAAAGTTGTTCGGTGGCAAGGCAAAGCTTACATTTTAAATTATTTTACATTATAGCTGCAATATCTTTAAACTTAATCCTAATGTATAGTTGCAAAAAAGCATATACAGATTTTATTTTGAAAAAAATATCTCTCAAACTTAAAGCTTCTGCAGAGTATAAGGAAGTAAAAATTTCTGATAACTATATCATATTTAAGTTTGTAATAAATTACATTTAAACAATTGGATTAATATACCAAATTAATACCTCTTTTTTTGGGCCTAACTTTTAAATCATCAGATTTTTGTCAAATCCTGTTTATGGGTTTGTATATGTTTTTGATTGCTGGATTTCTGATTTTTACTTATATTACTTCCAAATAAAAGATTTTTACATTTTCTATAGAATCATTTTTGTCTAAGTTTAGCTGGCCATTTTATATGGTTTAACAATTCTCCTTTCTACTATTTTCATTTAGTTTAATAGACCATGGATAGTATATTTAAGAAGCCTTATAAACTGTTTTGTAATAATTATTGTATTAAATATTTCTGGGATCTTTAGCTTAATTTTAGAATCTGTAATATTTTTATTTATTTCAATAATTTTATTAAAATAAAAATTTTAACATAACAAAATAGATGTTTTGCACAGAAGTAGATGGGATTTATTATCTTTTGAGATATACTAGAATTTAATGTGATAAGCAATTTTAATATAATTTATTGATTTATATAATTCCCATTTTGATATTTTGGGTTTTGCTAGTTCCATCAATATTGATTCTCATACTTAAAAGAAAAATAATATATTTAAATTTATTTTAATTGAAATGCAAGCTTGGATTTATATATCATGAGTATAAAGAATAATATTATTATTGGGAGATAGTTAAAATTGTTTGTAAAATGATTATGATTGCTGCTATTAGTCTAACAGATAATTCTGGTATTTAGTTTGGTTTATCTCTTGCTTCAATTTTGTCATATAAATTTATTCTTCATTTAAGTAAATAAATATGTTTTTATTTATTATTATTCTTTCTAATTATTTTTAAATTAATTAGCTTAGCCTTATCAAACAGAAAAATCTAATTAGTTGGATAAAATGATGATCAATAGCATAATTTTAAGTTAAATTTTAGCATTTGCTTCTCTTTAGTAAGATGAAATAAGCAACTATTGTTTTATTGTTTTTTTGATTGTTAATTTGAGAGTATTTTTAATGATTATCAAATATTAACTGAAGTAGATATATCTAAAGATTTTACAAAAATCTTATTTTAGACTATAAAATCATAAAAAAATCAATTATATAATAATTAAGCTCTTTAAAAATTAAATTAATGCTAAATAAATGTGGAAAAAACTAGCTAACAAAATTAATATTTTAGTTTAAAGATAAAAAATAGGAGATATATAAGAAATAAAATATTAAGCTGACTCTTTATTATAAAACACTAGTAAATAATTAAATGCTATTTATAATTTTCAAAAAAACTGCTAAACTAAATAATTTTAAATCTTAAAATCAAATAAACCTTTAATATGAACTTAATGAAAATAGAATTGATTTTAAAATAATTAAAAATAAATTAAATAAAACTTAAATAGTTTAATTTGTTTGTTTTATTTATGTTTTGTTTTTTTTTGTTTTAAATAAACAAATTTTTAAAAAGCATTTCATAAAATTTAAAGATAATTTATAAAGATATTTATTAATAAATGCTTCATAACCCAAGTAAATCAAAGATAGAAGTAACCTTTCACAATCCTATTTATTTTTTTTGCTTATATTCTTAGTTTCTTTTATGCTTCTTCATTTATCAAATTAGACCTTTTTATAATTAAATGCAATATTTAAAAAAAATTATTTTAGCAAATGTATAAATAACTTACGAAATAATAATATTTAATTAGAAAATATTTTTATTACTCCCTATTCTATTAATTAAATTTTGGCAATCACTTTCGTTGATTGAATTATTACTTTTGATAATATTTTTTATTTTGTTTTAAGATATATATTAAATATTTTACTATAAATCAAGTATCAATTTTATCAAACACTTAGAGTTTTTTATTCCTTCAGATAAATTAGAAATACCCTCTGACAGAATTTAGTTATTTCTATTTTTGTTAAAATTAAATAAAATATGTAGGTAAAAAGATTAAAATTAAAAATTATTAATTTTTAACTTATTCATCAAAATTTCATAAGTAAATTAATTTTTACGCTAAGTTTAGTTCTAAAAAAGATATATTTAAGCTTTTAGCAATAGCTTCACCAATTTTAGATGCTCCTTCATCACCGATAAAATTTTTACTTGATTGAAAAAAAGTTATTTGTTATGATTTGAAATTGTTTAAAAAAAAATTAATAAAATAAATTTAAATTAACTAAACTAGAGTTATAAAAACTTATTTTTAATTATAAATTAATTTAAGGAAATTTGAATAAATTTACTGAAATATTTATAAGTATTTATTTATCAAAGCACTTTTCATATTTTATTACATTCCAATAATTATTTTTAATAGTACTTCATTTATAAAAGGAATAAAATAAAAAAATATTTATTACTTTAAATTCAAAGTTAAATTTTTCAGTTGTGGGAGATATGATAATGAATTAGCAATCTACACAGTTCCTTTAGGACCTATGTTATTATCCCTAACATTTTTATTCAAAACATTAATAAATTAAATTAATTTTTTTTCCCAATTAAACATTTAAAGTTATTGAGCAAAAATAAAAGCTAGTTTGGAAGTTACCTTAGATTTATTTCTAAAATTTTAAGATTTACCAATTACAGAAATGCGATTCCCAAACCAACAGCACCATATTCTGATATTTTATTTTCACTTTTTTATTTGATAGAATTAATTAATTTTAAATTAAATTTTTTACAATAGCACAAGCTTTAGCTTAGTAAGATTTTAACATTTTCTTAGGGTTTTTGCTATTTGAGAAGCTTCTTAATTGCCAATATTTTTTTTTCTTATAAAAAATAGAATTAAAAATAAAATATTTTTGATAAAAAGTATATTTCTTACCCTAAATATAATTCTAATTCTGTGTGATGAAATAACAAAGAAGAAAGAAACTTTTATTAAAAAAAAATAAAATTGAATAATTTTAAAACTAATTTAAATTCAAAATACTTCTTCTAAGACTTTAAATTCTTATTTTTAAAGAGCTATTTTTAATTTATCCATTTTTTTTAACTTTTATAAACTTAAAATTTAATCAAAGTAAAGCAAAAAATAAAAAAATTAAGAAGATAGTTAAAACCTAATCCTTTATAAAGTAATTAATTAAAAAACAAAATAGCTAATTAAATCTCTAAAATAAATATAATTATTTTTTAATTTGACAATTTAGCAAATTCTTAAAAATATTTTCTTATTTTAATTTTAAAATAACATTTTTTTAAAACTTTTAAAAAAAATCTGTCTTGTGAAGAAACTAAAAAAAACACATAATATATACAGAAAAAAGTAAATCTCATTTATTTAAATTAGCTTTATTTTATTTTTTGATAGTGAATATTTAAAAATCTCAATAAAATTACAAATAGTGTGTCACTAATTTTTTCAATTTTCTCATAAAAAATTGATACCATCTCCATTAATTTAATTTTTCAAAAAAAACTAACGTTTAAATCCTAACAACTGTTAAGTCATTTGTAAAATCAAGATTAATAGTCAGAATATTATTATTTGAGAAAATAGATTCTCTAATAATATCAATATCAATCTATTTACTATACCTATTAAAAATAGAAATGATTTTTAAATCTAGATATTTAATACATTCTTGCAAGCTTTTAATATTTTCGCTAACGGTTGTATTACTGTAAACTCTCGTTATCTCGGATATCGGGTATTCGGATTTCCTAAATCCTAAATGTATAATTTAAATGTTTTAGGTAAAAAATAAAATAGTTAATTTTATAATATTGCTGATCCAAAAAACTTGATGCTTTGAATATTTAATATTAAATTATTTTAAATAAGTTTTGAAGATATTTATTTTACAATTTAGTTAAAAAAATCAAAAGAAAAATTTAAAATAATTAAATTAATTATTAAATAAATAATTTCTAATTGATTTTATATTTATTTTTTTTTCTTTTTTAGTTTTCAAATTTAATTATTTTATCTTTTTACTATTAAATATTTTTTCAATAAAATTAAAAGAAAGAATCATTTAAACTTTAATTAATATGTACATAATTTTTAATAAATTAATAATATTTTTAAAATGGGTTTATTAATACTTATTTGAGTCTCTTTTTAAATTAGCATTTATTATTGGGCTTAGTTGAAAACTATGACTAGTTTCATTTTATTTTTTAAGCCTTCTTATTTGATTTACACAATATTTTATAGCCTTTATTTTATTTTTAATGTATTTTATGAAAAATTCGAAAGAAATATTTTTAGCTAAAATGTAAAAAGATTTGTTGAGATAAAAAATAGTAATTTTTTGATACCTTAAATTCAATTTTTATGTAAATATTAATTTTTACAACAAATTAATTATTGATATACTTTGTATGGTAATTAATTTATTACATTTCTAAATTTTTATATTTTTACATAAGTACCTACTTCTAATTTATTGGTAAAATTTTAATACGAGAAATTTATTTAAATTTTTAGAGGAAAATCAAATAACTTTTTTTTTCAAAGTAGAAAGTCAGAAGAGATTTAGGATAACCACAATTTCTTTTCAAAAAATTGTAATTATTTGGATTCTTTTGTAAAATATATGATAATTAATTTTCTTTTAGTATAATTATGATAAAAAAGTAGAAAAAGAAAAAGAATGTATAGAATAAAGTATATTTGTTTATAACTTATTTTTTTTATAAGATGCTTAAATAGCTAATACGATTGGTAGTTTATATTAACATGCAACTGTGCTTTAGCAACAGGCGCTAACTATAATGATTAATGTGCATGGATAACTTAAGGATGTAGTAACTATAATCTTAACAACAGTGCAAGTTTTTGTTGTGTAGATTAATAATCATGTTATGATGTTACAAATACTTAACTTGTTAATATTGGAGGCTTCAAAGGAGGGCGGTGCCTTACAAATCAAAATTCTTTCTTTTTATGCAATTAGTTTAGTAAATTAAATTCTATGCTTAAAGTGTTAATATAAAATATTTTACATAACTAATTTTGTATATTTAAAAAATACAGATTTACTATAGCTTAATTTATAGAATTGGGTGATTACTTTATACTCTGGTAATCTTTCTGATTTTTCAACAAATCCTGTATGTTAATTATAAAGTAAAGATGCTTCAATAACTTGCATAGGTTATAGAGATCTGCCTCAAACTAGTTTAAATGGTTTATCAGGAGTGTCTAAAGTTTGCATATTAGGATTAAATGATAATCTAAATGCAGTTTCTTGTGCAGATAATTACTGCATCAACTAAAATGATAATAATAAATGCAATATATATAATACTTCATAAATGCAAACCCTTTATACTTAGTATGGGATTTTAGGTGTTTCAGGTATATAAAGAAACTGTATAACATAAAGTTAGAAAGTGAATTCCTAAAATGATTGCTCTCATTTATATGTTAACTCAGTATGTTTTAATCCAACTGACAACACTTGTTGGGATCTCTCTAAATTAAATATTTTAGATACTTCATAGCCAATAGTAATTTATTAATTTTTTAAAGAAATTATTTAATTAAATAATTGTTAGGGTAAATTTGATATTGATGGGACATGCGTATTCTTAGGAGTCTATTCAAACAATCAAATAAAATATTGTAATTAAAATATTAATTCGGTTTGCTTAGACAGTACTGCTAACAATTAATAAGGTTGCTTTTAATGGAATACTCAGTAAATCTCTTAAAACAATAATCAAATAATAATAGTATAATATATTTTAATTAATTAATTATTTATATATATTTTAAGAAAAAGTTAATATTTTTAAAAATAAAAATTGTTGTATTTAATTTATTTTTATACAAATAATTAATAATATTAGGGAATATTTTCTGATGGAACATGTGCATATAAAGATGTATACGATAGTAAAAAAATCAATAATTGCAACACTTAAAATACTGGTGTGTGTATTTATAATTCTTCTCTCAATAATAATCTATAAGGATGTATTTCATGGAATCTTTCATCTATATAATAAACAACTTAACCAATAGTATTTATTAAATTTTAACTTTTTATTCTAAAAATTTACTTTAATTTTTAAAAAAAATATTAATTAAATCAATTAGGGAATATTTAGTGATTTTTCATGCGCCATTTAAAATATATATACTAAATAAAAAATAATAAACTGCAATTTTAATATCAATGCAATTTGTTTAGATAATACTACTCAAGATAATTAAGCTTGCTTAAATTGGAATATGAGTTCTCTAGATTCTTCAATTCCTAATTAGGCTGTGGTAAAATTTTGATACTTTCAACTTTCTAAATTTGAATAAAATAAAAATTTTTACATAATATAGATCTTAAATTAACAAATTTTTAATAAAACTAAATAGGGAAGGTTTGCTGACAATAGTTGTGCATTTTTGAATTAATATTAAAATTAGGAAATTTTAAATTGTAATTAACAAATTAACAACATATGCTTAGATAATAAAAATCAAAATTTACAAGCATGTATAAATTGGTAGGTTGCAGCTTCAAGTGTAATTAACTCACCAACTCAAATTATTGTAAAAAATTATCTTTAATAATTTTATAATACATTAATTATTATTATTTATTTTAATTAAATAAGGGAATCTTCAATGACTATTCGTGCTCTTACTTAAATACTTATGCTTAAAAAGCTATATTATTCTGGAATAGTTAAGTAACTAATGTTTGCTTAGATAATAGGGATAAGGCTAATTAAGCTGTTTTTTGGTGGAAAGACTCATCTGATCCAAATCCAATTGTAATTGCTTTTTCAGATACTTTGATATTTCTTTTAATTCTGATATTTTTCCCTATTTTCATTATTTACTATTGAGTTAGGTCAAATATAAATTTCATATAGAACTAAATAATATTTTTTTTAATTTTTCTTAAAGGGTATATTCAACGATGGTTCTTGTGCATATCTAAATACTTTTGTTCAAAATTAAATAAAAGACTGTAGTACAATAAATAATGTTTGTAAATATAATTCTTCTGTCAATAACAACAAGCAAGGATGTATTTAATGGAATTTTACATTTTCAGAACAATATATATATCCTATTGTAACCATTTTTATATTTTTAATTTTATAAAAATTTAATTTTAATTAATTATTTTAAGGGTATTTATTAAGACAATACATGTGCTATTTTAAATATTTATTCTAATAAGCCTATATAATAATGTAATTATAGTGTTTATGGGGTCTGTTTAGATAATAATTCTCAAAACAATCAAGCCTGTCTTAATTGGAATATGAGTTCTCTAGATTCTTCAATTTCTAATTAGGCTGTGGTAAAATTTAAATTTTAATATCTACAATAATAAAATGTTGAATATAATAAAAATCTATAGATACTTAAATTTTAAATTCAAATATATTTAATTAAACTAAATAGGGAATATTTACTGACAATAGTTGTGCATTTTTGAATTAATATTCAAATAAACAAATCTCAAATTGCAATTAATAAATAAATACCATATGCTTAGATAATAGAAATTTAAGTAATCAAGCATGTTTAAACTGGTAGCTTGCACTCTCAAGTGTAACTAACTCGCCAAACCAAGTTATTGTAAACAATTAACTTTCTTAATTTAATAATTGATTTGTTTATAATATTTTCATTAATTAAGGGAATCTTCAATGACTATTCATGCTCTTTCTTAAATACTTATGCTTAAAAAGCTATATTATAATGGAATAGTTAAGTAAGTAACGTTTGCTTAGAGAATAAAAATTAAAATAATTAAGCTGTTTTTTGGTGGAAAGACTCATCTGATCCAAATCCTATTGTAATTGCAACTTTATATAAAATCCAATTATATTTCTTTTAATTATGATATTTTTTTACTAAATTACACAATATATTACAGATTTAGTTAGGCTAAATATAAATTTCATAAATAATATTATTTTAATTTATGAAAAGGGAATCTTTATGGATGGCTCTTGTGCATATCTAAATATTTTCGTTCAAAATTAAATAAAAGATTGCAATATTTAAAATAATGTCTGCATATATAATTCATCTATCAATAATAACTAGTAAGGATGTATTTAATGGAATTATTATACTTCTTCATCATATCCTGTTGTAAGCATCTTTTTATTTTTAATTCTTAAAAGATTTAATTTTAACTAATTATTTTAAGGGTATTTATCAAGACAATACTTGTGCTATTTTAAATATGTATTCTAATAAGCCCATAAATTAATGTAATTATAGTATTTATGGGGTCTGTTTAGATAATACTTCTCAAAATAATCAAGCTTGTTTAAATTGGAATTTGAATTAACTAGATTCTTCAATTTCTAATTAGGCTGTGGTAATATTTTAATATTTACAACAATAAAATGCGAAATATAAAAAAAATGAATAAATAACTTATATTTTAAATTCACAAATTTTTAATAAACTAAATAGGGAATATATACTGACAATAGTTGTGCATTTCAGAATAACTATTAAAATAAGATTATTAAAAATTGTAATTAATAAATAAACACCATATGCTTAGATAATAGAAATTAAAGTAATCAAGCATGCTTAAACTGGTAAATTGCAGCCTCAAGTGTAACTAACTCAGCAACTTAAGTTATTGTAAAAATTAACTTTATTAATTTGGTGATTGATTAGTTTGTAATACTTATTTTAATTAAATAAGGGAATTTTCAATGACTATTCATGCTCTTACTTAAATACTTATGCTTAAAAAGTTATATTGTTCTGGAATAGTTAGGCAACTAATGTTTGCTTAGATAACAGGGATTAACATAATTAAGCTGCTTTTTGGTGGAAAGACTAATCTGATCCAAATCCTATCGTATTTACAATTTTATTCAAATTCTTTTGATATTTCTTTTAATTATGATATTTTTTCCCACTTTCACTATTTACTAGATTAAGCTAGGTCAAATATAAATTTCATTTAGAATTAAATAATATTTTTATAATTTTTGTAAAGGGGATCTTCTAAGATGGCTCTTGTGCATATCTAAATATTTTTGTTCAAAATTAAATAAAAGACTGTAGTACAGTAAATAATGTCTGCATATATAATTCTTCTGACAATAACAGCTAGCAAGGATGTATTTAATGGAATGTTAAACCTTCAACATAATATATATATCCTATTGTAACCATTTTTATATAATTTAAAAAATTTTAATTTTAATTTATTATTTTAAGGGTATTTATTAAGACAATACATGTGCTATTTTAAATATTTATTCTAATAAGCCCATAAAATACTGTAATTATAGCGTTTATGGGGTTTGTTTAGATAATACTTCACAAAACAATCAAGCTTGTTTAAATTGGAATATGGGTTTTCTAGATTCTTCAAATTCTAATTAGGCTGTGGTAAAATTAAAATTTTAATATATACAATTATAAATGGTGAAATATAAAAAAAATTAATGGATAAATTATATTTTAAATTCACATATTTTTAATAAAACTAAATAGGGAATATTTGCTGACAATAGTTGTGCATTTTAGAATAAATATTAAAATTCGATAATTAAAAATTGTAATTAACAAATAAAAACCATATGCTTAGATAATAGAAATTAAAGTAATCAAGCATGTTTAAACTGGTAACTTGCAGTCTCAAGTGTAACTAACTCTCCAGAATAAGTTATTGTAAAGAATTAACTTTCTTAATTTTAATAATTGATTGGTTTATAAAATTTATTTTAATTAATTAAGGGAATATTCAATGACTATTCATGCTCTTTCTTAAATACTTATGCTTAAAAATCTATCTTATTCTGGAATAGTTAAGTAACTAATATTTGCTTAGATAATAGGGATTAGAGTAATTAAGCTGCTTTTTGGTGGAAAGACTAATTTGATCCGAATCCTATTGTATTTACAACTTTATTCAAATTCCTTTGATATTTTTTTACTAACATTCACTATTTATTACTGATTTAGTCTGAATTAAATATAAAGAGTATATTATAATTTTTATTAAAGGGGATCTTCAAAGATGGCTCTTGTGCATATCTAAATATTTTCGTTCAAAATTAAATTAAAGATTGCAATATTTAAAATAATGTCTGCATATATAATTCATCTGTCAATAACAACTAATAAGGATGCATTTAATGGAATACTACTCCTTCTCCATAATATATATATCCTGTTGTAAGTATTTTTTATATTTTTAATTCTTAAAAATTTAATTAATTATTAAGGGTATATTCTAAGACAATACATGCGCTATTTTAAATATTTATGATAATAAACCAATATAAAATTGCAATTATAGTGTTTTTGGGGTCTGTATAGATAATACTTCTTAAAATAATCAAGCTTGTTTAAATTGGAATATGAATTCTCTAGATTCTTCAATAACCAAATAGGCTGTGGTAAAAAATTTTTTTCATTATAAATTCATTTCTAAGATATGAATGAAAAATAGGGAATACGAACAGACAATAGTTGTGCCTTTCTTGATGAACGTTCTAATAAAATTATTAAATAATGCAATTAATAAATAAAAAATGTTTGCTTGGATGATACTTAAACCAATTAAGCATGCCTTATCTGGCAACGTCCTACATCAAATGTAATTAACTCACAAACTCAAGTGATTGTAAAATTTAATTTAATTTTTAAATCATTTATTTATTGAAATTTTTTCATTATAAAAAGGGGATATTTTCTGACATGAAATGTGCTTTCTTAAATACTTATGCTTCTAAATAAATTTTATTTTGGAATGAATAAGTAAATAGTGTTTGCATAGATAATAGAAAATTAAAAGATGAAGCTGTTTTCTGGTGGGATATTAATACTTTAAACTAATTAGACTAAACTAAACCTATTGTAATCAAGTTTAAATTTTGTTTTTACTTTTATTAAAATATTGATTTTAATAGGGTAGATATGTTGACGGAAGCTGTGCTTACCTAAATATCTTTGCTTAGAACCAAATAAAATATTGCAATTAATAAATTTAGTTTATCTGTTTAAATAACTTTGATGCTTCTTATTAGGGGTGCTCTGAATGGGATGTTTGGCCTTAGACTATATAATAAAATACAAATCTAATTGTATGATGTGAAACTTAAAAAATGTAGAAATAAATAATATATTTTTTTATATAATAGGGTAAATATATTGATGGGACATGCGCCTTTGTAGGAGTATATTACAACAATCAAATACAAGTTTGCAACTTTTCAGTTAACTTTATCTGTCAAGATACAAGTTCTGCTGTTAGTCAGGCATGTGTGAATTATGAATTATAATTTAACTAAATCGTAGGAGCTGACAATAACAATATCTGTCTTATCGAAAACTAGCCTCAAGCAATTAAGTAAAACACTCTCTAATTTAAATCCTAAAGATAAAATAATTCAAAAATAATTACCATTTAAAGATAATTAAATTATAAAATATTTTTAGTACTATTTGTTGAATAAAATTTTATTAATAAAATAGATGTTCTAAGTTATATTGTATAGATATAAATTAATCATGTAGGATCTTATCTAGTGATGCAACTTTAAATAGAATAATGACTCAGAAAGGTACATACCAGTGTTTTGGAAATGTCGGTGACACAGATACCAGTAAAAATGCTATTTGGTGTGCTCCTGGATATTGTAGGAAACAAAGAAGTAATATTGATGACAGTTTTTACTGCAAATAATTAGATAATGACGAAAGCCCTTGTAAAGATGATGGAAACCATGTTTGTATTCGTGAGGGAGGTTCTTCAAGCTAAATGATTGTTGATATGGTCCTAAGCTTTTGCTCTGCATATATAAATAGTTCATATTTGTGTGTAAATTCAGATACAGACTTAGATTATGTAATAAAAGATACTAGGGGATAATGTTAAAAATTTACAGATCAGTAGTTAAAAAATTGTTAAAATACAACAAATTGCTTATCAAAGAGTAAATTTAAATTTGAAAATAAAATATTTTTGTGATTAAAGTTAATTTTAAGCAATTTATAAAAATTATTATTAAACTTAATTTAGTAACGGCTATGTATTGTGGTTGCTATAATAGTTTAAATTCTGCTTATTAATGTACCTTTGGACCTTTATGCCTAGATAGCTTAAATAATTGTGTACATGTTGATTACTCTGAACTTTAAGGCTTCCCAGGTAGAAAATAAGGAACATCTACATGCTAACAAAAAGAAGTACCTTAAACTGTTCTATGTTCAAAGAATTATTGTTTACTAAATTAGGAATGCTTTGAAATGACTTAAAATTTGTATATCTCTTAAGAGAATAAAACTTAAAAATGCTTATTAGCAGAATAAGCAGGGTAATTTGGTGCTAAATGGTGTGTTTCAGGGTAATAAAATTTATTTATTTATTTTTTAAAAATTATTGATTGAATTATTTAACATAAAAAAAAATAAACTAGGTTTTGTAAAATAACAAACGATTTGCTTAAATTAGAGTATTGCGTCGAAATGGAAGATTCAAATACTTTTGGTATTTATAAAAACTAATTAAATTTTTTTTTTTGTTAAAAATAAATAAAATATTTATTTTATTTAGCTTTGGATAAAAATGGTCGTTGCTTATCGAAATCTTAGTCTCAAAATAATTCAGATTTAGTAAAATTAGTTCATAAAAAACTTGTTAATTATTTTAAACAAATTTACAGTTATCTTGTTAGATGAACTTATTTTGCTTGGATAATTCGGAAACTCCTAAATGCATACCTATAGATCCATTAAATACATGTGTAGACAATAATTATAAATGTATTTCTATTAATTCTGGTTCATGTACTTTTTGTCATATCACACAATGTCTATCTGGAGATTCATGCATTCCTATATAAGATGGTTTTTGTTTGGGTTTTAATGGTAATTCATTTTTTAGTATTAAAAAAAAAATTAAACTTATTATTTTTTAAATTATTTATGAAAATAAAGGGAAATGTATACAATCTACTGGCTCAGTATGTAAAGCTTGTAATTAAAATGAGTGCTATAATCCTCTTTAATGTAATCATTAAGATTATTATTTTGATATAAATATAAAGTAAATTATAAATATATTCTAGTCTCTTGCACCCCATTTACTAAAATGAATGTAAAGTAAGATTAATGCATAATTTAAGTTTATAACTATATGCCATGCGTATACAAGTAATTAAATGATAATTAATATTGTGCTGCATATGATAATTAGTGTAAAGAACTTTCTACTATTCCTTAATGTTTAAGATGTCCATCATCATACTTGTGGGTTGGAAATTAAAAATGTTATAGCAGTTTAATGATCGAGTAAATATCAAACTAAAGCTAGAGCTAAGGCAACTAAATTTTTACGATATAATTGATATATAAATAATTAGATATCACCCCTATAAAATAGTAATGTAGCTAAGGGTAATATATTCTAAAAAAAAAAATTTAATGAGTATTATCAAAATTATTATTAAAAGATAAAACTATTGAAATTATAATTTATTTAATTTTAGAATAAATTATTTATTTTAATTTTTCTACTATTCAAATAAAAAAATTTGAATTAAAATTAAATGTATATTTATTTTTAAAAGGTGCTAACTATGCTCATCAGTAAATAATTGCTTATAATGTTCTTTTGAATATTTCCTATATGCAGATATAGTCCTTCAAACACAGTATTGCATCCTTCTTCCTTCGACATAAATTTTATATCCAGATTATTTATTTGAAGACAAAGAGTTCATATAACAAAATAGTAACCCTTAAATAGCTGGTATATACAATTTATATGATTACTACATAAATGAGTTAAATAATAATTTGGAATAAGTATATGCTTATTGCTTAAATAAATGGTATTATTTTTCAAATTAATTTAAATTAATTTTCAAATGATTATTTCTTTTAATTTAAAGGTAATTTGTAAAGGTTGGAGACATTGTTTTTTGCGATACTTTTAACATTCAATATTAATTTATTTATTAGAAGTCATACATTCCAAAATTAACTATTTATTACTAAATTAAACTAAATCAATTAAATTAGATTGTCCTCGAATAGCTAAGCTCTTTTTGTAATTACTATTTTTTACATATTCACAAATAAATATTTATTGATAATAAGGGAATGGCTTTCATATATTTAGTTTTTATAAATAATATATAGTCTATCCAATTTAAAAGATTTACCTATAAATATAAATTTTAAAGTTCCTTAATAAATAAATATATGAAAGCTAGAATTATCCTAATTTAATTAAGTTAGTTATTCATTTAGTTATTTTAACATAAATGTCTGCTAATTTAATTGAAACAATCAAATAGTCTTTACAAAACTAATTTTATAAATTGTTAATTAGCTAAAAATATTAAAATATAATTTTTTTAATCATCTAACGTTTAGGTAATATTAAAAACTGTGCAAGCTGTCAAATTTTAAACAATATAAAAATTTGTCTAACCTGTGAATATGGATACGCACTAAGTTATCTAAATTCATGCTAGCCTTGTCCTGATAACTGCTTGAGCTGCTTTTACGGTGGTTACTATAATGAACAAAGTGTGAATTGGAGTTAAATTTTAGCAAATACATAACAATGGAATATTGATTTTAGTAAATTAAGCACAACTTAATACAGTATATTATGCTCTTTATGCTCTCCTTAGTTTATTGTGACAAAAGATTACTCTGGATGTGAGCCATGTGGTATTAAATGCTTTTCGTGCTATTACGGTAGGATAATTTATATTTTTTCATTTGATAAATAATTTTTTTGTAGGTAATATAAAATATAACTTGACAAGCACATTTGATATATAACTAAGCTAAAAATATTCTACATCAATAATTAAGAAATGTTTATAGTGTTTTGATGGTTTCATAATTAGTCCTAACAGTAAAATTAATTTTTTTTAATTTTTGTTAAAATAAATTATAATTTTAGTGGTGGATTGCATACCTATTTCTTAGGACTGTCTGATTGAATATTTTGGGAAGTCAGATGGCTCTAGATAATCTTTAACAAGCTAAAATTGGTGGGATAGTAGTTTATCTTATGAATCAAAATGCTATGCTTGTTATTAATTTGTAAGTATAAATTATAGTCGCAGTTCTTATCAATGCAATAATAAAGCAGATCCGAATTATATTTCAAACTGCTAAAATACGGTTAGGTTTAGCTCTGAAAATTAACCATATTGTCTATAATGTGGATAAAACTAATCATTTAACATTAATCTTAATATTTGTCAGATTGATTGCTCAAAATAAGTAAATGATTAAAAATTAAAATTATTTTAAAAAATTTTTAATTTATAAAGATAAATTTGTGTATAGGCTGTTACAGTTATACTGATAATGCTAACAATTAAATATTTTAATGTACTTAATGCCTTAGTTAAAATGACAATATTTTTTTGTTTCCTACTCTTTTTGGATGCCAATAATGTCCAGAAGGGTGTTCTTCTTGTTATGAAAGTTAAAATTGTTTTTATTTTTGAAATATATAAAAAAATATATTTATTTATTTATTTATTTTAAAAGGTGAAATGGTAAATGATAAAATTCAGTAGATAGAACTAAAAAACAGAACATAATAGATTATTTTTGAATAAATACAACCATCTTTATAAGATAGATTAAATATCTAGTCATCTGATAATTATGAGATAATATGTTCTTCTTGCTAAGTAGGCTACTTCTTGTAGAACAAAAGATGCATAAAAAATTTATGTGGACCATAATGTGATTTGTGCTACATGAAAAATTTTAGTCCTATTTGTATTTCTTGCTCTTATGTTAATTTGTAAAAATAAATATCCAATATCTCAGTTTAGATTTTATCATTTTACTAATTAACTGACTTAAATTTTAAGTATATGACTCATTTTAATTCCCTTAAATAAGATTGCTCCTTGTGCCCTTTAGGATGCTTGTCTTGTGATTATAATCCAATTACTAACAATCCATTTAGCTTATATAAATCTAAATGTTATTCATGCAAATCAATAAAATAATTAGCAACACAAAGTTATAACTCAAATTTAATAAATAATTATGAGTGGAGATTGGACTAAGATACTAACTCCTGCGTTTTATGTAAGAATAATTAATTAAAATGCGCGTATAGAAAAGAAACTACTATCTTTGCTAAATGTCTTGGCATATTTGATGAATTAGGGAGTGGAACAGAGCAAATACCTTTAAATTTCCAAAGAGCTAATGATGCCGATTGGGATAAATTGATAGTAAATGAATCTGAATTTACAAAAGCTCTAGTTTATATGAATGAATTAGGAGTTAGAGAATTGTAAGTAGACATTCACATTTTAGATTAAAAATGCGTTTTATAAAACCCTATCTCTATTACAACTTCTTTGCTTTAATTAATTCCTTACTTGCAAGTATTTCAAATAAATATCATCGGAAATTATACAAAAGATCAAAATAATCCTTAAGTAAGTGAAATAAATATTAAAGATTCAATTTCTATAAATGGTTTCCTAAACGTATAATTTAAAAATTTAAACATTTCATAAAATACAAATATATAGAATAGCTAGAGTATTATCATTAGTAATGTTGATACTTATTCATTTTAGTTTACTAACTGCTCAATAAACGGATTATTTAATTAGTTTTATGATGTTTAGTAGATATAATCAAATAATACTAAGCTTTACTAGGGTTTTTTTTCTGATGAAGTTCTCAGTATTCAAAAATTTTTTTTCAACATTAAAATTTTTAATTTGAGATAAACTATCTAGATTACTAATTCTTCTGTGAATAATTTATTAGTGTATCAAAGCAGTTTATTTAATTTTATTAACACTTAAGCAAGTATCTAAGCATAAAATATTTCTCTATAAATAGAAAATTTCAATGTTTCATAAGTAAATTTTTTCTTACTTAAATTTAAAATATAATTATTTATTATTTTTAGGTGTACTTTTAGTAGTCTTCAATCATCAGTCTTTCTTATTAAAATATAACTTTTCAAGTAAATAATATAAAGATAAGCAATAACTTAATGATTTAAAAATCTATAATGTTTTAGATTACACCTTTTGACAAGCTTCCAAACGCAAGTTTGTAAATATCCAATTTAAATTTTTAAAGAAATTAAGTTTATTAAAACTCACAACTACTCACAATAACAAAACTTTTTTACAGCCTTTTTGAAATTATAACTTTTGACAGCAATATTATCAAAAACGATAAAGAATTTAATAGCTTAATAGTAATAAATCAAATGATTTGCTTGCAGCTATCTGTTATAAATAATGTTTTAACAAAAAGTTATTTATTCTAAAATTTTGATGACGGAAAATTAGAGAGATAAATTTATATGAAAGATCAATAGTATTTATTCTAGTTTATTTAAGTTTTAATCAGTAATAATACAGTTTAGTTAATTTAGTCATCCATATTTTATTATATTGGAAATTCTACTGAATTAAATTCTCTGAAATTTTAAGGGATTGTTGTCAATGATAAAAATTAAGAAGATGAAAATTTAAACTCGAATCTATTCTCAATCAATTCATGCTATAAAGTAGCAATAATGAATGTTAATATTTCACATCCTAACCAGATAAATATATTTTAAATTTCGCAAGCATAGTATTACACTTCAAGAGTTATTAACATTGTAAATAACTGGATAGACTAATAGTTAAAAACTGAATTATTCTCTATTAAATAAATCTATAAAGGTATAAAATTATAATAAGTAAATATTTAAAATATAACAACTACTAGTCCTTTAATTTTTATAACAAACGAATTCGTTAGTAATCAGGGATATAACTCAATAATTGACATCAATTTTTTATATGCTAATAATAATCAAATTTTTATCTAATAATCAACCAATATATTCTCAATATTAGCAATAAAAACTAGTGCTAATTAAAAAATATCGCTTAGCAACTTGAACTTTTAGAATAATACAGCCTTATTTAATTAAAATTAAGTAATAATTCATTAATTGTTTTTTTTCAAAATTTAATTAAAATATCTTTTATAATATTAATTTTACTTAAAATTATTCTTTAAGAAATACTCACTTATTCTGATCTATATTTTTCTCATTTTTAGATTTTTTAACATATTTTGACGCTTGAGTTATTTTTAATAATAAATTATTTAAAATATAATTTTTATTAAATATTTTAATTTTTTAATTATAGGTAGTAAATGATTAATAAAGTGCTTGCTCTTGTATATGCATAGATGCTTATTAAAGCTATGTTAATATTATTTTTTCTAAATTTATAAACAATTATAGTACAGCTTCGAGGAATGCTATCTCTATTATTTCTAATAATGCTAATTTAACTGAATGCTAATTTTCAAATCAAATGTAAAGAAATATAAATACCTCAATTACTCTTGGAGGTTTAGTATTCTCTAAGTCTTCTCGACTTTCATTGAATAGCTGTTTTTTATAACAAGGATTTGCTTAAAAAGGAGGAGCAATTTATTTTTAAGGATAATAATATTCATAATTAATTATAACATAAACACAAATTTTACAAAATAGAGCTGCTTTACTGGAATCAAATAGCTTAGGGGGAGGAGTTTATATAGATGCAACAAGTGTAAGTAATATAGATATAATATTAGAAAATTCAGAAGTATCTAATAATTTAGCTACAATATAAGGTGGATCATTTTATATAACCCCATTTTAAGGAAATCTCTTTTTTAAAATGAGTGATAGCATTATGTAAAATAACTTTGCTCTGCAGGGAGCATTTTTTTATCTCAATTTTAATGGAATTGGAATTGGAAGAGTTTTTATTATATCATCTTCATTCTATAATGATCCATCTTCTCAATTATAAGATTTACTATAAATAATAGATCAAGCAAAAAGCTAAAGTAATTAATTCAGATCTTTTTCTTTGTTTGATTTCACTCAAGTTACTTAGTTGTATATAGCTGGAAGTATTTTTGAGTCATCTCAAAATTAAATAAATTTGTAAAATTAAAATGAAAAAATCTATCTTTTCCTCTACCCAGCTTTATTTAACATATTATAAAACATACAATACAATGAATATAACAATACTTATTAGAATTTTATTGTTACCTCAAATTTTATGAATATTAATGCTAAAAATGTGTAGATCGTTTAATCTTAATACTACAATATCTAGCACAATAATTTTACAAGTGTTAACAATATTATTTTTTATAATTCTAATTTTGTAGTGATTCAAAATTCCTCGTTTAGTCAGCTTTAATGTAAATTCTGTCAAATTTCACCAATACAAATACTTGTACAACAATTTTAGTTACAGAATTCTTTATTTTAGTAGAATCAAGGAAGCTTAATAGGAGGATTTTTACTAATATAATAAATAAGCTTAATTGAAGCAAAAAGATAACTTTAATATGAAAAAAACTATCAAAATAAAATAGAAAATTGCATATTTTAATAAAATTCTGCTTTTAATGGAGGGTCTTTAACTATTTAGTTTTAATAAGACTTTAGCACAATAGTCTATGGATGTCAATTCATATAAAACAAAGCTTTTAATAAAGGAGGAGTTATTTATTACTAATAATTGCAATAAAATCAATAAATTAATATCAATTTTATCAAAAATACATTTATCAAGAATAGTGCCTACATTGGAGCTATTTTTTATTCTAACATTAATTAGTATATGAGTCTCATTAGTGAATAAAATAAGGTTTTATAAAATTAAGCAAATTATTTTGGTTCTTTGCAAATAACTTCTCCAAGCTAAATGCAAATTACTTACAAACAAACTCTATACTAAAATAACTCTAAAATATTAGTTTAAACAAGCGGTTAGTTGCAGGTAAAATTATTTTTATAGATTTTTTTTTACTCATTTTTTTCTTTAGAATGAGCTTTTAGTGTTTGTTTTAGACGAATAAGGGTAGCAATACAAAGAATTAGAAGGTGATAATTTATATTTAAAGGTAAAGAAAGTATCTTAATCGTTAAATACTTTTATGGAAGAAACAAATATTCCTTTTAAAGATGGAAGTTTCAATTTGACAAATTATTTAAAAATCTATGGATAAGTAAATGAAATACTGTCAGTATAACTGCTATTTGACAGAATAAAAAGTTAGCAAGCTGATAATTACAATTTAGTTATAAACTTTGAGTTTGATAAAGACTGTTAAAGAGGTTATTTCAAATCAAAAATTCTTAGTATTTATGATAGTTGTCTTCCATGCAAGAATAATTCGTTTTCACTAATTTAAAATTCTTAATAGTGTAACTTATGTCCAAAAATTGATGGTTTTGTTTGCTATTAAGAAACATACCTTATACCAAACGGTTACTGGAGAAGAGATAACTAATCATAAAATACTTTATAATGCTATAATTAGCTATCTAATTGTATTGGGGATACCTAAAGCTAATCGATATAAAGAAATTAATTAAACTAACTTAAAATTGATAAAAGTTCACAAGAAGTTTATTTTTGTGCTGAAGGTATTCTATTATTTATTAATTTATTTATTTTATTAACATTTATGCTAATATTATTACAAATTAGGTCATTTAGGAGCTCTTTGCCAAGATTGCGATATTTTAGGATAATATTGGAAGTAAAAATATTATAAAATTGATGAGTTTAAATGTTAAGCGTAAAATATTTAAATAAGCAAACAAATTTATTTTTTTCAAATTTTCATAGATTTTAATATGTATTTATAATATCAAATATCTTATTTGCTACTTTAATTTATGAGATCAAAAAATATCTCAATATTAAAAAATGATATTCCCCTCTTAAATAGAGGAATTTAAATGAAATATTTTAAAATATAAAAAGAAAATATGTAAATTTTAAAATACTGATTTTATTTTTTTTTAAATAATAATTTTTATTTTAAATAATTTAATTTATTAATATTTTAACAAACAAAAATATATGAATTATTTATTTAATTTGATTTTTTAATTATAAAAGTTGTTCGGTGGCAAGGCAAAGTTTACATTTTAAGTTATTTTACATTATAGCTGCAATAACTTTAAACTTAATCCTAATGTATAGTTGTAAAAAAGCATATACAGATTTTATTTTGAAAAAAATATCTCTCAAACTTAAAGCTTCTGCAGAGTATAAGGAAGTAAAAATTTCTGATAACTATATCATATTAAAGTTTGTAATAAATTACATTTAAACAATTGGATTAATATACTAAATCAATACCTCTTTTTTTGGGTCTTACTTTTAAATTATCAGGTTTTTATCAAATCCTCTTTATGGATTTGTATATCTTTTTGATTGTTGGATTTCTGATTTTTACTTATAATACTTCTAAGTAAGAGATTTTTACATTTTCTTTAGAATCATTTTTGTCTAAGTTTAGCTGGTTATTTTATATTGTTTAACAATTATCATTTCTACTGTTTTCATTTGCTTTAATAAACCGTGGAAAACATATTTAAGAAGCCTTATAAACTGTTTTGTAATAATTATTGTATTAAATATTTCTGGGATCTTTAGCTTAATTTTAGAATATGTAATATTTTTATTTATTTCAATAATTTTATTAAAATAAAATTTTAATTTAACAAATTAGATGTTTTGCACAGAAGTGGATGGGATTTTTTATCTTTCTAGATATACTAGAATATAATGTGATGAGCAATTTTAATATAATTTATTGATTTATATAATTCCCATTTTGATATTTTGGGTTTTGTTAGTTCCATCAATATTAATTCTAATACTTAAAACAAAAATAATATATTTAGATTAATTTTAATTGAAATGCAAGCTTGGATTTATATATCATGAGTATAAAAAACAATATTATTATTGGGAGATAGTAAAAATTGTTTTTAAAATGATTATAATTGCTGCTATTAGTCTAACAGATAATCCTGGTATTTAGTTTGGTTTATCACTAGCTTCAATTTTGTCATATAAATTTATTCTTCATATAAGTAAATAAATATTTTTTTTTATTATGATTTTTTCTAATTTTTTCTAATTAATTAGCTTAGCCTTATCAAGCAATAAGATCTAATTAGTTAGATATAATGATGATCAATAGCATAATTTTATGTTAACTTTTAGTATTTGCTTCTCTTTAGTAAGATGAAATAAGCAACTTTTGCTTTATTGTTTTTTTTATTGTTAATTTGAGAGTATTTTTAATGATTATCAAATATTAAATTAAGCAACTATTTCTAAAGATTTTACAAAAATCTTATTATAGACTATAAAATCATAAAAAAATCAATTATATAATAATTAAGCTCTTTAAAAATTAAATTAATGCTAAACAAATGTGGAAAAAGCTAGCTATAAAAATTAATATTTTGATTTAAAGATAACAAATAGGAGATATATAATAGATAAAATATTAAACTGACTCTTTATTATAAAACACTAGTAAATAAATAGAAATTATTTATAATTTTCATAAAAATTGCTAAATTAAATAATTTTAATTCTTAAAATCAAATAAACCTTTAATATGAACTTAATTAAATAGAGTATATTGAATTTGACGAAGATATGTTTGTTTAATTTATGTTTTATTTTTTTGTTTTAAATAAACAAATATTTTTTTAAAAATTTCATAAAATTTAAAGATAATTTATAAAGATATAAATTAATAAATACTTCTTCACCCAACTAAATCAAAAATAGAAGTAACCTTTTACAATCTTATTTATTTTTTTTGATTATATTCACTTATCAAATTAGACCTTTATTTATAATTAAATACAATATCTTTATATAAATAGATAACTATTTTAACAAATTTTATAAATAATTTACGATATATTAGATATTCAGAGACCTGACTCAACCCCAATTTTTTGAGGAATTACAGTATATATGTAAATTTAAATTTTATAAATTTAAAATTTAAGTCCTTTATAAAATAATGCGCAGTTAAGAAAAGTAATTAATTAATTAAATCTCTAAAATAATATAATTATATTTAAATTTTAAAGTTTTTTTTGTGAAGTAATTAATTTATATTAGGTTTTTTTTATTTTATTGATTGCAAATATATAAAAATCTCAATAAAATTACATACGAAATGCCACGAGTTTTTTTAATTTTCTTTTAAAAAGTTTATACCATTTTTTTTGAAATATTTCTTCACTAGTAACTAACATGTACATTCCATAAACTGGTAAGCCATAAGTAAGATCAAGATCAATAGTCAGTATATTCTTATTTGACAAAATAGCTTCTCCATAGATATCATAAATATCCATCTAATTACTAGACAAGTTATAGATTTAAATATTTTTTAAATTTAAATATTTGAGACATTCTGAAATAGTTATAATACTTTCCCTAATCTCAGTATTGTTATCTATTTTTAAAGATATTAACTTTGGATTTGTATATAGGACTTAAAATAGCTATTCAATTTATTCCTTATTAAGTTCAGTAGTGCTAATAGTTAATTCTTTTAAATTTTTACATAAAGATAAAGCTTCACATAATTAAGGCATAACTAGATTTTATTCTTTCAAAATAAGATGAACTAAATTTTATTACAAATCAATAGAGTCTTTAATAAATTAAATTTACGAATTATTATCAACTTAGTATTCATCATATGACTACTATTCTTATGATGAAAACACATCAGTACAATCAAGAAATTATGTATCTTATTCTTGATTTGATGAATTACTCATATTTATTTATTTTTATGACATTTTTTTTATTTTAAGTATTCTGAAAATAAAAAATAAATATTAAATATTTAGAAAATAAAGAAAACCAACAAGTTCTTAATTGACAAATTTTTTGGTATCCACTTTAATTTTACTTTTTTAAATTGTTAGTATATGACTTAAAAAATTTAATTAGTAATAAATATTAATAAAATTTAATAAATATATCTAATCAATCAAAATATTTTTTAAATTAGAATTGTAAAATTTGCTAAATTATATCTTAAATATGTATAATTAACAGTATCAGCTCAGTCTAATTTTATGTGGACTTAGCTAGAAAAAAAATTTTAAAATAAAATTTTAAAAAAAAAATTTAGGAGACTTAAAAAGACATGGGTGGTATTAATTAATATATGAGGTGTTATTTTAAATAAAATTGGCTATTTGCAATTAATTTTAATTATTCTTTATTTATTTATAAATATTGAAGAGTTTATTTTAGATTATAATTTAATTAATATACATAAAAGGACAAATATTTGATTAAGATTGATGATAATTTAAGTAATATATTTTTATAATTTAAATATCATTTTAGTAATTTGAATAAATATTTTAATTAATTTTAATTTAATAAGGATTTTTTTTCATTTTTCAATTTTTATTGGTTAAATTTTCTTAGTTTTAAATATTATTTTGATTGAAACCTATGCCTTCAAGAATAAAATCATTGTTAAGTGTGTTAATTACTTTAAATTATTATTCTGCTTCTGCAGATGTAAATAGTTGTTAATTTTAAATAACAAAAGATTAAGAAACCTCTTTCGAAGCTATCTTCATTAACAATTCAATAAAATTTTCAATACCCTTCACAAGTTCTAAGTCGTGTTCTTCAACATTTTCGTTAATTTCAATATTAGCAAAGTCTATTAATTTTAAAATGGGTCTTGGTTTAGATTATTTAAAAGAGAAACACTCTTAACTATGAGAAGAAATATAACTTTTGTTGAGTAAGCTTTTATTATTTTTTTTGTCAAAACTGCTGTTTTTTTTACTATTTGCATTACTTCCTTGGCTCATAAAACTATGGTTTAAGGATGATGCGCTTGAAAATGATGAAAAAGACTATTAGTTTGAACTCACATCATTATCTTCTTCTTCCTAACTATAGTTATCAATTGACTGATTTTTATCACTAATAATACTTTAATTACTCTCAGAGCTTTGTGATCTTGCTTTAGAAAAAAGATTAATTTGATTTGTTATTTTAATTAAATCTAATTGGTTTAGGTCATTTTCAACCGAGTCTTACTTACACTTTATTTTTATATTATTATCTTAATTATTAAATGATTAATGTTAAGAAATTATTTTCTTTTCTACATCAGAATAATTTTATATCTGTTAAGAGTTAAAGGTGTATTAGTATGCGCTTTGTCTTCTCTTTAAATTTTATAATAAAAGAGGTTTATATTTGACCTATGAGTCAGAGCTAATTTTTTCTAACTAAAATTAATTGATTTCTTTCAATTTCTTTTATTTTTTTACAATTTTTTATGTAAAAAAATTGGACATTTGATCTATAAAAGTGCTGTTAAGAGAATGATTGAATGATTTGTTTTGTGGAAAATCCTAAATTTATATTTTTTTAGAAGATGGTTTTTCTTAGCTTTTAAACTACTCAGCGTTATAAATGCCATCATATATTAACAGTAAGCTCGAAGAATGAAATTTATATCCTTTATAGTATTACAAAGCTCTTTTCAATTTTTTGAGCTATTTAATGAACATATGAATTAAGCCAAATCTTATTTATTCTCCTAGAATTAAAAAAAAAAAAGCTATATTTTTAGCAAAATATAGAACAAATTACCATCAAAAAAGAATGATGCAACTGAGCTCTCTAGAGATTACTGCTAAATTTATCTCCCCCAATATTTATCTTTAAAAATTGCGCATTTCTTGAGAGGCTAATAAACCTTTAAGTAAAATTAAAATAATGTAAAAAAATTTTTTTGATTTGATTAATTTACATTCATTCCACATATCCTAAATCCAACACTAGAAGAAGTGGAGTTTTAAAACTTATTTTCGTCTTTTTAATTAGTGGCTTTGAATCCCATTTTTATATCGAGTATACAAGGAAATTTCTTGTTTTTTGTCAAATCTTAGAGTTTCATGTATTCTTTTATAAAATAAAACAAGGAGTTTTATTGCAGTTTAAGGATTTTTTAATTAAATTACTTCCATATTTGAATCTTTTTGAAAAAAGGCTTTACAGCCATTACGATTTGGAATCAAAATTGAGATTATCTATTTTTTTAATAAAATTTCTTAAATTATTTTAATAAAAAATAGAGTAAGTCAATATATTTTATTAATCTATTACATATATTTCATTCAAAAAAATTTTGATACAGAATTATATTAATTTATAGATAAAAATTGATAGAAACTGATTTTTCTAATATTAATTGATTTTAAGCCATATTTTATAAAAATATTTTCATCTTTAAAGAGCTTTAATAAAATTGATAGTAAAAGAAATATTATGGGCTGTGGAATATTTATTTTAAATTAAAATGCTTGTTGTAGTTTAAGATTAAATAGAGAAGAATATTTTTAACAAAGGAAAATTGCACTACCTTTACTTTTAATCAAAATTTCAATATCGACTAAGAATTAAACAAAAATAATTAATTTAAAATCATTAATTAGAAAGACTTTTAGATTTTATCAAATTTGTTTATTTAGTGTATGTAATTTATATTTTTTAAGACTTTTGATATACTTACTAACCATAAAATACTTGATTGATTAAGTTATACCAAATCTGAATATTAGAATAATGGATTTTTACCAATTAAATTGAAAAAGAATCTAAAAATATTATATGCTATTTGATGTATAAAGGGATAATAACAAATTAAAAGTAAAATCCCACATTGATTTTGAGATGAAGTCATATCTGATATCCTTTTCTTATTGCTAATTACTATTTAAGTTGAATTATTTATTTCTACTGTTCCATAATATTTAGGCAAAAATTTTTTAAGCTTGTTCAAGTTCTTGGTTTTCATTATACTTTCATAAAATTCAAGTTCCTTAGATTAAACAGGCTTGGCAATAAAGTTAATCCTATCATCAACAGGCTTTAAAAATGTGCTATGGCCTCCAACTTGATTTAAATATAAGTAAAATCTATCTGCTTTAACTAATGTAGGAGAAGGGCACAATTGCTACTCAGTGAGCTCATTAGCTTCTTCCTTAAAATGCTAACTTGGGGAAGCTTAAGTTTGAGAGTTACCGCTGGTTTCTATTTTTTAAGAAATATTTTGATTTTTTGAGGAGTTCAATAAGCACTCATTAGTTTAAATTAAAGCGCTCATCATGTATTTTTACTCCTTAATACTTTCTTTTTAATTTATAAATATTCAAAAATTTAGATTTTATATTCTTTTTAATAATTAATCCAATTCTTCTTTTGATATTTATATACATCTTCTAACACAAAATACTCCACTAATTTTTATCGAATAAGGCTATTTGTTACCTTTATTCTAATTAATTTATCTATTTTTACAGTAAGTTTGGTGATTAGTTCATAATTAAACCATAAAAATGAAATTCTTATTTTTTCTTATGAATACAAATAAAAATATTTAATTTTTCAATTTATTCTTGAAAATCTTACTCTTTTGTTAACTTATGGATAAATTTATTTAGTGTCAATTACTAATTCCATCTTCAAAACTTTTAAAAAGCTTAGATAAAAATATATATTTGATTAAATCTTAATTAGTATAAAAAATAAATTTGAATATTGATATGTAACATAATAAAATAGATTGATTATGAGTTATCTTCATAAATTATGAAAAAATACATGAGAATTTGTATGAAAAATAATAGTTAACATATTTTACATGATATCAGATATATAAATTGTAACCTACCTGACATGCAAATAAAGAGTCTAATAATTTTTTATTATAAATACTTTGAATAAAAGCATATACAATTATATTTTATTCTACAAATATATATGTTAATTTTCTATCAAAATGCTCTATCTTTAACTTAACTTTGCTGAAAGATAACTACATTTTGCTAAAAAAGTGATAGTTAAACATTATTTATTTTACTATTCGTACTAATAGCTTATTAAATTATTTAAATATTAATTATATAAAAGAAATAAGGTGATTGATTTATGGTCATAAAAATAACTAAATTAATAATGTTTAATACAAAAAGATTCAAATATTTATTTACAAATTTTAATTTCCCAATTACAAAACTGTTTATTTATTTATTAATTTATTAAAGCGAATTTCAAATTAAGGTTTTTACAAAAATTAACAATAGACAAAAGTAAAATATTAAGTTACACTTTACAGATTTATGATAAATTCATATCAAATTAGCCCTAATTCTTTCTTCTTGATTTATTCTTCCTCTAAATATTATTACTATTACCTTATCGTATATAATCCAGCAACTTCTTTTTTCCATTACTCTTCTTTATTAGGGTTAGGGTTTAGCTTAATCGCCCAGTGCAGCTATTTATTTTAGCAAAATATATTTAATTAATTATACTATCAAATATATGAAAGAATTATATAAATTACTCTGCGGCATATACTTAGCATCTTTGACACCACGTATGTTTTAGCTAGTTGAGAATAATCGAAGTATTTAGTCTTGTACGGACTTGCTTTGTTGACTAGAAGACACTAGTTTTAAAAAAATTGATTATTGTATTAAATTAGTTAGATCCTCATAAATTTTATTTAGAATTTTAAAGTTAACGTGGTTAAAATTAAATAAATTAATTGAAATTACATCATTGCAAAAAAAATAAAAAATATTAATTAATTTACTTCAATAACTGCTTCCCAATTTCCTTCTATAGCAAAAAAGAGTGGTGTTCTTCCTACCTTTAAAATAAAAAAATTATTTGTTTTATTTTGAAAATATTTTTTCCAAATTTTTAATAAAATAGGTTAATAAATGATTAAATAAATTACTAAGTCTTCTGCCTCTAAATCAGAATTAAATTTAATTAGCAATTAAGTCATTTTTAAGAGTCCTCTTTTGCAAGCCCAATGAAGTGGTGTCATAAAATACTTTAAAAAAGTAAATAAATAAATCATAAGTAAAGAAATATTTACAAAGTCGTAGTCATATACAAGAAATTTGTCAACTCTAAGCAGGTATGATACTTATTCCACGTTATTAGCTTTAACACAAGCGAAAAATTCTTAGGATCTCTCTTTTTCAAATGGCTTAGAACTAAAAATCTTGTTGTTAATGACCTTTTTAAATGATTAATCAAATATTATTAGGATTTAAATATTTAAATAATATGGTACATCCTATGGATTTATATTGAGTCTTTGTAAGAGTTTAACAGTTTGCTTGAAAATATTTACTATCTGCTCTTTAGTCCTTTTGACTTGTCTGTTTATTTTCAGATTGTTATAATTTTTCTAATTAAATTTGCCTCCAGTTAGATACTCATGTTCTAGCAAATCAATCTCTCTATCTTTGTATTCATTCTTTTCTTTTATTTGCTATAGATTTTCTTCAAACTCTTTCTTCTTCTAAATCTTTTGCTCTTCTAAAATCTTAGACTTCTACTTTTTGAAATTGAATATCTTACTGCGTTGCATTCTAGATTCGCTAATCTCATTTTCCATCGCATTATTTTGGATAGTGCTAATCAATTCTTGAACTTTAGTTTACTGTGTGCGCTGTCTTTGAAGTTTTTACTTCTGAATTTCCTTTTCTATGTCTATGCCCTTTTAATAGTTTTTAGTTTAATCTAAAGTTATTTAGAATTCATCTTTTTTTTATTCCTCCTAGCTTTCTCCCTCAGTTATATTGCTTAAATCATCTTTGAGCTGATTTATACTACTCTACACTTTCTCACTTAGTGCTTATTTTGGACTATTTATATCTCTCTTAGAGCTAAAAGCTCTCAAACTTTCTCTTGATAATGTATTTCTAGGCTCATTTTAGATTTCAGTTTCTTTGTTTTGACTTTGCTCATCCTATTATTCATCAATATGTTTTATTTCATATTAATAATTTTATGAATTTTCTTGGCTTCCTAGTTAAGATTCAGGAAGATCTTTTAGGTAGGAGTAAGACTTCTTAGGAGCATTTGAGTAACTTTTATCATCTTCTGAATCACTTTTTTCAAGATTAAATGTAATTCTCTTTAATGACTTTTAAGTCTATACTTGTTCTAATTTCTCTTAAATTACTTTTTTTGATCTGCTGAGGTCATTTAGGGTGTTTGATTCAAATGGCTAAATTTAAACACAGCTCTACCCTTTAGGGAAGACATTATTAATTAAATTTATACTCCTTTAAAGAAAATTCTGCTAATCGGAGTTCAAAACTTTTACTGAATTAGCAAGAGGATCTTAAATATATTAAATTTGTTGAGTTGATTGTTATGTTTTTAGTTTTTGTTATGAATTTGTTTTTTGTTTCAGCTATTAAAAAGATGGTAACTATTCTCCTATTAGAGATCTTGATGTATTATTGAAGTTTCTAATTAGACCTAACTCATTTTTCTCTTGAAGCTAACTAATTTATGTTTTTAATTAATTCTATAATGCATTTTTTAAAACATCTCTCTTTTAAATTGAAGAGTCAATTGAGAAGGGGCGAATTTCAAGACTATTCATTCCCTAATAAGCATTTCGGCTAGAATATTATTAGGTTAAAACATCTTATCTTTGATTTGCATTATTTATTGGTGTTGAAGGAAGACTCTTTTTCTATTAATTAGTATATTTTGTAACTGTAATAAACTTCATTCTGCTGGGTTAATGACGAGAAGAGGGTTTCTTTAATATAGTAACTGTTTTGGTTACAGCTTCTGGAGATTCTGGTTATTAAGTATTAATACACGGTTCTTGTAATGATGCAGGTTGTTTATATATTTATAATGAACCAGTCTAACCAAACTTTAACTATCCAATAGCTACTCCATCATCTAAAATATTATGAGATAAATTTTATTTTCTGTTGCTAAATTATTTTTAAGTTGAATTTTAAGCTGTAGAAAGCTATGCTTTATTTTATTGCATTATAGAATCTAAAGAGGACATTTCTTATTCTACCTAATATCTTTTGTTAACTTTTGTCTATTCTCTAGTATCGATGAATCTATCTTTTATATACACTATGTTTTTATCACTAGAAATATGTTTATTTTACTAATCTTAACTTAAAAGAGGAAGATTTTTGTCGCTGTTGATAGAGTTTCTCTTTTCGTTACCTCCATGATTTAAGTTAATTATTGTCTTCAAAGTTACTTAAGAACTTATCTTTTTAGGAACAAGGAAGTGGTTACTTACCGCAGAAGTAAAAGGTAACTGGGTGCTTGACTTTTATTGAATAGACTATTATTTCTACAATTATTCATGGTTTAAGCCATTGTGATATTTACGATTACGTTGAAGATTCTATGATGATTTAGATTTTTATCCACTTAATTAGTCTTGATATTGTAAAATTTCTTAAGATTTGAAGGTAACTATATTTCCTTTTTTGAGTAACTGCTGATTATTTTTGTTAAAGCTCATCATAGTTTATATTAAACCCTGTGAATCATTTGGCAACTCAGAAAAACTCTCTTTGCTGTCCAAGGCGGTTTATGAATATTTTAATTGAGAAAAGCTTCCTCCATTTTACTTAGCCTTTTTGGCAGAATCTTAAATTAAAAGGTTTTAAAAGTTAACGCTTTTATCTGAAGTATATTTTTTATCACTTATTTATTAAATATTATTATTTTAACCATTATTTAGATTAATCAAATCTAGATTTGTGTTAGATGATGGAAGCTATTTACTGCTTAAATGACTATCTAATTGAAATGCTTCAATATTTTTTAAAGAAGAGGCTTACACCTAACCTTGATATTTTGGGAGTAATAACATTTTTAGTATATTTTCAACCCAGTGTTAATTGAACTTTGTAAATTTGTATTAAAATTTGTATATATCACCCTTTATATTAATATCTATGTGAAATTGATATTTCTAAGTTGAATAGTATATATACTGGATGGAATATAAAAAAATTTTATATGAATTTTATCAATTATATGAATAAAAAGAATTACTTAATTATAAAAGAGTGATGATTATTGGTTATATAATTACCATCAAATAACTTTTTAAAGTTTTTACTATAAACTAGAAGATATTATTTATATAATTTCATGTTCATCAAAAATTTTAAAAGATATAATTCACTCATTTTTTTATAAACTAGCAAAACTGTAAAATTTCATTAAAAAAAATATTAAATTTAAATCATTTGATGGGCAAATATTTTTTTATTTCAACCAAAAATAAGCATAAATTTAATATTTTATTTTTAATATCTTCAAATAATAAAAGTAATTTTAGCACTTTTTTATTATTCGTTGTTAAAACATTAAATATTAAATTTTATATATGTTAATACTAACTATCAATAATCCTTAATATATTATAATATATCATGAAAAATGAAGGTCTAAAAATTAAATTTTTGAAATATTATAAAATTATTATCAATAGATATTAAAATAAAAAACATAACTTATTTGGTCACTAAAAAAATAGATAAGACTACTTTTTTTTATTTTAATTTATAATAAATAGTTAACCCATTTTATTAATACTTTTCTTACTTTTTATATTATCATTTTTTGTTTGATGAATTAATATTGTTCATTCACTATTAATAATTTTATTAAATCTCCTTTCTGAAGTAATCCAGTAATATTTAAATATCTTCATCAACTTCGTTTAACTAACGAAATCAATCACACAACAAGAACTAACTTACTAATCAGTAACATTTATAATAACTAAAATAACATTTTTTAGATTAAATGATTTATTTTAAAAATAATTTTAATTTAAATATTTTATTTTTATTTTAAATTGAAAGAAATAAATATATTTTAATACATCAAACTAAATAAAAAAATGATAATCAATTAATTTATGATAAATTTATTATTTTTTAAAATATTTTTAACAAACATAAATAACTATTTTAATAATCTTTTTAGATATAAATACTCAGCTGTTTAGTTAGGAATTTAAATTGGCTAATTGTTTGTATACTTTCTAGATTTCATCAATAATTTATTCAGTTATAAAATAAGTTTAATTATTATTTGACCTATCGTTTTTAAAATGAATCCTTAACATACAATAGGCTCAATTGATAAAAGCAATGGGGAGGTTATTGTTAATGCTAATGAAAAATCGGTAGAAGGACACTTCGAAATTAAAAAAAATGCGACGTTCGCAGTAGAGTTGATTATTTTTAGACTTAAAATTTACATCAATTTATTTTAATTGCTTTAAATATTAGGCTAGCCAAAAACTAAAATGATAATGAAGACTAAGAAAATAATTTACAATAAATTGACGAAAAAGACCTAGAAAAAAGAAAAGCTACAAAATCAGCTCCAGATTATAAAAAAAACTAGAGTCTTAAAAGAAAGGAAACGTTTTTTAATCCAAAAAAACCATTTTTTAGCATAGAAATGGCATATCTTCATGAAAAAGCTAGTAGAGTATACAAAGAAGTGTTAAATAAACAGTTTGAAAACAAAGCAGAAGATATTGATCCAGAAAATATTTGCCCTTGCTGTAGCTAAATAGCCTTAGGAGATGGTAAATAATATAAAATACTTAATATAATTTTGATAAATAATTGTATTATTTTTTATTAAAACCCATCTTTAAAAACTTTTAAATTTATACTTATTTATGACTGACTTATAGATTGATTGAATGAATGATTAATTAATTAATTTATTGATTGATTATATTTTGATGGTACTTAGGATTAAAAAACATTTTTCATATTTAATTTTTTAATTAAAATTCTATTATTAAAGAATACCTCATTAGTATGATTGGAAATTATGAAGATTTAGCTCATCTCGGCCCGGCTTATCCTCTATATTTTTAGTTTATGATATATTCAATAGGATTTTTATTTATTACTTTACTTATTTCGGGAATTTATAATATGGTATAAAATGATTAAGGTTAGTAATGCTAAGAAACTGAATAATGCAGAGTATCTTTTGCAACTAAACTTGCTTAATCAAACAGATAATAAAATGATCCTGACGCTACTTAATCTTATCTCAACCTTGCTACATGCATAGTTTTAATATTTTATATAACAATTTTTAGATTAAAGTAAGTAAATTTTGCTAGATAAGTAGATTCTTATGATGTTTCAGTGAGTGATTACACAATATTTTTTGATAAAATTCCTTTAAATAAAAAAAGAAAGGACATACAGGAATTTATATATTCTTAAGTCCCTGGTGTAAAAGTTATGAAAATTGTTTAAGCTTTTAAATTAAAGTAATATAATAAATGGAATGAGGAACTTGGAGGAGATATTAGCTTAGAATAATAAGATTAAATCAGATAAAAAATTTAAGATTACGAAAATAAATGCTTTTAAGAAATAGACATAGAATAGACATTTGCAGGAGCTGCATTTGTTAGCTTTGAAACAGAAGATTAAGCTATTAAAGTTTATGAGCATTTTAAATCACATCCCTTTATTAGACATACTAAATTATATGATAAAAAAAAGAAATTTGATAATAATATTCTATCTGTAAATAGGGCACCTGAACCTGGAGATATTAATTGGGAAAATATTGAAATTAGTTCTCTTTCAAAGATATTAAGAAGAAGTGTTAGCATCATTGTAATAATAAATTATTATTTTTATAATTAATATAAAATGGAGAGAGACATTCATTAAAACAAATATTTTACTAAATTCAAATATGTTTAATTTAATTTAACATTAATTTAGATAATATTTTTTTATCTTCATCTCTTTATTTTCTTCATTAAAATAATATTTTTTTTATTTAAATAGGTTTCTGCTGGATTGATTGGCTGCTGCTATGTGATAATCTTTTACATATAAGAGTCCCAAGATAATTTTAAAAGAAAGGAGAAAAACAATAGTTTAATTGAGGCATACGCTATGCTTACATCGTTATCGGTGCTACTTATTAACTAGTTGCTCTAATTAACAATTGCATAGTTGGCAAATTATGAATCTTTTAATTCAAAAACTCGCACTATTATAAGTGTTGCTAAAAAGTCAGGTCTAGTTCAGTTCATAAATACTACAATAGTCTAGTTTTTTGTTAATTTATTTTAAAATATTCGAGATGTATGGGTTTATGGTGGTTTAGTATACGATATTACTATATTACTTATATACAATATTGGTTTACCATCAATTATTTAAGGTCTGTAAATTTCATAAATTATTAAATGGATGCAGCAAAAGCTGTTTTTTAAAAAAACTGAAAAAGAAAAAGCTAGATTGACTTAGATACAAGTACATGATATTTTTGAAAGAGCTTAATTTGACATTGCTCCACCTTTTGCAAGTGCTGTTAACACATTGCTTTTAACATGTTTTTATGCTTAATTGATACCTTTAGGTTTAGTTTTTTCTATTATATCACTTATTTTGTAAATGTTCACAAATAAGTATTTGCTGGTAAGAAGACTAAGTATGCCAGTACCATATGGAGCAGAACTTCCTTTAGAAATGAATGATCTGTATCTAGAAATAATTATTTTATTTTTCTCTTTAGGTAAAAAGATTATTTATTGACTTAATAATTCAAACTATTTAATTATTTTTTTTATTTTGAAAAGGATGCTTCATATTTGAATATATATTGAATTCAGAAATTAGTTCTGCTGCTATTGCCTAGCTTACTATTAGTAGTGTTTATTTTATATTCCCTATAAACAAATATATCAACAAAGTATTCAATTAGGATTTAAATTTTGTAGAATCTTTATCTTATAGTGATGCTAAAGTTCAAGGTCATTTTTCAACTGACTATGATAGAAAAAATCCTATTCTAAAAACGGAAGCAATTAAGAAGTATGTAGATTTTTCTATTGATAATGAAAAAGACCCATAAAAAAAAGAATTTTTAAAGAATTTATTTTACCCAGATGTTTAAAAAAGATAATCAAAAAGTAAAGAACCACTCAGTTTTGTTGGTAAGTTTACAGAAAAATTCTTTGAAGACAATTACAAAAAGTCTACTACTAAAATTTAAAAACTCAAGAGTTTAAGGATAAAAGAATAGCAAAGCAGATAAAGCGTGTTTTAAAACCAATAAATTGCTTAAGAAGAGATAAATGAGATAAATGAAATTGCCTAGAATTAAAACTAACAAGAAACCAGTCAATAACCAAAATAATAAGATAGCTTTTACAATATTTAATAAGAAGAAACATTAAGATAAGAAGGCCAATTATAAATTAAATAATAAAATTAATTACTTACATAAAAAGACAGCTTGATTTCCCCTTAACAAGAAAGCTAAAATTTAATATTAAAAAGCAACTAATAGCAGCCCATATACGATGAATGCAATAATGATATAAAGGAAGATAATCAACAAATTTTATAATCAACTATCTTGCAAAATAACTTAAAAGAAAGTGAGCAATTAATCTAAAAATAACCAGATCTTAAGTCATAAAGTGATAAACATTAAGATGGAAATATTGAAAAGAATCTACCTCCTATAAAATTAAAAGGTAGAGATTTAAACAAAGTTGTACCCATATGATTTATCTATCATTTAAAAATTAAGACTTATGCATTTAAATTTACTCTGTAAAAATTCATATTTATTTATTATTAAAAAAGATATAAAAACATTTTTACTTTTATCAGATTACTTCTGAAAAAAACATTCTTAAATATTTTGACAATTAAAAAAATTATTTGTAATAACATTTTAAAAATCTAGTCTTGAAGTAGACCTTAAACAAGATGCTTTTTTAGTATTTTTTTTCATTTTGTTTTAGAGAATGGTGAGCAATATTTGCTATATTTACTTAATGTTTTAGTTTTTTAAGTGAATTTAAAAATGTATTTTCAAGTTTTTTATGAACTAAAATTATTCAGAAAATTGAAATCAGATAGATTGATATAAATTATTAGATTTCATTTTTATTAATAAGTGTTATAAATCATTTTGAAGGATATCTTTTGTTTGTTTAATTTTACTTGTAAAACTTTACTTACTATTTAGTGTTTTTAATATCAAGTTAAAATATTATTGTATGTTAAAAACGATTTAAAAATTGCACGCTGCTTACATCAAACGAGAAGAAAATTTACAAATAAAAATAATTTGATGGATCTCAGCTTTTATAAAATATTATTAAAATTAATAAATTTAAATAAAAATGATAGCAAAATAAAGTTTTTTGAATAAATTTAGTAGATATCTAACTTCAAAGAAGATTCTATATTAATTCAACACATCAATTTAGATTGATAAACATGAATATGTTGAAGTATTTTTTTCTGATTCAAATGACATACATTACAACCTGTCTCTAGAGCAGCTCCTCTATGAGAAAGACTTAAAAGTGCCTCGTCTGATGCTTTGGAAAAATAAAGATTCAGTTATTATTGGTATTACAATTATTCATAATTTTAACTTAATCAGATGATAAATTTGGCTTTTTAGGAAAATATTAAAATCAATGGTAAGAGTGCAACATGTTCAACTTATATGAAGATTAGGTGCCTTTTGTAAGGAGGAAAACAGGAGGTGGAACTGTTTATCATGATATGGGTATAAAATTTATTGAAAATAATTGTTATTAAGCTATGATTTAATTTAAAAGGTAACATTTGCTTCAGCTTTATTACACCAATATATAGTAAAGATATATATCCTCTGGATCCACGCTAATATAATGTATAAATTCTGCAAAACGCAATGAGGAATATTGGAATAGAAACAGGATTGACTGCGAGAAAAGACTTAACTATCCATTCTAAGAAAGTATGAGCTAAATTAAAGAATAGTTTTAACTTAGTAGAATTAACTTATTTTTTTATCTTTTTAAAGATATCTGGCTCTGCTTATTAGGCCAATATGCCTAACAAGTATGGAGAGGGTAAAAAATGTTTACATCATGGAACCCTTCTAGTTGATGCCAATTTAAATAGGCTTTGGAGGTATCTAAAGCCAAAAGAAAAATAAATTAAAAGCAAGGCACAAGAAAGTGTTGTATCATAAGTTTGTAATATTAAAGATATTTATCCAAATATATAAGAAGATATGATTTATAAAAGTATTATTGACTCTTTTTCTAATTTTTTTGGTGTTTAAAACTGTATTACTAAGCATTTTGAATATAAAACTATGATAAATGAACCATTTATTAAGGAATAAATAAATGAGTTCAAATCATGGGAATGGATGTATGGTAAAACTCCTAAATTTGAAAATGATATAATAATTCCATTATCTCATGGTGAAGTTTAAATATTAATAGAACAAGAACAAGGTAATATTTTTTAAAAAATAACTCTCTAATTCTTTTCTAAGGTTTTATAAGCAAAATGGAATTCAAATTTGATGATCGCATATTTTATTATGCTGAATAATTATTGAATGATCTTTTTTCAAAATAAAAAATTGCATATGGGATTAGTGAAGTTGAGAAAAGCATTATCGAAAATGTTCTCTAAAATGATTCTGTTCTCTCTCCTTATGAGAGCGAAATTATCAAAAATGAGATTTTACCTGCACTCTCTCATTTACTGTGAGAAAATAGCTTGAATATACATTTTTCCAGTGAAAATTAAAGCTATTTTGATTACACTGAAATTTATATTAAAAAGATATTTTAGTTGAATTATAATTTTTTGTGGTGTTTATTTTATTAAAATTGATTCATATAATTATGCAAACTAATTATCCAAATTTAACAAATTCAATTTACTTACTTACTTAATAATTTATTTTATTTTGTAAGTAATTCTTAAATATAATTCTACTTAGAAATTAATAAAAAAGTTATTGTAATTCCTCAGCCGATTTGTTTAAACAAATATGTAGAGTACTTTTGCAAATAATTTTTTAAAAAGAAGTCCTCAGCTAAATTTTTAATCCTCTGCAGAAGACTAAGATAGTGAGGAATTATAATAAATAAATTTTAGAAATTTAGATTTGATTTTAAATTTAATGTAATATTACTCAATCTTGTACTAATATAAATAATTATAGAGTTTTTTAATAATTTTTTGTAAATAATGTAATCAAATTCATTTATTTCATAAATCAAATTGAGAAGATAAGTAAAGAAATTAAAACCACAAAACTTAATTTCAAAATGCTTGAATTGGTTTTTACTGTTGCCGAAAATTAGGAAACACATTGCTTGTCTTGTAAGGTATAATTAGCAATACAAGAAAGACAGCTAGTTGGAGAACCACTGCATGTTTAGCAGGGACTTTAGCAGGCTTAACAAGCATTATTTTAAGTAAGAACAAATCCATTCATGCATGTTGCACATGCATTTGCGTTATTAGCCTATGTGCAAGTTTAGCAGGTTGAATTACATTATGAATTATCACTTAGTATTTTTGAACATGTACCGTTTTAGACAGCATAACCACTTGCACATGCAGTACAATTGTTAGGATTACCAGAGCAATTAAAACAAGGAGGCTGGCAAGGCTAACAATTTCCATTACCCAAAATTAAAAACCCATCAAAACAGGAGGTACAAGCATTTTAGTCATGCTAAACACTGCAAGTTTTGCAGCTAGGGTGACACTGTGTTTAATCTTAATTACTACCAACACATGTGTTTCCACTCAATGAATAATTTGCAATACATGAAGTGCAACTATTAGGATTTCCGCTGCAATTCTAGCATGGCTTTTAACAAGGCTAACAGTTACCTCCAAGAACAAGATATCCTGTAGGGCATGAAGTGCAAGAATTTTAATCGTTTGGTTTGCTGCATGTTTAGCAACTAGGATGGCAATTTCCAGTGTTTGAAGCAGTACAAGTATTTCCATTCAAAGTATACCCTTAAACACAAGATTAGCAATTTGTGACTGAAGTCTAACAAGTTTAACATGGACTTGTGCAAGATTAACATTAACCGCTCACTAATATGGTGTTGTTGGTGCAAGTTTAGCAGCTATTTTAGGAAGTGCAACTGCTGCAATTTGAAGAACATTAAACACACGATCCTACATTAGTTCCATTTAAATAAAATCCAGTATTGCAAGAAGTACATTAAGTTGCATCTTAGGTTTTACTGCAAGTTTTGCAAGTAGAATCACAAGAGGCTTGGCATGTATTTCCATTTAAAGTATAACCTTTAACGCAGCTTGTGCAAGTATTGGTATCTGTTTTACAAGATAAGCATGGACTGTTGCAAGGTTAGCAACTTCCACTTATTAAAACATAATTATCAGTACAAGTTTAACAGCTACTATTAGAAGTGCAACTAGTACAATTTGATGGGCATTTAGAACAAGTACCAACGGAAGATCCACTCAGATAGTATCCATCATTGCAAGAAGTACATTAAGTAGCATCTTAAGGAGTGCTGCAAGTTTTGCAACTTTAATCGCAAGGTTTCTTGCAAGATCCATCTTTCTATAAAGTAAATCCAGTTTTACAAGTTGTGCATGTAGTGCTATTGGAGCATTCTTAGCAATTTAAAGCAGGAGGACAAGCATTACATTATCCAGGGTTTGAGCTTAAGTAGTAGCCAGTATTACAAGCTGTGCATTTGCTTGAATCATTGGATGCTGAGCAGGTTTTACATGTAGGATCACAAGTAAGATTCACACATTAAAATGAAGTATTAGCACCAAGTATATTGGTTCCTGATGCATCGCAAGACATGACAGCAGTGCCTTTAGCGTTGGATACGTTTCCAGTCCATGAGCAAGATGGTTTGCAACCTATATAAAATACGAAATATAACTTTAATATATTTATTTGTGATAATTAAATTTAAAAATATATTGTTTTCTCAGAAAAATTCAGATAGGGTATTATTTTATTGTAAAGATATTTAATGAAATCAGGTTAGTTAATTTTTATGTTTATTAAAATCTGCTTACAATTTTTTTGAAACATTAACAAAAAATTCAATTTTTTTTTGTGGTAAAATCAACAAGCCTGAAATCACTCAAACATAATTGAGTTAATTAATTTATAAATTTATTTAGTTTGAAACAACAAAATTAAGTAAATAATCTATTGATTTTCTTTTTTTCTTTTATGCTAGATAAGCAATCAAATTATGTTCAAATAGAATAATTTAATAGGAATTTTTTTAATCAAATTTTATTTCCATATTTAAATTTAGTAAAATCAATAATAATAAAAATATTAAAGTAATAAAGTATTTACAATCCCACATATGAGTCAATTTTCCTTTTACAACATTAGGATCGCTAGCAGAGAGCTTTCCAGAAGGGTAAGGTAAAGATGAATCATCTTTGTTACAGCCTGATAATTTAATCAATCCAGCAGGGCATCTTACTTCTTTCATAATAGTATCCCTATTTCCGTTGCTAGTTCTCCATTTTGTGTCAAAAGAGTATTAACATAGTTAGGTTAAGTTATTGTTAGGTAACTTAGCACAATCGCTTCTTTAAGTGATACCACCAGAGTAAGCATTTTAGCATTGGGAGTTATCTTAAGTAGGATCACTGCACCAATTACCAGCAGCACTTGAAGGATATTAGGCAGGTCCAGCATGTCCATCCCAAGCACCACCATTCCAAGCAAAAACTTTGTTAGCACATCCGTTGTTAGCGCCAAAACCACCAGCAATCATAGATAAATCGAACTAGTTACTATTTACATCACCACCAGTGTTAATACCTTAAACAATAATATCCTTTGCAGGAGCATCACTGTCTTAGACTTGAATTTAAAAGCATCTACAGCAATAATTTGAAGGAGGGTTGCTACCATAACCACCGAATCCATACTCTGCAAAGCTGGAGTAGCCATCAGCTTATACAGCTTATTGTAGCTAGCAGGAACCAAGAGCTTAGTGAGTACACATATAAGCAACTTAATCCTGAGATTTACCTAATGACTAAGTATCACAAACATTTGCAGTACTATAATCATAGTTCTAAGCTATTGCTTGGCTAATAAGAACCAGGCAAAGTATATTTGAGAGCATAATATTTATTTTTGGCATTTTATTTACTTTTGATTATTTAATTTTTTTATTTAATTATATTTTTTTGTCAAAGCTTTTTCGTTTCTAATTTATATCCATAAAATTTCTTGCTCGGAGATCTCTAATGTAAACTTTTAATGTTGCGCAAAATAATTAATTATTACTGAATTAATTAATTGATAGATAGATAGAGCAACCCCAGATTAAATTAGGGCTATTTCGTTTGGAGTGTAAACTAATTTAAAATTAATCTATCTTAAATTAGGTGAGCCGAAATTTTTTCCAGCTATAGATTTATTTTTATTAATTTAAAAAAAAATTTTTTTGCTGTAAAACTTATGCACAAGCTCATAATTTATTTGAAATTTATAACAGTTTTATTATTTTTAATTTATAAAAAATATCTGAAAAAAGATAATTATTTACTTCTAATGGTTGCATTAAATAAATTAATATTAATTTAGAGTCGAAAAAATAAAAATGCAAAGCCATATTTGTTATAGAATTTAAAAAAGATATGCTAAAAAATCTAAATTTCCTATTTTATTTAACAATCAATGATAAAAAACAAGTGTTTTAATAAAATAGATCTTAATTGATTTGCTACCATAAATTGTAAAACACAAATTATCTTAACTTAATTTATTTATTTAATGTTTTGAGTGATAATTCAAATCGTAAAAAATAAGACACTTAGATTTTTTCATATCTTATCTAAATTATTTTAAGTATGCAATATAGTTGAAATAAAATACATTTAAATTAATTCACAGCTCTAAATTATAAAAATGCAAATTATCTTAGCTTACTTTATCTAAGAATTTTAATGATTATACGAAGGTTTTTACAAAACTTTTCTAACATGATTTTAAGTTTTTGATAAAGTTTAAAAAACCTCTTTTTTAAAAGATTAAAATATTATTTTAAATGAAATAAAGAATTATTTACAATTCTAATTTAATAAAACTTATAAATTTTTAGAGTAAACAGCTTGTGTAAATAATTTTAAAAACTTCGAAATTATTAATTGGTTTTTTGTAATTGAATATGTTGGATTTTTAAGAATCAAGCAAACTAATTTATTTGATTAATAATTGATAAATTCAAACATCGTAATATACTTAAAAGCTTCATTTCAAAGAAATTAAATTGTATCTTTACAGAATAAATTAGTTAGCTTTTTCTTTTAATTAATTAATTTGTTGGTTAAAAAAATACTTAAAATAATAGAAAGATAAAAACCAATCTTTTCTTTTGTTACTAATCTGAGAATAAATATAAAATTAAAGCTTAAGTTGGAGTCAAAATATAATGATTTACAGTACAAATCTTTTATTTGTACCTGGGAAAATTAAAAATTTCATAAAAATACTCAAAGATAATTTTATTTTTAAAAATTTATTTTGGGCCATAGAATATTATCAAACACAATTATTTACTGAGCTTAAGTTGAAGAGGTTTTAAACTATTATTTTTTATTTATTTTAATTTTATCTTTCAAAATGATTAAGCTCTTCATCAAATTATATTTGATTGAATTCTATTGTTATGTAAATAAATAAATTATGTATTTTCTTATTAATTTATTGATTGATTGGCTATAAAATAATTGATCTAACTCAATAGTAAAAATAAATACCAACCATTATTTTAATCTAAAATAAATTATTAAATTAGACCTTATATTTTAAATCCACAAATGGTTAGTATCCAAACAATAATCTCTTCTAAATTAAAAATTCACTACTTTACTTAAGTTATAAAACATACACTTTAGGGCAAAAACATATTTTTTATTTTCCCAATTTAAAATTTTTAGTAAAGTTTTTAAAGTATTTTAAATTTTGCAGTTAGTTACATTTTTAATTGATAAAGAGAATAATATTTAGATTTTTTTTAATTTCCATTTTATAAATTAAACCAATGTAAAGATAATTACGTCATAAGGTAGCAAAAAAATATGCTAAACGATTTATACTGGATTACAAAAAACCTATTTTTTTTATTTTTTTGGCCTAAAGTATCTAAAAATCAATAATTAATCTGGCGGTTTGTAAAATTCGAGCAAAATTAATAAATATATGACTCTGAAATGCTCATCAGATTTTATTAACTGAAGAGTAAATGCTTTTTATTTAATAAAAGAATTAACGCTAAATTAAAATAATAAAATGAAATGAGTAAGTCACAAGAAAGGAAGCAGAATTACTAAAAAAAACTTTTTCTTATAAAATTGAATATAATCAAATATGAAGATTATAAACCAAAAATATCAACAAATATGAAAACAAAATAATTTTTTACAATAGCATCCATGCTTTTTTAAAATATAATTATTTTTATAAATACGATATGAGCACACTAAGGAGTTTCACTATTTATTTCTATTTAATTTATCTAAATAAGCATTTTGAAATGTATTAAATTATAATTTTTAAGACCTTTATTTTATTATTTGATAAAATATTATGAAGTAAATATATAGTTTAATACTATTTGAATTATATTTCATCTGATTTTAATGTTTTATCATTAAAACTCCTAAACAAAAATTTAGTTAGTGAACTCTTATGAGAATTAATCAAATGTTTCTGCAACTTCATCTACCAATTCAAGAGCTATATCCCTAGCAATTAGGTTTAGAAGAGCAACGTTATTTTTATCAGAATAATCTAAATGAGATCTGTATGTGTTGTACTTATTTTTATTATCTACAGCTGACAGTAAGAGCCCATAGCCAATTTCTATCAAAACATGGTCATAGTGCACTACTTTTTTAGGGACAGGCTTACCTGCATAGACTAAATTCAAAGCAGCATTTTAGGCATCATCAAAATACTCGATAAAACACTATTTAAATTCTATTAAAGTAGCTTATCTCAATTACTTTTTAGTCATTTTTTATTTTTACTCAATATATTACAAGACCATAACATTTTCTATTAAAATATCATCAATTATTTTTTCAACTAAAAAATCTTCATATTTTCCAATAATTTAATCATTTATATTTTAAAATAGCTTCTCATTGTCTCTAATTTCAGACATTAATGTATTTCTATATTTTTCTTTTTCTAAGCTTGGTTGCATTCTATAAAGCATTTAAAGTCTCCTCTAAATCCTCATAAAATAGTTATTTATCTTTCTATTTTCTTTTTCATCGTTTCTTTAAGTAATAGCTGCCAGACGCCTCACATCTTTTTCTACCTAATCATCACTTTTGAATACTTATTTTTTGTATCCTTCTTCTGGTTGAGAGTCATTTATTTGAACCTTGACGCTCACTGTCCTAGACTAAGGTCCTTTTCCTATTAAAAATACACAAATTTAGTTTAAATAAACAAACTAATTTTATCTAATTCAAATGAGATTTATTTATTTACTTTTCCTATCTTTTAATTTTTAATCTTCATTAAGTTTATTTTATTCGTGATATTTTTGCTCAGCAGTTTTAAATTCCATGAGAGAATACTCATTCATTTTTTACCTTTGAGAATTTTCTATTTAGTATGTGTCCTTAGCCACTTAGTATTTCATAATAGCCAATGAAGTTTTCCATACAGCTGGATCTACTTTTTCATAGTTATTTTCAGCATCTTCTTTCATTTGTTTTTTTATTTCACGATTTTTATCATATATTTTTTGTTAACTTTAAAAGTACTTGTTGTAATTTCTATCTATAAAATTACTTTATTTCTTTTTCTTTTCATTTTACTATGGTTTTTTTTCTATTTTTTTCCCTTATGCTTCATCTTTCATCTTGTTCAGTATATTTATTAAATATAAAGATAAATCGAAAAAATAAATTTACTTCTTGCATTTTATGAGGAGATAAACTATATTTTTAAGCATTTGAAGAAACTGCATATCTAATTAAGTAAGATAAATCATCTTAAAATACTTTATTGAAATTTTTATAGTCAAAGCTTTTCTGTCTGCCTTAATTCAAAAATTAAAACATATTTTAACAATTTTTTTTAAAATAAATTCTTACCCTTAGAGCTTTTTGTGTTTTCAAACACGCTAGAGTTTCCAAATGTACCAGCAAATTCACCGCTGTCATTTACTTCTGTTATTTTCGTTATTTGAGAAATTCTTTTGATTGATTTATGACTTTTTTATTTATTTATTGCATCATATTCAGATTAAAAAAAACTTATTGATCCAAGACTTGCGTTTTATGATCCAGATATAGATCTTTTATTTTATCTTTTATTTAAATCTTTGGAATCTTATAGTGCTAGCTTATTTAAACTCTATTGACTAGACGGAGGAAGTGTTATTGAATTTCTACTATCCATTTATCAAGCGAGAGTTTACAGAAATATTTATTTGATTTCTAAAAAAAGTAATTAATTTTTCAATGAGATAAGTTAATAAAGCAAATCATTTGTTTATTTAGAGTTAATAAGTTTAAAAAATTAATATTTTCTGTTTATTATTCAAATAATTTGAAATTTATGATACCACAGAATTTTAAATTAATTTATAAAAATCATTTATTTGAAGATTTAGCAGAAATAAAAAGATTATAAATAAACAAGATACTTTGATGTATCCTATAAGATATATCAAAAATTAATATCAAATAAATAAATATCTATTTTAAAACGAAATAATCTTATTAAATTTTTAGAAAAACCATTCAATTATTCAATATAATAAAAAAAGAATAAAAATTATATTAACACATTCATAATATAAAAAATGAAATTTTTGGCTTTTGGATTGATTTATTTTCATTTTTGTATATTGAACAGGTGTGAGTATATTACTTCTAGCACCATCCAAAAATGTTATAATTCTTCAAATGAACCAAATAACTGCTCCTAAAAAGCTGTTATCGTCCTATCTTTAGAGAATGGATAAGTATTAATTATAGTTCTACTTTAGGTTAAATAATTATTTTTATAGATAGCAAATACAGAACAAGTAGTGGCCACTCTTAATCAGTTATCTGATAGTGGAGTAAATAAATAACTACAAAATAGTTTTATTTTTGAGGTTACTAAATCTCCAGTGACTGCTCTATTTCCTCTTATTTACTTATAAGATTTCAATAGCTAACCATTAGAGTAAGTGATCGCTACCACGCTATTTTCATGCAAGGATGGCTTTTATGGTAATATTTATTCGATTTCTTCAATAAATTAAATTTAAAATTAGATAGTAGTCCAACTTGTAAATTTTAGTATGACTCTAAAGGCTAAAAGATTTTGGACAGCTAAGGTTATTGCTGCTATTGCTCTCTATCAGATATATTAGGCATGGGTAATGATCTATCAAGAGGTAAAGTGTGCTATGCTCTAAATCTTGGTGCAGGTTATATATATTTATTAACTTAATTTATTAATTATTGATTAATTAGCCACTTATTTTTGACATTTTTATAATCTAAAAGGATCAGCAACAGCTCACTGCCTAAAATTCAGTCCTCTTTGGTATTCTGCTTTTAAAATATAGCAATATTAGCTCTACTTTGAAGTTAATATAAATATTTACACAGTTGATAGTCAAAACTAAAAAAATTTAAAACAAACTCTCAAACTTAGTACATCAAATCCTACAATGAAATCCTCTGATAATTCAACTATAAGCAAAATTATAGGAGTAAATTTTTTTAAGTTGTTAATATTTGCTAATTTATTTAATAAACAGACATTCACTCCAACATAACCTCCAGCTGATCTAAGTAGTTATTACCTTGTTAAACCAAGTTTTCCAGCTACAGATCCAAGAGTTCTTTAAGGGATAAGTTCTTGGATGTTTGTTGACAAAACCATGTTTACGCTGGATGGTACTTAGTGCAACAAAATTGGAGTCAGCTACTCTGGTTTTAGATAATAATCCTCTAGCTGCTCATAGCCAGTAGGTTCTTGCCTTTAAAATCAATTAGAGAACTTATATTAAAGTGATCTCATTCTTTTATCATAAAGTAGAATTAAAATTATGTTAATATCAACAAAATAAATGTTATAATTAAAATTTTAGCGAATTTATTTTAGTTAAATTAACTTAGTAAATTAAACATTTTTTAAATATTAAAAATAAAATTTATTCGAAAAGATAAATAACCTAAATATTTATTGGAATCACAAGGGAATTTTAACTAAGTGTAATTTCAAGGTTAGACAATCTTATAATAAGGGTTAAGTGGATCTGCTAGCACATTAATAACCATAGAAATAGATGCAGCTTAAATAAAATTTGTAACTAATTTAGGAATAGGCTGCATTTCTCAATGTAGTATTAATAACTTCGAAAGTCATTCAGGTAATGGTAAACTAGTAGCTTTGGTTTAAAATTAAGGTAATTATAGTGCTGAATTTGTATTAGGCTTTAATTGTAGTTCGAATGTCTAGCCTATTTAAGGATAAAAGCTTTTTCTAACTGCAAATCAGCTATATAATTTTAATTGCTCAGTTTCAGTAAATAGTGATATAAGTGCTATAAATAACAATTGTACTATAAATTTATATGATGCAATAGGAAATTAGCTTGACTCTAAAAACATACTATTCAACACAACAAGCACCAATCATACAAGTAAATATTAAATTATATTAATTTGAGAATAATTATTATGTAATTATGAAAAAGGTAATTAAGGAAATAACACAGGCTAGTAATAATCAAGCTAAGAATATAAGTCATCCTAATCCTGCAGTGATAAATGTTCCAGTTTTTGGAGTTTTTGGTGCTATTTTTCTGCAGGATGCATTAAAGAGGCATTTAAATCTATTGCTTCAATTGCAGGAGTAGCAGTAAGTATTTCTTTTTATCCTTTATCAATGAAAAAATATTTATTAATTTTTTAGAGTGCTCTAGCTCTGGTAATTTTTTTGGCAAAAAATGGGTATTTAGTCCCTATTATTCGGTTTCTTTGCTGTTGCTGTTGCAAATCTAAGAAAAAGGAAAATGAAAAAAATAAAGACAAAACAGATAAAAAATCAATTTAAGAAAGTTGCAGTTATGATAGATCGTGCTGCTCACATTCAATATCATAGTCATATTAGGTTGAAAACAAAAATAAATATAAAAGATCTAAAATATAAAGAAGTTTTTCAAGTGAATCTTGTCAGGATAAATCAAAGAAAATAATAAATGAATTATCAAACTTAGAAGAAACTTTCGAAGCCAATAAATTATATGCAAATATAGACAAAAACTCATCAATATTTGAATATTTCGGTTTTAAAAAATCATTTACATTTATTTTATATGAAAGAAATGATATTCTTTTCTTGCCTTAGAATAGCACAATCTTAGATATGGTATGATTGATTAAATTTTATATACATTATTTTCTACTAAGAAAATTTTTAATTTTAATAATTTAGATAGGAGCCTTATAGCCATAAAAAGGGTCATATTTAGCTCAAAAATTTTTAGAAATAGTTAATAAAAACGCTCTAAAAGTTGTTTCAACATCTCCTCTCTATCTACTAATTGAATGAATGAAAAATATTTATTTATAATTTTTAATATTTTTGTATAAAATCATTAACATTTGAGACTCTTTTATAATTTATAATTCACATAAATTAACTTGTTAAAAGATTTATTTTCTAAAAGATTTAATTTCTGAAATATTACTTTATTTATGCTTAACTTGCTTTAATGTCTTAACCTTATTCGGGGTTTAATAGGTATAGTATTAGCTTACTTTAAGCTCAACTTAATTTTAAATAATTTAATTATTTTAAATTCTCAATTTTCATGATTCTATCAATCGATCACTCGCTATTAAATATTTATTTTCTAATTTTAATACTTTTTTCAAATAGATTTACTATTTTTGATAATTCTTCTTAATAAGGTTTTTAACAAAGGTTGCCCATAAAAAAAGATAATTTTTAAGTATGAATTAAATTTTTTCAAATTTTTGATAAATTAAATGACAATATAAATAGTTAAATAAAATTTATATTTATTTGTGTTTGATAGTTGTGTGACTCATTTGTTTTCAAAGATTACAAAATTCTAGATGAGTAACATTCTATATATTTGTTTAATTTGACTTAAAATTATTTGTAAAAGAAATATATAAATATTTGATGCTTTATTTACCAAACATATAAATATTTATAAAATTTTAATTAATAAAGTTAAAAGGCATTTGTGGAGATAAAAGAAAATACTAATAACCAATAAAAAATAATGAAAACTTATATAACATGTATTTAATTAATTATTTTTTACTAAATTAATATCAATGACTGATATAGCTTAATATACATTTATTTATATTTGAAGTTTGTCTAAACTGCTCATTTTATTTCATATTTATTTATTTGTAGAACAAAGAGATGAGTTAATATAAGAAAAAAATCTATACTAGTTAAAATTTATTGAGATATTTTTATTTTATTTTCTGGATTATAAAATATTAGGATAGTAAAGAAAGAAGAGACAATTCAGGCATCAATTTTTTTGCCTCGTAATTGGTGCTCTATGATCAGAAGAGATATTATAAAAAAGATGATGTAATGGATTATTATTTATATTCGCAAATGAAAAACCTATAATGAATAGTATTTTACTTTTATTATCATTTATTAACACTTTTTTTAGAAGTAAACAAAATCTACATCACATCTTTTTTATATCATTTATTAAAATTTTAATATATATAAAACAAATAAAAATTTAATAAATTGTTATACCACTAAAAAATAAAGCACTACTAACAATTAGTCTAACAAACTAACAAACTAAATATAAAATTATTACTATACTAATCACATATTTTAAATTCGAGAAATGGGGTAATGCGCATCCAAATAACCTGATAGCCCTACTAGGGAAGATATTAGTCAACCTTAGATGCCAGGCGGCTTTTAGTTTCCAGATGAATCAGGTCACTAGCAAGAATCTTAAGAAAATGGCCAAGAATAATAATAATAAATAAAAAGTATTAAATAGTGTTGATAGAGTGTATTAATTTCAATTTTTAAAATTATTTAGAGACAAATATCTAGGATGTAATCGTTTCATAGGCTCATTTCGTATAGCAAAATTAAGGGACCGTAACTCATGATTATATGATACTTTCTCCTCCTTTAGGAAAAGGTATTTTAATTCATTCATTTAATAGCAAATAAATTCTAATATGGTTTGAAAATTACTCAATAGGTGCATATGGTGAAGTTAGAAAAGCAATACATAAGGCTAGTGGGCAGTTAAGAGCAATAAAAATTATTAAGATAAATGAAGTCTCATAAGAAGATAAGCAAAATTTAGAAAATGAGATTGATATTTTGAGGAATTTAGTAATTACTTAATAAATTTTTAATTCTCTTTACAAAATTATCAACATGATATTTGTTGTGCAAAAAGCTAAAATTCTTCAATGAAGCAAACTCAGAAATGAAAATACAAATTAAATTCTCAATTTTTAATGTTTTTTGAATAAAATTTAATTAGGATCATCCAAACATCATAAAAATTTTTGAGTTCTACAAGGACTCAAACTACTACTATATAGTTTCAGAATTATGTACAGGAGGAGAGTTGTTTGATAAAATTATAGAAGAAAAATCATTCGATGAATTTAAGGCTTGTAATATTATCAAATAAGTGTTGCAAGCTGTCAACTACTGTCACTCCAATAAAATAGTTCATCGTGATCTAAAACCTGAAAATCTTTTGTACGATAACGATACTCCTAGCCAAACTCTTAAAGTTATTGATTTTGGAACATCAAGATACTATGATCCAGAAAATAAATTAACTCAAAGGTTGGGGACAGTAAATTGAATTAAAATTTGCTATTACTGATTAGATAATTAATTACTCAATTTAAATAAATATATAAATAAATAAAGCCTTACTATATCGCACCAGAGGTATTGAAAAAAGAATATAATGAGAAATGTGACATTTGGTCATGTGGAGTCATTCTCTATATATTATTGTGTGGCTACCCACCATTTGCATCCAAAGTTGATTCAGAGATTCTAGAAAAAGTTAAACTTGGTGAATATAATTTCAACAAACCCGAGTGGAGACATGTTTCTTAGGATGCAAAAAATTTAATTAACAACATGCTTTAATACAATCCATAGTAAAGATACAGTGCTAGATAGTGTTTGTAAGATAAATGGTTTACTCGTTACTCTAATGAACCTGAAGTAAAATTGAGTGAGTTGTAGTAGTGCTTATTTAATATGAAAACATTCCGAGTAAATTTTAATTTAAAATAATATTTTGTGGTAAAAGTTTTTTATCAATTAAAAGTCATCATAAAAATTATAAGAAGCAGCCTATATGTTTTTAGTAAACTATGTCTCAACAAAGGAAGAAAAAGATTAACTCCTCAAAACATTTAAATAGCTTGATACTGACGGTGATGGTATGCTTAGTTAATAGGAATTACTTAATGGCTATAAAAAGATTATGAGTGCCGTTAAAGCTGAGGAAGAAGTGAAGAAGATTATGGATTAAGTAGATAAAAATAAAAGTGGTAAAATAGATTATTCTGAATTTGTAATGGCTACATGCAACAGACAAAACATGCTCAGCAAAGAAAAATTATAGATGGCATTTAAAATGTTCGATAAAGATAATAATGGTTCACTTACAGTTGACGAAATTAGAAAGCTTTTCAATTCTCATATCTAAGACGATGAAGTTATTAAGGATATAATCAAGGAAGTAGATAAAAATTAAGATGGACAAGTAATTAATTGATTGATTAATTTAATTTGTTGAATTTACATTTAAATAAAAATTTTTATAGATATCATTTGCCGAATTCAGAGATATGATGCTCAATTTAACAGGAAATTGATTGAATTAAAATTTCTAAAAGATAGATAATACTAATTATTTAAAGCATATTAACAAGATATCTTTTTACAAATAATACCTTTCTACTATCGAAAAACAAATATATAAAAATTAACTTATATTATTTTCTAACAACTAAAAACTATTCAAATTCTATAATAAATTTAATCAATCCTCATTCATTGTCATAAATTTTCTTTGAACAATAATAGAGACATTTAATAAATTTATATTATAAGAAATTAATAATTATTTGAATTATTGTAAAACATATATATATCTATACACACATACATATTAATTATCCTTTTAATAAATTTTTTCATCTCTTTTTTAGACAGATTTTCAAATTAATTTTATTTAACAACTAACTTGAATGAATTAATTTAAAAAAAGTAAGGTGTATCTTTTGTTAGCTGTTGTATTTTAAAATTATAGCATTCAAAAATATTTAAAATAAACAATGAATACGAAATTCAAAAATAATCAAATATTTTATATAAAAAAATGAAGAATTTTTTAAAAGAATAAATTTTAAAATTAAGGCTAGTGGACGGATGATATTTTCAACCAGATTAAAATGAAATAAAGAGACTTTAATTGGTTTAAAAAGAAAGTATATTTCATAAAGAGAGCAAGTTCAAGTAAAAAATAATAAATGAATGACACTTCTTTTGTTCAACTTTGAGATTATTAATACCTTAAAATGAGTAAAGTTAGTGTCATAAGAAAATTAATGATTTAGAAAAACTACTAAAGCTAATAAGCATTAAATTAATTTAAATAACTAATTATAAGCACTCACAAAATGTATTTAAAAGTCTAACAGCAATAATCAATATTGTATATATATTTGGTTTAAAAGAAAAACAAAAAATAAAAAAAATCTGAAAATTATTCATTTAAAAGGGAAATAAATAGAGAATACATTTGTAGGTAATAGAAGACAGACCATATTAAGGAAATTTGACAAAAAGGTAATTCACTCATTTTGTTTATAAATAAATAGAAAATCACAATTGAATAAAACTATTTTCAATTTATATTGAGAGTCAATTAAGAAACATATTTGTTGAAATTTAAATGAGATTCTTATTATTTTACCTATTCTCTTTTATTTAAAGTTAATTCAAAAATGGCGAGTGAAGTTATGAACTTATCTGAAGAAGATATCTAGTTCTGCCAGAAAGCTTTCTCTGATTATGATGAAGATGGATTAGGAGCTATTAAGGTTTCTGATTTGAAGCTTGCTTTAGAGAATATAGGATGTTCTCTTAGCGAAAACGATTTATTTAAAATGATTAGTGAGGTTGATGAGAAGAATACAGGTCTCATCAAGTTTTCTGATTTTTTGAATATTTATTACAAATAAAAATATGCAAATCTTGGAGATGATGATTAGGATTTAGTTGATGCTTTTGTGGCTATGGGCGGTAATGCCGATACCACAGGCTCCGTAGATGCAAACCGTCTCATATAAATAGTAAAAGAAGAGTTCGAAGTAAAAAATTAAATTAATTTTTTTCTTTCTCTATAATAAAGATAACTTTCATTCAAAACTTTACAAAACAATTTGCAAAAATTTTATGATAATTGTTCAAATGTTTTTTGCTTATCACCTAGACCAAATCCGAATTCTTTTTTCTATAGAATTGGGTAGACCAGTGAACAAAAATAAATAAATATCTTTAAAATTACAAAATTAATTTCTATCTTTAATTAATAAAACTGTTTTGATAATATTTTAGATGACTATTGACATAGTTGGATTGATTCGTGAAATTGATAAGGATGGATCTGGAGAAATCGAATATGAAGAATTTAAATTGCTTCTCAAATCAGGTTTTGCTAATGAGGGAAACTGATTTGTTCATAATAATTAAGAAATTTTTGGCTTATAAAGAAATATAAAGTATATAAATAAAATATTTTCCATATAAGAATTTATAAATTTAAGATAATTAACTGCTTGAGCTGCAAAATTTAAATAACATAAACTAACTGCCTAAAAGTTGCAAAAAAAAAAAAAATCAAACCAAGAAATAAGAAAATATTTAGCTTAGAGTTTTATATTAAGTTTTAAATATTTTGACTTGATTTATTTTGCTAATTAATAAATAATTTATTATTTTGTAAATTTATTTGAGTTCATCAATAAACCCTTTTTATATTTACCCATTTTTGCTCTCATCTTGTTTGCTTATTTTCTTTAAATATCCACTTTAAAAATTTCAAATATTTTTATAATTTAGTTTCGATATTTCGTAAGATAGAAAAAAAATTAATTGTACCTATTACTCAAATTTTTTTAAATTAACTAAATTTAGTAAATTTTAACTGTAATTAAGAAAAATAACTAACAATCATTCATGAGTCTATTCCTTAAAAGAATAATATGTTTGAATTAAAATTTAAGAGGATTACATAAAGGAATAGATAGTCTTTTAATTCTAACTTTCCAATCGAACAATAGAAGAATTTATTAAATTATATTTAATTAGTTAATACTTTTTGATATGCTGTATCAACAAATTAAATTTCATTTAAATTATATTTATAAAAGAAGTAAATTAGTCAATTAATTAATAAATTTATAAGTAGGCTATATTAAATAAATGTCACAGTCATCATCCTCTCATTCCTTAGAATAAGATCAAGAAGAGCAATAAGACGATTACAAAATGCCCCCTACAATTGATTTAAGCAATGGCAGACTCAAACAAAAAGAAGAAGAATAAAATAAGCTGATTGAGGGTTAGGAGGTAGTTGATAGCTACGAAAATGTAAAATACAATTTGATTTAGATGTTCGATTTTTATTTTACTTATTGACTTTTAAAAGATGGATAGATTGTAAGTGCCAGAGTATGAAAAAAATAAAGGCAAAGAAGCATTCTAAAAATAGAATTACCAAGCAGCTGTAAAACACTACTCAAAAGTAACTCAACTTAAACTTTTAGCATATCTAAATAAATAAATATATTAAAAATAGGCTCTGCTGGCTCTTTAGTTTTTAATCAAGGATGGCCAAATAAAATAAAAAGAATAAATGGTGAAGTTCATAGAAGACATTGAAGTAATTATATAATTCTATAATGAGCTAATTTTAATATAAATTGTTGTTAATAATAAAGATTCCATGCAATTCAAATTTATCAATCTGCAATTTAAAGCTAAAAGAATATAAGCAATGTATTCACTTTGCTTCAAAAGTTATAGAAAATGACCCAAATAATATAAAATGCTTATATAGAAGAGGTATGGCTCATCTTTACTTAAATGAAGTAATAAAATAAATATTATTTTGATTAATTACTTTAAAAATAAACATTAAACTATAAAAGTTTGATGATGCTAGAAACGATTTTAAAACAGCTTATGCACTTGACCCCAATAGCAAAGAACTTTAGTTAGCATTCGAATAGTTGTAAATAAGAAAATAGCAAGTAGCTGAAAAGTAGAAGTAAATCAGCAAGAGAATGTTAGATAATCTTGATTACTCTGACAAAGTAGAAGAAGCAAAAAGAAAGAAAGAATAAGAAGAAAAGGAAAAATCTTCAGAAACATAGTCATAAGAATCAGGCTTAACTAAAATCTCAAAAACCTTTATTCCTGATTTTAAGCAAATTCTTTACAATGTCAAAGTTGCAGCATTAGTAACTGTAGATTTCTTCACATAAAAATGTTGTAAAAGAAGAATCCCTTCATAGTATTTTAACAAAGATAAATGAACATATTTAATTTATTTTCTTTACAAACTATCAAAATAAATATATAAATATTTATATATATAATATGAATCCACTGAATTATAGTGTTAATTAATCTGTTGCAACATTATAAAATAATAACTAAGCTTTTTTTTTTTCTATAGTATTATAAAAAACATAATTTTTATTAACATAATAAATAAAAAACTATTATATGAGCAAATAAAAATTAAATATTTAATTGCTATTTTGACTTAAAGTAAAAATAAAATTTTAGTTTAACTTACTAACATCTTTTTACTTAAAATTAGTCATATACTTGCATAACATACATAAAGCAAGTAAAACAATTAAAAAATTATATTTATGAATAACAATTTTATTTCATTTATTCACATAAAAAATATAATATGAAATGATTTTAATTATTTTGATCAGTTTAGGTTGATTGATAAAATGTTTCAATTTAGATAAATGGGATAGTTTTTTGTATTCTTAATTTAAATTTTAGTAAGTTTATTTTCTACTTAAAATTAGTCATATTTTTTTGTTTGCAATTTTTAAATTAAATTTGCAGATAAATTGTGTTAGGAAAAAAATTGTATTATTAAAAATTATCATAATAAATTCAAATGAGAAAAACAAAAGATGTAGCAGAAATAAATTCATTTCAATATTTAAACTCACTGACTTGTGAATATTTATAAAAACTTAAGGTGTTATTTGAAATTCATGAGGATTAACTAAAAATATTTAAAGAAGAGATAGATTAAAATTTAATTTCATAAAATATAAAGTAGAAATTTCATTAATACTGTTTAAATGATTGGAAACAGCTAAAAGAGCACATTAATAAAAGAAATTCTTTTAAATAATCAATTTATTTTAATTACGTAGAGTAAAAAAATAAAAATTTAAATTCTAAGGAGGTTTGTCAATTTGTTGAAAGGTTTTAGATAAGCATGAAAAATAGTTTAAATTATATTTTATAAATTTAAAATTTTATTTAAGAAAACGAATAAAGAGAATAGTAAATAAGCTTAAAATAGGATTTAATTGACTTTAAAAACTCAAATAAAAATATTGAAATCTCATTTGATAATTTTGTACACTCAGTTACAAAACAAAAACAGGACTCTCTATTCAAGTAAAGATTTTTATTAAATATTTTAAAATAATAATAACTTTTTTTATTTGATAGTCTTGATATAACTCCTATAAAATATTAAAGTTAAAGAAAGAGCTAAGGAGAGAGCTTAAAAAAAAATTTAAATATTTTTTATTCTAAATACCTTAATTTAAATCATTCACTTTCACCGTAAAGTATTTTATTAAATTAGTTTCAATTAAAAAATTAAATAATCTAAGAAAATAGTTTGAACAAAAGAATAATGAGATGAAATTTCAAAACATATTTGAAAGTATTTCAGAGTTTTGTAGTTATCTGCCAATTTAGTATATTTAATTATTTATTTCTATAGCTTACATATCACAAAAATTATTTACTATTAAATTATTTAATTTCTAGATAAAAACCTAAAAATTTTATCTATAAATAGAAAAATTAACTGTTAAAACCAAGAAGATTCTGATAAAAGTAGAGAAATGAAAAAAAGCTAAAAATAGAAAAAAGAACTAACTTAAAATCAATATTAGATATAAAAACTATAAGATGATATTCCAAAGTTTGTTTTTTCATCTGAATTTTTGTAATCTGCAACGAAATTAAATAAAGCTTCGTAATTTAAAACTATTTTTAATATAAAAATAATTATTATATAATTTTTTAAATTTTTAAATAAATTCAGTTAAATAAATTTATCTAACGAAGAACCAAAAGCAAACTCAAACAACGATAATGAAACCAATATAGCAAGGTTAAAAGATTTACAAAATGCATAATATAGTTCCAACGATTTGTATCTAAAACTAAATAATGATTAATATAGAATTGAAATTAAGATAAGTAATAGTATTTAAATTAATGAATGCAATTTAAAGAAATTTATAAGCGAAATAAATTAAAAACTTAGTCTTATAAAGGAATGAAGTCTTTAAAGCAATTATTTTCTTTTGATAAATTAGATTTCTGATCTTTATGTTTACAATATTATTTATATTTATTTAAGTGGTGTGATGACTCTTGAATCCAAATTTTTTATTTTTTAGTTTCTATGAATGCATGATAAATTATTCAAATTTTTTTTTACAATTCGCAAGAAAAATTTAATAATGTTATTTTGTCATATTTTTTTGTTAGTTTACATTTACTAAAAAATGAGAAGTGATCCTTCTAAATTTATTTATGCATGTAAAAGCAGGGGGAATTCAGTAAAATTGCGTAATCAAAACACTTGAATTTATGTTATTTTTTAACATTTATAATCACATATTGCAGAAATAAATTAAGTCAAGTAAAGTCAAATTAAAATATGAAAAATAACACTTGTTATTTATTTATTTAATCAAACAAAGTAATAAATAAATAATAACAATAATAAATAAAGTAGAAGCAAAACAAAAAAAATCAAATGAGAACTAAAATTTTATTAGTAAAACTCTTTATCTTAGTTTAGGTTTGCTATTGCTAGGTTTTAGATAATTTTGTTTTTACTAAAACACCACTTTCAAATATATTGTATTCTTAAATATGCAGTTAGAATACTCCTCTTAAAAATATCATTGCCTTGAATAGTACAAATAGCTCATTTATTGGATGGAGCAATACTTGCGGTGTTGTTATTTTCAATATAGATAACAATGATGATGTCTCTTATACCTTCTTGCTTTAGGATGCCTCTAAAGTTTTAAAAATATTTTAGTCTTACACTTAAAGTATTTGGATTATTAAAAATTCTTAGATTTAAATCTACAATAAAAAAGAATAAAAAATTACAAATACTTTAATATATGGTGGGCCATCAAGCAATTTAATTGATGTTTAAGAAATTCCTAGTGAATAAGTAATATTAATATTTACTGAAAGGTAGATTCAATTCATAGACACTTATAATTTAGTTGTCCTTTCTTCTACATATGATATTAAAACCTCTGATCCTTCCATCATGAGCGCTTTGATTATTAGCGATAAATACCTTCTACTAGGATAAGGTTACTAAATAAATGTTATTGAATTTCTTAATTTAAGTACTCAAACAAATACTGTAATAGCAAAATCAAATGGATTAGTTTTTACTTAATACAATACCTATGTTACTAGAATGGTCATGCTACCTAATAACGCCTTTGCTATTTAAACATCAACATAAGGTATTTATTTTGGAAACTTCACCTCTTTCATAACGACAAGGAACGTTTAGAATATAACTTTTTAGCAATAAATTTAAGATAAAAGCTATCTTTAGATGCAATACATACAAACTAATTTAAATTAGAGTTATTTGATAGCAGAGGAAGCTTTTAATGCAATAAAAATTATCTAATTCCAGTACACTCCTTCATTTAATTAGTTTTTTTATCAGCTTTTACCTATATATACAAAAACATATGACCTGAAATTATTATTTAACAGTCAATACCTAATTTCTTTTACAGATAAATGTGTTAATATTTACAAAAATATTACATCTAACTATCAAAATTAATAACCAAATATCCTTAGCATAAATAATAACATTTTATATAATTCATTTAAATTCGTTAGCAACTCAGGAAATAGATGCTTTATTTAGCAGAATCTGCTTTATTATTCTAAAGGAACTGATGGTGTAATAATTTTAAATATAGATCCAATTAACTATACTCTTTAAGCTAATAATGTTTTAAATATTGATAGTAATTCTCATTCGTTTGCAGTTTAAATTTACAATACAAGTTAGCTAGTTGTTGGAGATTCCAATTTATATTTTTTAAACATAACAAACTTGTAACAACCAAAAATTATAAGTAACAACAGCTTTAACTTATAATAAATAAATGCAAATTATGCTATTGTTTCTTAAAATTTAAATACTATTTTTGTAGCTGCAGGATATGCTGGATTAATGATAGTAAATATTACTAATTTCACAAATCCAAATTTAATATCATCAATATCAACTAATACTCCAGCTTAATACAGTTGCTCGTTCATTTAAACATATCTAAATGAAAAATATGTTATAGCTAACTACTAAAATCTAGGTATTTATGTTTATGATGTAAGCTATTTGAATAAACCCTAAACTTATTCATTCTTTCCTATAAGCGCTGGTCAAGATTTTAGTATATCCATTACTAAATTTTTCATGGTTATATCTAACAGTGACTATGGAATAGCTATTATTAATATTACTGATCTCAAAAATTTATCACTAATAAGCAATATTTATATATAAGGCTCGACCCAAAGAGCCTATTTAATATCTAATGACTAATATATCCTCACTCTATCAGTATTTAGTGGATAGCTATAGCTGGTTGATATAACTAACCTAAAAAACCCAAAAATAATATAGTAATATTCTTACAACAATCAAATATCTGCATATGACTTGTGCCTCTCTAGTAATTATAATACTGCATATTTAGCTATGGGAAGCGGAATAGTCTAATTTAATTTATTTACTAATAAAAATCTTAATATTAATTTTTTCGACTGTACTGATCCAAATAAAATAGTTAGCTTGAATCAAAATAATTGGTTTTCTGTGGGGCAGCAAATTGGTGTTTAAGTAAATAAATTTTTTCTTTTAATTTTAATAAAAAAAAAATAATGTAATTCCCAGAACCGAATTTGTTATTTTAAGCAATAAATTAAATTTCATATTTGACTAATTCTTATTTCTTTTTTCTTTTTTTCACATAATTTTACAAAATAAAATGAAACTATAAAATATTTTAATCTAATATCAAAAACTAATTAAATTTTTATTTTAGTAGAAATACAAATTTTTGAAAATTTTATTATTGAAATTTTATTTTTAATTTAATTAAATATTATTTTTTCATTTATTGAATAGATTACTGAAATTTTACCTAATGTTATGAGATAAGTTATGATCACTTCAGCTTATTATTATAATAATTTTTTCTAGTTGCAAATGCTTCCTACCTGGAGCTCGTTTTAATTACAGCAATAAATGTTGATGATAAATATCGAAAAAGAGCTTCTTCAGCAATAAGTTAAAAATGACTCAGAAACAATAGAGTTTGTATTTGAAATAAAAGAGAAGCTATTTAATACTGATTTTATTTATTCTTCAATAGGAATAACTAGTCAAATATCATAAAATATTTTTAATTTATGTTAGTAGAATTAAATAGTAGATAGCTAAAGCTATGTAATTTAGTATAAACAAAATATAATAAGCTAAGCTTTCAGTTCTTTCTCATCTGCTTAGACTAACCATATCCTTTATGTTTTGAATCAGAAAGTTATCAGTTTTCCAGTTATATTTAATATATAGGGATCTTTGCAATTCTAGGCTGATCTAAATTTAATCTCTACTCCATCTGATTAAGTTTCAATATAGATCATCACAAGCCCTGCATAAGGAGTTTTTATCAATAAATAATACAAGTAATTAAATGTAATTTTTAAGCAAGATCTTAGCGGAATAACATTATCTGGAGATCTGAAAAGCGTTAACATGATTCTTTAATAGAGGCTTTATTTTGCAAATTTTACTAATACAAATAATATTTCATTTAACATAATTATAAATGATGGATTAAACTATTAAATAACCTAACTTCTTACCTACTCAAATTGCAAATTTATCAAATTAAATAGCCCTATTTTTAAAAATCCTAAAAAGAGCTTATAATAGGATTTTGAAAGTAAAAATTAAAATGGAAAATCATTGAGTGTCCTAACTAATTTCTAATACACATTCGATAGCAATATTTTCCTTGACAAAGATAGCTAATCTGTTTCCTATTCAGCTTACATCTAGAAAGATAATAATTATATATTGATACCTCAAAATTATTGGATTAACTTTGAAAAGTCAAGCAGGACATTCTATGGGCAAATCGATCTAAGCTAGTATAATCAAGTTATTCGTTTAATGGTCAATGCAACTGATGGCTATACTTACTCAACCGATACTTTCGAAATACACTTAGACATAATACCAGCATACTATGTATTTACTATCCTATTTGAAATATTTCTACCTCTTTTTGTGATTATAACCATTTATAATCATAAATCTATCTTAATAAACTTCTTAAGAAGATTTAAACTGTTGCAAATGCCACTCCAAATTGATCTGAATAAATAATATTATTTATAAATTCCTATCTTAGAAAACTGCTTAGAAGATGGATTAGAAATATGGAAATCTTATAAGTATACTATAATCAAATAAATAGTGTTACGAGAGTTAACTTATTTAAAATTAGATAAAAAGACAACCGAAATAGATAAAAATGACAATTCTTGCAATGATTCAAGAGTTCATAATGATATGACCAAATCTTAAAACGCTCGTATGGCTCAGAGCACCCTCAATAAAAGCTCTGCTAAATAGGTATAAAGCAAGAACAATTCTAAATAACTATTAAACCTAAGCTAGAAAATTGTCAAAAACATGAGCAATCAGGAAGTCAAGCAGATTCAGAAACACTTAAAAGAATAAAAAGTAAATTACAATTACAATTGCTTTATCTATATGTAAAAAAATGGATAACTAAACTATAAAAATATTTTGGATTCAATACATAAGTGGTGTCTTAAACACTACAATAAGCCAAAAGTACTAAATGATTTGTAGAATCCTGCTAGCTTGTTTTCTCACTTTATGATAGGATTAGTATCTATCTACTTCGCATAGATAGATAAAACAGCTGAAAACGTTATTTAGATGCTAAAATAACAAGCATTAAAAGAAGGACTATCTGAAAAAGACTGGACTAAGATGTATGTAGAATTCATTACTGATGGAGACATTGTGTTATACCAACCTGTTCCTCAACCTATTTATAATTAACAAAAGATAGATGAGTAGATTAATCTGATTTAACAGCTCTAATAAGAAATATCTGTCTCTGAATTCATCATGCCTCTTATTAAGGAAAATTTAAAGGCTATTGCGTTAGGTTTCACCAGCGAAAAACAAAGTTACTTCCCAATAGCAAGAAAACTAAGTTTAGATTGCTACACTCATTAAATTCACTGCATTAAAGTATATAGGCCATTCGAGAAAAAATCATTCTTCAACAAATAAAAAGTAATTGAAGTAGAGAAAGAAAAAGAACTTTCACTCAACTCCCTTCTTCCTTCATGGATTAATAGTGTAGATATTATCAACGGTTCTCTTTTCTTTTCAATATAAGCTTAAACTAAAGACTAAGGACGATACCAAATAAAAATTTTTAGTACATAAAAAATAATCATAAAGGTAATTTATGTTAACATAGGAAGTCCTAAAACTCCGGAAGATAAATAATAGAATGAAGAAGACAGAGATGCAACTATCACATAGCAGTTTTCACAGTAAAAGTAATAAGATGATAACCAATCTGAATATTAATCTTAGAATAAATAATTTGATAACATAAGTTAGTATCAAGATGTTATTTTATAAAACCTGCATATGTCTAACTAGGAATAACACTACTCTAACTTAGATAGTCCCCAACCTCTAAGGCCATTTAAAAAAGCTTTATCTTAATACCACTCTTCTGCATAATCGATTTACAATTAAATAGGTAATAGATCTATTTATAAAGTAAATAAGTTAGAAAGGTTAGATAGTAAGAAAACATTTAAAGATAACAGAGATGATGTGAGTGAAACAAATAGTCATAGATTTGTAGGTGATGCAGATTTTGAACATGTCAATTCGAATGTGAATTCTCCAAAAAATTCACCTATATAATAATTAGATACTAAATATAAAACCTTATAAAATTAATTTTTAAATCAAAACATATGATTGAGCATATATTTTAAAATATTTCCATATTTTAAAAGCCAATAAATCTAAATTAATTTGTAGTTTTAATTTTAATTTTTTAAACATTTATTTAAAATGCTTGAATTTCAGTCCAAAATATATTTTGGCTTTTTTATTTGTAATTTTTAAAATATTTTTTTTTACATTTTTATAATAATGTAAACAAATACTTGTAAATAAAAAGTTGATGTTATTCGAATGAAATTAGTTTATTCTATGGTTTTATTTGAACTTTTTACAATATATAGTCTTTTTATATATAAAACCAAATTTTTTTTTACGAAAATATTTACATATAAATGATAGAAACAGTTTAATTAATTTAAGCAAAACAAATTAGAACTGTAATTTCTATTAATCAGTTTTTATTTTATTTGCTTATTGCAACATTCGAGAGGTGATCTGCTTCTTTATTTTACTCTCTATAAACATGGTTAAATGATGTTTGTTAAAATTTAGATTATAGCATCTTGCAAAGTTCGTAATATTTTTTAATATTATCATTACTACAGTTATACTTCCCAGTCATTTAATATATTATAAGCTGAGAGTCACCTTAAATAAATAACTTTTATATACCTATTTTTAAGGATACATATAAACCATAAATTAATGCTAAGTACTCAGATTAATTGTTCGTTTTAGTACCAACATTGACAGCAAATGATTCTAACACTTAGCTATTATTTTCATGTTGCTTAATCAAAAATCCAACACCTGCCAACCCAGGATTGCCTTTAGAACATCCATCGAATTCTATTCGATAAACTAGGGATTTTACAACTTTTTTAGATAGACTTTAAAAGTCTATCTTTTAAGAAAGTAAAGGATTTAATAATTAAGAAAACACTTAGTTCTACTGTATTTATTTCTCAAAAAGATCTTCTTTTTAGTCTATAGATTGATGATTTTTTATTTATTGATTGTTTTCATGTTAATTTTTAATATTGTTTTAGCTAATTTTTTGCTATTATTAAACATTTTGAGCATGGCTTTTAGTTTCTTGATTAAATCTAGTCTATTCATCTTTTAATGCACTTTAAGTTTAGAAGATTGAAATTGAATTAACCAATCCTAGAATTGATTGATCAATACTATTAATAGACTTGCCAACTGAATCAATTTGATCCTAAAAGGCCTAAATATTATATTATTATATTTAATTAGTTTTCTAAATATCACTAAAATAGTTTGTTAATCCTTCTTATGAATATGAGTTCTAGTTGATGATATTTAAAATAGAAGTAGGTTCAAAAATTTGCTCATCAATTTTCAAAGATAGAAAGTACTACTTTTTAAGATTATCCAACGATTTGTTGAATTTTTTCCTTATATTTTCTAATTATTCTACTTACTAAAATATTTTACCTAAACTACTAGCTTAATTAAAGATAGCTTACAAAACTTATTACTTAACTTAACCATTTAAATCTAAATCTAAATTTTCAAACTCTTATGATTATTTCAATTCTATCAAATCAGAAGCATGTGATTAATGATTTTAAATACATTTTTAGCAAAGTATTCTATTTAACTAACATTTTAAATTCAAACATATTTAAGTAGATTGAAGTTTGTGAGTAGGGCAAATTCTCTATTTTTCTGTTTTAGAGTTCATATTTTCTTTTATATCAAATTGTTAGTCCTTAATATATTTTTTATAATAAACCTGAATCCTTATTAAAATTAACTCAATAAATTCTAAAATCTCATAATTATTTTGATATAAATTTCTGTATAAAAAAGATAAAATAAATAATTTATCTAGCTAGGCTAAGTAAAAATTTAAATTTTAAGATGTCTTAGAAAAAAGAAATGAAACAAATTAATCTCAGCATAAGAAATAAAAAAATAAAACATGAAGCACAATTAAATAAATAAATCAATCAAAACAAAAATTGTAAAATATTTTATTTGTTAAAATTATATTTGTCAGAATTAAAATCTTTAATTTATTTAGAAAGAATTGTAAGCTTCTCTTCATTGTATTTGGTAGGCACATCTTTCCAACAAAAATTATTTTCATCTCCAATTGAAACATTTTAATAGTAGACTTCATCAATAATTTCATAGTCTAATTTTAAGCCTAGTTAAGCACTTTTTTTAGAAGTACATTCTACTTTAGCCTATTAATTAATTTATTATTTATTTAATTAAAATTTTAAAATTAATTTTTTATTTATTTACCATTTAAAATTTATTGATTTAAGCCATTTAAAGATTGTGTTGTAATATATTGACACCTAAATTCATCCCTGCTGCTTCAGGCAGCACAGCTATCATCATCTAGCTAAGAATTTAATTTTCAAGCAACTTTTGCTTTTCTATTTACTTTTTGTGATAGAATTTTTCAGAGCAAATATTGAGTAAGCTAAATACGCTTTACATGCTATTTGGAAGTTCATTAACATCTTCATCTGATAGCTTTTAAATCTAAAAAACATCAGATGAAACAACAACACCTAAAATTTTATCATCATGAGGAGTATAAGCAATAGATGAGTGTTACAAAGAGGATTTAAAAATATCTTTAGTTGCTTTATAAACATCATCTTATGTTGCATTAACCTCGATAGTTATAGGTTCTAATGAGCTAAATATCTTGCATACTATTTACAAAGCTTATTCTTGCAATTTTGCTAACTTAAATAGAGGAGCAACTGATATCCTTTGATTATTTTAAATAATTTAAGACAATAAAGGGTTTATTTTTTTCATTTTATAATACTCAATATTTTTTTAATTTATTTTTATAAATGTTTTATGGATTTTTTTAATAATTTTTCGAGTAAATTTATATAAAAATTTCCCATTAATAGTTAATAACTATTTTATTCAGTGATAATATGTATCTATTTCAAGTTTATTATTGCATCTATCTAATTAATTAGATCTAATATTCAAATTCATTATTAAAATAGTATGGATAATAGCTAAATTTTGGTAATATCAAGTTCTTTTATAATTATAGCATTTAATTTACAATTAACTAATACATTAAAAATAGATAAATCAGATCATTCAATATATAATACTTATAAATTACTGAAAATTAATCTATATAATAATTCTAGTAATAATGATTCTATTAAATAGAACCTAAATCTTCAAATAAAACATGAAATTATTTAAATATTTTAGAAAAACAATATGACGAAAAGTCTTAAATGGTTTTGTTTTTATTATTTAGGGTTGTAAAAAATTAAATTTTTCTAATTATATTTATATTTGAGTAATCAAGATAAGATGAATTTTTTAATTAAGAATCTCAGAATAAATCGGTCAAATTATTAATTACAAACTAAGAGTAACAAAATTTTATAAAATTAAAAAATATCAATTTGTAAAGAAAACTCCAAAGACCTTTTAATTTTTTTAGTACTTTGAATAGAAATTAATCATAATTACATATGTCTATTACATTTAATACGGTCATTTGTTAATATTTTTTCATTTTGTTAATTAGTTAGTAAGATAAAATGTTCTTTTATGACTTTTATTATATAAAAAATATAATTTAGCCAAGTTTTCATTTATTCTGCATTCTATTAGCTAAAATTATTTGATTTATTTAATTCCAAAATTAATTTTGATGTATCCTAAATATTTTAAAGTTTTAATAATGTTGTAAGCTTATTTTTCTATAAATTTTTTTTATTAAATTGAAAGTGTTTCTTTAAGTATTTTTACTAATAGATCATTTTTAATATTAAGAGTCATGAAATTATTTTATAATATTATGAATGAATTTAAAATTAGAGGATATTGCTTTTGAGATTAAAATCTTGTAATAATTTTAGGTCCCTAGTTGTTTTTAATTTTATTAGCTTTAAATATTTTAAATAATAAATTTTAATTTCATCTGTTTTAAATATTTATTTAACTCAAAGATCATAACAAAATTTTTTATTCTTTAAAATATTTAGTAAAATTGTTTGCATTATGTAAAAAAATATATTATTATCGTTAGATTTAGTTAAATCAAATGTTACGAATTAGAAATATACTTGAAGTGCTTATTAGCTATTAATTATTTTTTTGAATTTTTGATAAATTGATAATTATTGATTGTAATGAGAAAGTGTAAACTAGCTTTTCTTAAAATGAATAATTATATATAGTCTATATAAACAATTTAAAGAATTGGGGTTGGGGTTGGGGTTGGGGTTGGGGTTGGGGTTGGGGTTGGGGTTGGGGTTGGGGTTGGGGTTGGGGTTGGGGTTGGGGTTGGGGTTGGGGTTGGGGTTGGGGTTGGGGTTGGGGTTGGGGTTGGGGTTGGG